ACTTAGGCAATTTTTATCTCTGGATTTAATGGTCCTACTGCAGGGGTTGCTTTACAAAGGGCCAGTGCTTTCATTAGGCCAAGTAGGCAGCCGCCCAGAGCACAGACCTCAGAGGGGCACAGTACTGACCTTTGAGGGGCATAGTTTTGGATAGATTAGTTTTTGTTTTATAAATTTCTGATAACATTTTACTTATATTTTTGAAGGATTTTATCATTTTTGAAGTCACTCATTCATTAGAATTGCTTTTTATTTTTTTCTACAAGACATTGGTTTTTTGAAAACTGAAGTTAGCAATTTGTTTCTGGGGGGGGGGGCAAGTAGTTACCCTTGCCCAGGGCACAAAATGGCCTGGTACTGGCACTGTTTAGAGGTCAGTGTGTTCTATTCCTAAATGTAGCCAGATAGCTATGCTGAGAGAACCCTTGGATTTCTGCCCCAGCATCCTCCTCTGATGACATAGGTGCTGAGGCTCCTATTAGAGCGCTGTCATGCCAAAGTTGTACCTTGACAAACACTCTGCAGTTTAGGCTCACTGTGACTGTCACAGTTCCTTTGAGATACTTTTGGGGCAATATTCCAGTTTGGATAATTACATTTTGTCTCCCCACCCCCTGTTGCTCTTACATGATGCATCTCCTTGTTCTCTTCAATCATTATGTAGCACTTGTGTGCTCTGTTGAAACAGCTGCCCAGATTTGCTCCCCCAAGGCAGTTTCAGCTAGGAATGATTCACAATTTGTTGAACTGATAGATATTAACACTTTTGAGTTCCTTAGGATGGAAGTGAGCCAGTCAAGTACAATTCACCTCAGGTGGGGGGATGGTGCCGCTACTGCGTATTGTTGAGTACCACCAGAAAAAAGCACTGGTTTTACTACTTTGCTGTTTGCTACCTTTGCAGGAGAATGGTAGAGCTTCATTTCATTTACAAATTATCCAGAAAACCAAATACTTTATACTATCTTCTGGATCACTTAATAAGTACATGTATTATAGACATGTAGTGTTATAAGTTGTGGTGTATGTACAGGAATACAGGCTTTCATAATGTATTTTGGAGGGTCTCCGGGTAAATTAAAAAGAAAGAAAAATAAAAGTTGTTATTGCAAAAAAAGAAAAAAAATCTTTCCAACTCCACTGCATTATTACAGCGGCTGAGGTCCTACCTGCCTGCACACTGTCTCGCCAGAGTGGTACATGCACTGGTTAACTCTTGCTTGGAGTACTGCACTACGCTTTATGGGGGGCAGCCTTTGCAGGTGACTCGGAAACTACAAATAATCCATTATGCAGCAGCTAGACTAGTGACTGGGAGTGGATGCGGGGACCATATAACACCGGTCCTAAAGGAGCTACACCAGCTTCCAGTATGTTTCTGAGCACAATTCAAAGTGTTGGTGTTGACCTTTAAAGCCCTAAATGGCCTTGGCCCAGTATACCTGAAGGAGCGTCTCCACCCCCATCGTTCAGCCTGGACACTGAGGTCCAGCTTTGAGGGCCTTCTGGCAGTTCTGGTGAAAAGTTACAGGGAACCAGGTAGAGGGCCTTCTCGGGAGTGGCACCTACCCTGTGCAACGCCTTCCCACCAATTGTCAATGAGATAAAATAACTATACAGCTTTTAGAAGACAACTGAAGGCAGCCCTCTTTAGGGAAGGTTTTAATGTTTGATGTTTTATTATGCTTTATATTTGTTGGAAGCTGCCCAGAGTGGCTGGGGCAACCCAGTCAGATGGGTGGGGTACAAATAATAAAATTACTACTATTACTACAACTACTAATACTACACAATCCTAGGCATCCCTACGCAGAAATAAGTCCTACTGAGTTCAGTGTGGCTGACTTCCAGGCACACTGGTTATATCATCAAAGCCTTAGTTTTTCAAATTCTGAGAGGTCTCTTAGGAACAAACTAGATTTTACGGCAGCAGATCATTGACCTTCCTCAATCATATAACAAGAGGAGTGAGTGGGTGGTGTGTTGTTTTTTGTGGGCAAGGACTACAGAACCTTTCCTTATCTGTTGTTTGTTCCCCTTGGTGCTTTTATCCTCCTCTGAGAGAAAAGAACCTCAGGAGAACGTGTTTTTTTAAAATACCAAGGTGAGAAGCCATCAATAAACAAGAGATGTACTATTTTCTTACTGCACGAATCACTATTCTATTTTTGTCATTATGCATCCTAAAAATAAAAAATAAAAATTGCCTTCTATATACAGAAGAGTTGTTAAGGACCCTAAAATGATTAACCATGTTCAGTTGGAGTGTATCATTCATAATTGTTTAAAGTATTCTAAGATCACAGTCACTGTTTCTGTAAGGTCACCACATATCTATCTTGACGCTTAATGAGTTCTACGCCTCTGCTCCCTTTTACAGCTGGTGCCCTAACAATGTTGATCTCAGGAAGCAGTACACCCAATTTAGTGTGGCCAGAATGTTGAATGCTATGTAGAGCAGTTGGGAGTTATCATTTAACCCCCCTGAATTCTGTCGGATAGTAAAAGCAAGCTGCAAACTGGGACACAGGTGAATGGAGACAAAAAAGAGACTGACATCACCAAGGACAGGACAAGGAGAGAACCCCCAAGGTTCACATCACAAGAGCCCAACTGGATGAGGCCTATAACTCTGATCTTGACTTTGGTTCTCACAGTGGCCAATCAGATGCTTATGGGAAGCCCACAAGCAGAACCTTGAGCACAAGAGTACTTTCCCCACTTGCATTCTCAGTGGCAGTGCTTCAGAGGCATACTGAGGTGAAGCTAGTACTGCCCCACCCCAGCTACAGGTAGAGGAGCAGAATGGCAGGTGGACAAAAAAGCAAAGAGAGCTGCTGCCTTAAATACTCTGCTCGAGAGCTTCCTGGAGGGCTAGCCTTGCATCACATCAACACCATACATTTAAAGCACTGTTAAACAACTTTAACCATCAAGTCTTTGCACAAAGAATCCTGGGAACTGTAGTATGTTCAGCATGCTGACATCACAGACCTACAGTTCCCAGCACCCTTAACAAACTGCAACCCCCAGGATTCTCCATGACTGGTAAAGCAATATATAAGTGTATAGTGTATAGCTTTAAGTGCATAGTGTGGATGTAGATCAGCCTGCCATAACGAAAACAGCGTTCTGGATTTGAACTGAGCCTGATCACTGTGTGCTGAAGTATTGTAATATATCAATTAATCAAAAGGGGTTGAGTGGCTTTAAAATAAGTTGCTCTAGCAATGCAAGATGAAGCTGCAGAGGTGGTATGATCTGCCTTAAAGGCCATTCCCTGAACATAATGACATCTTGCCACACTAGATTAACCCCCCTGCTTCAAGGCTCAGATATATAAAAATACACCCTATATCTCACACTCATGTCACTGGCCTAGTTTTAAAATAGTCAAGCTTCCTATGGCTCTTGTGGGAAACTACAGGATTTCAACATGGAGGATGTTGTTCACTGTCCATTTGCCCTTAGGAAGAAGCCTCAAAGGCAGCTATTACTTTCCCCCACTAAGTATACATAGGATTGTCTATTTACTTAACTGTTAAGTGTCAATGGGCAATATTAAAAGCTGGGGTGGGGTGGGGAGAGAGGAAGGAAGAACAGTTCCAAATAATTGTTTTATTTGGCTTGTCTATATGTATCATTCTAAAACCAATGAAAAAAATGTAGGCACTTCTTGGGCTGCCTCATTCACCTTGCTTATAAAGGATGTCCTTCTCTCTGGTGGTGTTTTTGGGAGCCATGGGTGAACCCTTCCCACCAAATACATCATAGTCATAAGGTAGCCAACGGCAGGTAGCAGCTTGCACGTTGCTGTTTTTGGGGGGTTTGGTGGTGTTTAAAAAAACAGGATCCTCCCAGGCTCTGGCTTGCTGACTCAGACTTATTTATTTCGCCTTCCTTCTCCAAGCCAACTCAGGTCATGTGAATTATTTAGTAGGGCATTTTTCAGTTCTCTCCGAAGGGAGGGGTGGTTGGGAGGCAGGCTGAACTTCAACCTTACAGACAGTATACCTGGTTTTTGTGTGTTTTTAATAATGCGATTAAAACGAAAAGAAAAAAAAGCCCAAACCAAACACCGTCGTAAGCTGAGGCTATAAAGACTTTGCTGACACTGGGAAACGAACGTGGAGTGCGGGAGGGGGAAATATGGGATATGGAGGGGATTGTCAAAATGGGACAAGCGGGAGGCTACTAATGTTGCTCTTTCTTTTTTCTCTCGTTATACCCATTCTTTTCCCCACTGTGTACATCAACGCCCCCCCCTTCCCACGTTATCGTTGTTTTAAATTTCCCAACACATCTCCTCCCTCCGTTCTCCTCCACATCCCTTTCCTTTCATCCTTGTTGCTCGGCCATTATTCCCTGGGTCCTTCTTCTCTCCCTCCCTCCTTCCATTCAATCGTCCCTCGCTCCTTCTTCTGCCGCGTCTTCCCCGCACACCGCTCCTTCATCTTTACCTTTCCATTTCCCATCTTCCGCTTCTCCTCACATTCCCCCCATCCATCTCTTTCATTCCTCCTTCCCCACATTTCTTTCTTCGTCTGCTGCCCCCACATCCCCCTTCCTCCTCCCTTCGGTCCCCTCCTTTCCCACATCCTCGCTCCTCTTTCTCGCTCACGTCCTTCGCCCTTCCTTTCCCGCGTCCCCTCTACTCTTTCCCGCACATCCCTCTTTTTCTCTCTCTCCCTTTCCTTCCTTCTCACATTCTCCCATTCCTCCCCGCTTTCTTCCTTCCCTTCTCACATCCCCACTTCCCCGCATCTCTCCCTCTTCTCTTTCTTCTCCTCATCCTCTCCCCCCCTCCATCTCTTCCCCTCATCCCTCTCCTGCCTCCTCGCATTCCCTTCTTCTCTCTCCCCCTCCGCTCGCCCCTTCCTCTCCCTCCTGCCCGCCTCCCCTCCTCCCCGGCTGCAGGCGGAGCGGGCCCGGCAGGAGGCGGAGGCGGAGGCGGGGCGGGCGGGCGCACGTCCCCCGGCCGGCGGAGCGGCCCCCCCGCCATGGGTCGGAAGCGCTGCGTGGGGGGAGACGGCTCCAAGATGGCGGCAGGTTGCTGCGGGGTGAAGAAGCAGAAGCTCTCCAGCTCCCCTCCGTCGGGCTCGGCCGGCCCGGGCAGCGGCGGCGGCGGCAGCTCGCACTGCGGTGGGGCGGCGGCGGCGGCGGGGTCCGGGGGAGGCTGCGGCGAGCCGGGGTCCCTTCCTGCGCTGCCGGGGGGCGCCCCCCGCCTCAACGGCCTCGGGGGGCTGGCGGGGGGCTCCCCCGGCTGCGCCCTTTCCCCGCCGCTGCCGCCCAGCTGCGGCGCGGGACCAGGAGGCCTCTCCGCGCCGGCCGCCGCCTCGCTCCTCTCCTCGCCCGGGGTCGGGCCCGGCGGCTGCAGGAAGATGGTGGTGTCGGCCGAGATGTGCTGCTTCTGCTTCGACGTGCTCTACTGTCACCTGTACGGCTACCAGCCCCCGCGGAGCCCCCGCTTCACCAACGACCCTTAGTAAGTGAAGAAGGTGCCCCCCCTCTCCTGTCCGCGGAAAGAAAAGGGTGCTTGCATTTGTGGGTGGGAAGCCTCCCCTTGGAAAGACCCCTCCCTAAGTTCAGTATGTGTGTGTGTATGTGTGCATGGGGTGGGGAAGGCGGGGGGGGGTTACTTCTTTAATGACCTTTAGCTCATAGTTTTATTTATTCCCCCCTCTTTGAAAAGCCAGAAGTCTGCAGGACACCCCCCCCCATGTCATTTGCCTGTCGTGTACTCTTCCCCCCACCCGCTTTCCCATCTAGTTCTAATTCATAATATTTATAATGGCTGCGATCCCTCTGTGCATTCATTGAACCTTTCAGTAAGCTCCGTTCCACGTAGTGCAGGTTTGGGCTGTAAGGTGGGTGCCTGAAAAGTGTACTAATGTAAGTATGCTTACAGCGATGCAAAGTGGTAGCGTTAGTATGGATATGTGATTGCACGTATATTAATGCAAACAATACTGGAAGCAAGCTTTCCCTCTCTCCGTATATATTTAAAAAGTGTACCAAGAAGTATCCGGCAACCCTCCCCAATGACCCTCCAATACATAATGCTCCTCTTGTTCTAGCACAATGTAACCCCAAACCGATTGCTTTCTGTGTAAGAGACCCCCCCCCCCCAAGACTAGCAGGTAGCTCTCCAGTTTGTCTTGTTGCTCCGGTGTGCTGCTCCAACTACTTTTGTTAGAATCCCCCATATTTTTCCTGCTCTAAGAACAACTTCTTTCTCCCTCTCTCTCTATCCCTCACAGCCATTCTCACAATCCCTAAAAGCCTTACTTACTTTATAGAAACACACAACCTTTTATCCCTGATAGCACTCCTTTCCACTGTTACTGTCCTTGTGTGCTCCCCCCCATGTATTTTTCACCCTGCCTGAAACGTCTGATCTAGATCCCAACAGTGCTCCCATCTCGTATGTACCAGGGATCCCCCACCCATTATCCCTAATTACTCTTCTATTGTAAGCAATAGTGAATATTTCAGTGCATCTGAATGAAATTGCTTTCGTCTAGTGGATAGCATCCTTCTCCCTCTAGCTACGCTCTCCTACACCTCTACATGGCTCAGCCCAACTCCTTTGTGTACCCCAACAAACACATCTTGTGAGCACCCTTCAGATTTTTCTGCTTTCCCTGTAAAGACTTAACAGATCTCCCAGGATGCTGCTTCCTCACCCTGTTTGTCTCCTAACACTCATACGGTACTTGTATGGGAGCTTGGGTGGAGTGCTGGTGGAGGGTGGCATATGCAGGGAAGAACTAGCAGGCAGAAAGAGAATCCTTGACACTTCCATCCACCTGCAAGTTTTTCATCTGAGAATATACCCCCCTCCTCCCCATTTGAGAACAGAAGTAAACACAGCTAAGGAGGGGGGAATGGACCGAGGTGGCTGCAATGGAGAGTTTCATTGGCATGACAAAAGTTATGTATCCTTCCTCTCACCTGCCAGTTCTCCCCTTCATTCTGTTACCGTAGCTAAAGGGGGTTTAGTAGTAGAGTTTGCTAAGGTAATTCAATAGTTTTGCTTTCAGAGCAACTGCTTCATCAGCAGCAACCTTTAGTGAATAATCCCTTACTTCCTTCCCATATAGTTTTCTCTTAGCTGAAATATAACTCCTTCTTTCTCCAGTGAGCAGTTCTGTAGCTACCTCAGTTGTGTTTCTTGGCTTCTTACACTGGCAGGAGGGGGGAAGAAGGTCCTCAGTTCCAACTTCACTAATGTCCCTTTAGGACCATTCACCCCATAATACTTCCACCCCCACCACCCCACAGCAAGCATAAAATTTACAGTGGATGTCCTCTTTCAAAGTACAGCCCCTCATTTATTAGTTTTAAAACAAAATCATATACCACCATGTTTTCAGGTTGTTTTTCATAAGCAATCACTCAATAACATTTATTATATTTATATAATATGCTCAAGGTGGCATACAAGTTCTTCCCTGTCTCTTTTACTCTCACAGCAGCCCTTTGAGATAGGTCAGGGATAGCCAATGTGCCTTCCAGGTGTTTTTGACCTCTGGCAATTCTGGCTGGGGCTGATGGGAGTTGTAGTCCAAAATATCTAGTAGACACTGTGTTTGGCTACCACTGAGTTACTCCAAGAGATAGTGCCTAAATCAAAGATAGTAGGTAAAAAATAGATTGGCAGTGTAGGCTCCAGGGAAGGGAATTCTACTGACGGTACCAGCACTGAGAAGGCTATCTCTCAGATTACTGCTCAGACTGGGAGGGAACCCAGAAGAGAACTCATTGTAGATAGTCATGCTCTAGGAAACCAATATAAGGTAGAGGTAAAGGGACCCCTGACCATGAGGTCCAGTCATGGCCGACTCTGGGGTTGCAGTGCTCATCTTGTTTTCTTGGCCGAGGGAGCCAGCGTACCGCTTCCGGGTCATGTGGCCAGCATGACTAAGCCGCTTCTGGCGAACCAGAGCAGCGCACGGAAACGCCGTTTACCTTCCCTCTGGAGCAGTACCTATTTATCTACTTGCACTTTGACGTGCTTTCAAACTGCTAGGTTGGCAGGAGCAGGGACCGAGCAACGGGAGCTCACCCCGTTGTGGGGATTAGAACCGCCGACCTTCTGATCGGCAAGTCCTAGGCTCTGTGGTTTAACCCACAGCACCACCCGTGTCCCAGGAAGCCAATATACTGAGGCTAAATATGTCCAAGAGATGTTGCAGCTGATAGAATATATTTTATGCCACTTGGGCCCCCAGTGGCAGCTGGATCCAGGAACATTCTTAGACTGCAGACTTCTTTCTTATGAGGAGTACAGCCCTGTCCAAGAAAGGTAGAACACCATCTTCCTGAGTGGAGGAGCCCAACTACCCAAGCTATGCATCCCCACATAGCAACTAGCATCCCTACAACATGTTTGAACCTGTATTGCAGGTTTTGCTAGTAACGATCTTCACCACTCTATATTGCAGAAACATTGTTGCGTATAGTTAAGGTGGAAAGATCAAATGGCATTCTGCTATTATAAAGTCCTGCCACTGTAATCCTAATAAAATCAAGACTATTTGTCCAAATTATCTAAAGGTTAACACAGAAAATCTCCATGCTAAGCACACTATAAATTGACCACATTAAAAATAAAACCTGATAAGAAATTACTGAGATACAGCAGTTGTTTAAAGATTCCCCTAATAAGTGCAAATTTATCCACTTTGTGACAATTATTTGCACATCTAAAATATACCTTCTGTTTTTCCCTTTTGCTGGTTTAGATACACTCAAAAATTCAAGGAAATTGCAGAGGTCTTCTCCTTCCTGGTTTGGTGAAAATCTGTTGTGTATCCATAAAAATGTGAGGTTTTAAAATTTCAATTTCAATCCATCATTTAAGTACGGGCAAGTCATATTTCAACACACATTCAGGGCTAGGTTGTGCCGGGTGAAGCTTCTCAGTTGAATGATCATCTGCTGCCAGACTGACAGCACAATCTTATACAGTACTAGCCTGCTCAGAATTAAGGCTCATCAAGTTCAATGGGACTTACTCTCAGGTGTAGGATTTAAGCCTCAGGAAGCTTGCAAAAGCCAGTAGGTCTGGGAAAAGGGGGTGTAGGGGCAAGAGGGAACAACAACCTGTATGTAGTGGTTGGTTGTGGTGCTTTGCATTATGTGTATGTTTGGATTTATTTGTGTGAAGTGATTGTAAAGGGCTGAGCCTGAAGCTGTGTGTGTGTGTGTGTGTGTGTGTGTGTGGTTTTGCATTTGTGTAAAGGGGATTGTGAGAAGTGCCTGTAAATGGTTAGACCAGGAGTGACCCAGACCACTTCAGGGAGAGCTTGATGGCTAAGTAAGTAGTTGAATGCAGTATATATCCATAACCATGTACAGTATATTGATAATTTATTCAAATAAATTTGCTATATAGGAAACCATTGCAATAATAATAAGCACTGTTTGCTGCTTTGCATAGAATCTACTGTGTGCTTCACCAAGCTCTTCAACACATATATTGTGAACTTTGTATATTTATCAGAATATTTTTTGATATGGAGATTGATCTTTTTGCCTCTGAAGCCAGAAATCTGCATAGCGAAACACAAAGCTAAACCTGAATATCTCATATCTGTCTCTGTATTCTGTTCAGTGTGGCATTAGACCATTGAATTATTTTTCTCTTTGCTGTATCAGAGTTAAGTTATGAGTTCCCATAACCTCTTAACTTAAAGATGCACATTTGCCATGACATAACCACATTAGTTATCCTTTGTATGACCGTCCTACAAATAGGAACGTAAACGGATAAGAAAGTATATTTTACTTAGTTTTTCAATGTGCTGTTATGGGTGAAGTGGGGATTCTAATCCAGGTTACTGAACAAAAATAAGGAAGCTTGGGAGGTAGCAATTGTTCTTGATTGATTGATTGATTGATTGATTAACATAGCACACAGGATTATGAGCTTTGTGTGGCATAGAAAAATGCTGTACAGCTGTATACACATTGCCCCTATATACACCACACCCCTCACACAACATTTTCTGTTCAGTCAGGAACCTTATTTTCCTTTCTATGAATTGCTTGCCTCATCCTAGCTAGTTTACCTTATCCCTATGTTACAAAGTACTTCCAAGCCACCTGTGTTAGAATACTCTGTCCAACACCAAACTCAGATGGTGAGTGCGATAACAATGCAGCCCAAACGGAGGAATGAGAGATTTGTGGAATGTTGAGATTTAAAGAAGTACAATTAAAAAACAAACTGAAAACCTAACTAGATTAAAAAGCAGTGCCACACCCCAACAGATCAGTTTAGACTGAGCATACTTAGTAGCTATGGAATGCTGAATGTTGCTTGGAATAGAAAAATGAAGGGTGGCGGCGGAGCAAGTATCCTGGAGGAGGGCATGGCTGCCTGATTGACAGGAAATCTGAACTTCTTCCAGGAGATGAGGATACACAGCCACATTTTGTTGCAGCTCCCACTTGTCCCACTTACAGAATGCTGTCTTATCTTGCTTTCAGCCTTCACTTCAGGTTGAGCCTCCCATTATGCTATGCAGAAATACCGCTGTATTGTATTCATGTGTTCAGTGAACTGAAAATTCCTTTCCCCTCTTGTCATCATTCAGTTGCTGTACAGTTTCTAGGTCCTATAGATGCATCACTTCACTAGTGGCCACTGGTGAAGTTGTAATCTCTGGTTATCCCTCCTGCAACTGTGGGTTGAAACAGATGGCCAGTTTCCATGTGGTTTCCAATGTACACTGTTCCCCATGGCAGCTTGTAACATGAGAGACAGCTGGTTTACACTCTGGCCAGATGGAAAGCCAAGTGTTACTGTGCCCTCCATTTCTCTGGACATCCGAACAACTGTAGTTGTTGGCTTACCACATGACTGCTGTCTTTCTCAAGCTGTCCTGGCTTCAGTTTCACCAAAATTCTTCCTGTGCATTGAGCCTCCACAGTTACCAGGGCAGTAGAAGAAGAAGAAGAGTTTGGATTTGATATCCCGCCTTTCACTCCCTTTAAGGAGTCTCAAAGCGGCTAACATTCTCCTTTCCCTTCCTCCCCCACAACAAACACTCTGTGAGGTGAGTGGGGCTGAGAGACTTCAGAGAAGTGTGACTGGCCCAAGGTCACCCAGCAGCTGCATGTGGAGGAGCGGAGACGCGAACCCGGTTCCCCAGATTAGGAGACTACCGCTCTTAACCACTACACCACACTGTCTCTATTCTGCTCTATTCTCTATGCTGCTATTCCATGAGAGTTAAGCGTGATGTGCTGCACATAGAATTCAGCTTCCTGGAATTCTGAATTTTCATGAGAGTTTCTACTCCCTTTTGTCTGCTAAGGTAGGCTTTGAGATACGTGACCAATGCCTGCTAAAATGTCAGAAGCCAAGGAAGTTGATGAGTAATATTTTAAGCTGTGGGAGAGGAACAAAGAGAGGGAGAGAGAATATGCATCCCTGCCAAAAATGCTTCCACTTTCAAAAACATATAAATACAATAAACAGTTTATGCCTTTTGGTGGTCTTCATGCTTCTTCAGCTTCCTGAATCTCCCATTCCTTTCCTCCTCCTCAGCCTCTTCTGGACTAGGAATGGTGAATATTCCATACCCTGCAAGCTGTATGACAAATTAAAATGCACACACTGCATTTTAGTAGTGACATGCACCCTACTAGGGTTGCTGCTGGTGTGTATTGCTGCACTCTTGTACTCATTCACTGTCTGCAACAGCGAATACCTTATTATTCAGCAAATACATCTTGAGGAAGACCTGTAGGTCCTTGGCCATGTGAATGCTTGATGTTCAATTCTAGGCATCTCTAAGTAGGGTTGGGAAAGACTCCTGTCTACAAATCTATGGTGAGAGAACAGTTACCTCACAGCGGCTACAGCTTTGGTTGCTGTAAAGCAGCAAACGGGCATCCAAAATGGTAAGTGGGCTGGAGTAACTTCCCTATAAGAGTAGTGACTTTTTTGTTTAGAATGAAATAGGGTAATAGGGATCATATATATAAAATATTGCGTTGAAAAAGTTGGCAGAATTTTTTCTCTCCCTCTCATACTACAAAAACCCAAGGTCATCTAATGAAGCTATAAGGGTGACAGATTCAAGATACAGAAAACAAAAGTGTTTTATATTGCGAACCTCCCTGAGATCTGTGGATGAAGGGTGGCATACAAATTTAATAAATAAAATCTTTATTTCCTGATGAATATCCTTTGGACTATAATGTAACTTAAATAGAAAACTATCTTTAGAAAGATTTTTCCTCCAAAGCATTTTATTTTAAAAATCCAATTTAAATTAAAAAATTCAATTCAAATAAAAAAAATCTGATTTAAATTTTTAAAAATCCGATTAAAAAAAATAAATCATTGATTTTTATCCACCATGTCCAGGACCCACTTTTAATCCACACATGTATTGGGGGACCCATTTCTTAATATTTTTGCATGGTAGTAGTGCTCCTGTTGTGACCCATCTTGGATCAGGTTGCAACCCACCACTGAACAGCAGTGGTGTAGGTAATACGCAGCTAAAGGGATCAGTGCTGTGGCTTGGCATAAGGCAGCTTACTGTGCTGCTTCTTGAGAGTTACATGCCCAGCCTCCTTATTCCATGTGCTGACTTGTTGGCTGGCCAGTAAGTCTCTTATCTAAGCCTTCTAGCTTCCTCCAGTGATTTCTGCATCTCTAACTCTTCAGTGATTCCTAAACAAAACATATGCTCCTCTTCTGAATGTAATCTGAGCTACTCGTGATTGATTGTGGATCATTAAAGCCCACCATTATGTCATTCTTGCTAAGAATTACTTTATTTCTTAGATCCGTTACATAGGCAGGCTTGTGCAGTGGTTAGTGCCAGACAGTGTTCAAAACTTCTATTGTTCTAGGCACATTTTGCGATAGGGAATTCATTATTGCAAGCAGTTTCTGAGCTTGGCGCAGTACTGCTCCTAAGATTTCAGATTAAAAATACAGAGTGGAAGGAAAGGAGGACCTTTTTCTGCCTCCCCACTTCCAGCTACTCTCTGAAGACTGGAGAAGAGACCCTCTTAAGAATATTAGGGGGGAGGGCAGGGGAAGGACTAGACCATGTGAAAAATAAAAGATATTTTTGCTGCAGTTCATTCATTTTCAGCTTTGTATTCTTGTTATAAAAGAGCACGCCTAGGCATTCCGTTGTTGCTTCCATAACCTAGGTTTATCTCAATTTCTAACATTGGTGTCAGACTAGACTGAGGAAGCCCAGATTCAAATCCTCACTCAGCCATGAAACTCACTAGGTGATTTTGGTTCTCCCTCCCGGCCTTCTCCCCTCGTGTGTGTGTGTGCGCGCACGCGCACGGGCAGGGTGGATAAAAAACAATGATTTTTTAAAAAGGATTTTTTAAAATTTAAATTGGATTTTTAAAATAAAATTCTTTTGGAGGAAAAAATCTTTGTAAAGATAGTTTTCTATTTAAGTTACATTATAGTCCAAAGGCCATCAGGAAATAAGGATTTGTTTTAAGTGTTTCATGTGTGCTGAAAAAAAATGTTTAACCGCATCAGTTAACAAACATGAAGACATATGCTATAATGTTATTATTTTAGTTAAATAAATTGTTTAAATAGTTATTAAGGAAATGATTGTTTTTCTCCTTCCAATACAGTAGAAAAGTTGTCCAAATATAAACAGTTAATTTATTAAACCTCACAATAATTTCATAATTATCTTGTAGCTTTATGTACTCACCTTCCTTCAATCTGTCTATGTATTTCTAATAGTATAACCAAATCAGTAATTTTTGATATAACTGTAAAAACTCCTCTGAAAATGTATTATTCCAAAAATGAAACTTTCATCTGGTTGTAAATATTAAGATTATACCAGCAGCAATGCCTTTCTGTAAAAAAAAAAATGATTTAAATCAAATCTTACTGACTAGTGATTTAAATCATGATTTAAATCATTTTTATTTAAATCAAATCCACCCTGGTGTGCATGCATGTGTGTGCCTAACCTACCACAGGGTGGTGGGGGGGGGGGTGTCCATGCACGCCACCTCAAGCTCCTTGTTGGAAAAGTGGGATAAATGTAAGAAATAAAATGATAGTTGTCGTGTGAACATGTTTGAAAACTGGGGCAAAAGTGCCTAAAATAAAATGAGTTACAAACAGTAGTGAGTTTTCCTTTTATAGTCTCTATTCTGCCAGTATAGTTTTCTGAATAAATCCACCATTTCTACTGATAAGATTTTCCCCTCTATAATAGTATAACAAAGTTCACTAAATACCTTGCCTGCTCGCCATAAGCTTGTTCCGTAGTTGCTCAGTGTATCCTTCTCTGCCACTATGCTTTTAAAAAAATTCCTTTGTGTCACCAAGAAATCATCTACCATTCTACAGTCCATAGTTGCTATGGTTGTAGCTCCCCATTGAATCAGTGTATATATATATCTATATATATATATATATATAGCTCTCTCTGCTCCAAGCCAGCTAATGATTTTGACTTCACCTGTGATGCCATATTAACCAACACATCCATTGTGCAACCAGTAATGCTAGGTGGAGGCTTGTTGCTGACCTTGCCCAGTGTATCTGAAACACAGTGCAAAGTTGGGGGACAATTCTTTGCTCCCTTCTCCAATTTCAACTTTGGAGATTGGTAGGGGATTCTATGTAGTCCGTTATCAGCCTCCCACTCTGGTCTCTATCTACAACCTTCATCCAGCTTGGTGGGATAGAGGCAAGGCTTGCTTTGGCTTTGTCGTTTGCTGATCTTTTGGAGTACCCAAAAGCACAAGCTGACCCAAATCTGCCTTCCTGCTCCAACTTAGAGCTGAAAGGGGAAGGCTGAGGCTTTGTACTTGGTAGTCTGAACTCCTAGTGGGCATAGAGCCAAAGTAAATCCCAGGCTTCCTCTGATCTTTGTGGCTGGGGAGGGAGTGGGAATCCCCCCGCCTTGCCCTGAGAAGAAGCCTAGACCTTCTCATGCTTGCTAGAGGTTGTGTGAGCCCTTGGAGTGCTGAATGAAATTGTTGACCCCTGGGAAGAAAGCACCACCAGGGAAGCTTCAGTCTGCCAAACAGAGCTGTGTTGTCATACTTGGCCTTAGTTATGTGCTTACATGGCTCATTAAAACAGGCACTTTGAAACCACACAATTTTGGGAACACTGAATGGATTTTCACCAGACTAGCAGAAGGCGCACCTTCACAAAAATTTTGAATTGTTAAAATAATCTGAACTGCCAAAAGATTAAGCTTCAACTGTGTTTTCAGTGAATACGAAAACGCAAACAGAATAAAGACACTGGTTCAAAGCAAGCTATTAAACTGCGAGAACTTAGTCATTTTTTATCAGATGTTCTAAAATTTGTTCAGTCTATACCCCTCACCAGGTAGATTTTCTGTGCCAGCTTCCATACTGACAAGACAAATTGTCTTGATTGTTTGATCAATAGATTTTTAGGCTTGAAATGACAGAATGCCAAACTGGCCACTTAACTTAATTTTAGTGCCGCTCTTGTACCTGTGGTTAAGAGCTGTGGTGAATAGCTTGAATGCTGCATAGCACCACTCTCTGACTTCCTGTGTTTCCTGGAGGCCCCTTGATTTATTCTGAAGACAGCTCTTGGTAGGGACCAGAAACAGTAGTCTTTCCAAGTGCAAGAACACCTTATCCTGTTCTAAGTTTGGTGCCTTTGTGTTCTTACTCATGGCTGTTTCTTCTTACTGTTTTTTCCATGGCAGTCACGTCGTGTCATGTTGGACCATATTTTAATGCCTTACTGTGAGCATGCAAATAGCTTCTGCTTTGCTAGTGGAAGCAACAAGCCAGTTTGGTGTAGTGGTTAAGAGCGGTGGACTTGTAATCTGGTGAACTGGGTTCGCGTCCCCACCACTCCTCATGCAGCTGCTGGGTGACCTTGGGCTGGTCTTTGAAGTCTCTCAGCTCACTCACCTCACAGAGTGTTTGTTGTGGGGGATATCAAATCCAAACTCCTCTTCTTCCTGGTTTGGCCCTTCAAGCTCAAGGATCATGGTTTGTTTCACTCCAAACAAAACATAATTTGAAGCAAATTTTTGATAAAAACAAACCACAATCCTCTGTTCAGCTGTAAAGCTAAGTCAGGGATCATGGTTTGTTTCTCTTGCTCGAGGGGAGGAGCAAATGGGAGTGTTTTCTTTGTTCACCATTAACTCTGAAAACTAGGCCATTATCAGTAGCATGATGAGTGCAGGATACTTGAGGAGGCTCCTTCTTAGACCACTCGCCCATCTAACTGAGTATTGTCTAGTCAAAATTGCAATGGTTTTACAAGGTCCTTGGCAAAGGTCTCTCTCAGACCTGCTACCTCACGTCATAGCACAATGTTACCCAAACTTGGGACTTAAGCTGTTGTTGGATTACAACTCCTATCATGCCTAGCTAACAGGACCAATGGTCAGGGATGGATGGGAGTTGTAGTCCAAAAAACAGCTTGAGATGCAAGTTTGAGAAGCATTGTAACGGATTCCATGGATGGAACACGGGGCCTTCTGCATTCAAAGCATGTGCTCTGCTATGGAGCTATGTCTCTCTTACTACACTTGGGGAAGGATTTGGCTTTCAAGTACAGTCTAGTATGTATTTCATTTCATAAAATGTATATACCCTTTGACTATTAAAAAACTCTCAAATCTCGTAATTTAACATGTACTATTTGAGATTCAAAGTGTTGCACACCATTAACTACTCAAACAAATGGTCTCTTTTCAGCTCCCACTTTCCAGCAGCATCCCCTGAAAGTGCCGCTCCTCCGGATCTGGACTGGTATCTTCAATAGGAAATACCTGCTCTCTGGGTGGATATCTCTGGGGTTTGAGGAATGCTAAGATTCTGCCTCCTACTGCCTTTCAGTCCCTTAACAAGCATCCTTGCCTGTGCAAATGTGCATGTAGTATTGAATTTAAATAGACCCCTATGTGCTTCTTAACCTTTGTAAGCGCCAGTGTTTGTAGAGCCTCTTAATTTCCCCCAAACTCCAGCTAATTATCTCTAAAGCTACATATGTGTTTAAAATTTTGATTACATGGTTTCATTGCAGAGGGTCTATCATCCACCTGTTTTTGTGAATTAAAGATTGCAAAGAAAATAGAAGAAAGAGACTCTTGCACAGGCCCACTTTTGTGATAATACTTGATATTGCCATTTTCTCCCTCTCCCCTAAGTTGTCATTTGATTTTAATAAGGGTTTTCTTCCCAATAGTTTTTGTGTGGGTGTAATTTCTTAGGTTTTCTTCTGGAGTAAATAAACTGTGCACATATACCTAAGGAAAATCTGTGACTCCATGAAAATCCTCAAAAGTGTGTTTAATTCCACATGGTTAGCTATATTTCTCTGTTGCAGGGAAAACAAGAGTTTTGTGGCACCTTCAAAACTAACAGATTTATTGTAGCATAAGCTTTTGTGGGCCAAAGCCCACTGTCAGATGCATCAGCTGAAGAATATCGAGTTTCAGCTTTGCATTTAATTAATGTGTCAGAAATTAATTCCACCCACAGGTTAGTTTGTGACTACTCTAAGAATATATTACCCATGGAACTCCCTTCATTAAGCTATTTAGAGATCACTCCCTGGAATGCCACAGTTAGGAGTTTTCTGTGCTTAATGTTTTGATGAAAAATAAATAATTTTGCTTGCACATGCATATTTGGTCTCAAGTAACTTTAGTTTGGTTTCATGGGAACCAATTTGATGCTCCTTAAAGTTTAGAATAGCTCAAATATATTTTAAATCCAGCAAATTTATGTTGAATCTGATTAAACTTGCATCATAGAGTCTATTTAAAGGACTATTCTCTGGTTATGAAACAGTGATGAAGGCTTACTTCACCATTAGTGTCAGCTCAGGGCCATCTAGTGGGGCTCTTTAAGGCAATGAGAGAACCTTTACAATCTCCTGCTTCTTCATTTAGAGATGCCTCATCAGCTTGCTGTGACATTTTTGCCAGGCACTTTGAAGATGAAATTGCCTGTGTTAGGTCTGACTTGGCTGCTGCTGACATGGAGAGTCTAGACCTGCAGTGTTTAATGCCCTGTTCACTCACATTTGGTTAGGTAGGTTTTAGCTGTTTTTCCCCGAAGGTTGGTCAACAAGAGTTTTGTCCACACAGCCACTTGCTTGTTGAATATTGGCGACACGGCTGGTGTGGAAAAGTTTGCACTTTCAGTAATAGCTGTGTTATTAACTCTTCACTAGCCAAATCTAATATGTTGGCCACCTTTAAATAGACAGAGGTACAGATGTCACTGAAAAGCCATTATTTGATCTACAAGATTTTGGAAATTATTGGCCAATAATTGAGACCCTGTTGGCGTTTGTGGTCTTGAAAGACAGTAAATGTAACTATTTCACCTGTAGGTCTTGGGAGAATTTGGAGGTGTTTTCTGTAACTTATTTTCTACCTCATAGGAAGCAATTTGTGAAATTACATAAACTTTTATTCTTTGCTGAATATCTATCTTGACTGGGTGTGCTGGTCCCGGGGGGAGGCGTGGTCAGAGTCTGGTCCTGGGTCAAGGGTCTGGAGACAGTCCACAAAGGGCGAAGCGGGGTCCGAAGCAAGAAGCCAGGCGTGGTCAGGAACTCTGGAAGAACAGGTCTGGGTGCTGGCAGAAGCAGGTTTCCAACGACGTTGCTCCCACAACCTGGGACCGGGCTGACTGGCCTTTTATCTTCTCTGAGGCCAGGGGCGGTCCTGGCCCACAGGTGACCCGCCTCTCCTGGCCTTAAGGCGAGCACTCCTCCTGAGAGAACCCAGTTCCCTCCGCCTCTCTGCCCTGAGCCTCTGCAGCTCAGGAGAGGCTGGAGGGTTACTGGACCCAGGGGGAGACTCACTTTCCCCTGACAGGGCTGGGAGTGGCGCACCTGTAGGCAATGGGCCCTCAATCACCTCCGGAGCCAGAGTGGATTCATCTGGTGTCTGCTCCTGAGGATCCGGCACAGGTGCAGGCATTTCAGAATCAAGGCCCTGCCCCGGCTCAGCCGGCCCCGGAGGCGGGGACTCCTGTGCAGGCTGGGATTCCTCTGGTTCAGCCTCTGAATCATATTCCCAGGCCATCACACTGGGTTTGTTTGGAAATTTTGAAAGAGGTGCCTATAAAATAACATTAGATTTTAATTTGGATCCAATTGTCTCTTCCTTGAATCAATGTCTATAGGCTGCATTGGATTGGATGAGTGCTAATGTACATCAGTACATGATGCTTAATACAAATACAGTGGTACCTTGGGTTACATACGCTTCAGGTTACAGACTCCGCTAACCCATAAATAGTGCTTCAGGTTAAGAACTTTGCTTCAGGATGAGAACAGAAATCATGCTCCGGCGGCGTGGCAGCAGCAGGAAGCCCCATTAGCTAAAGTGGTGCTTCATGTTAAGAACAGCTTCACGTTAAGTATGGCGCTCCGGAACGAATTAAGTACTTAACCCGAGGTACCACTGTAAAGTGAAAATGGCTGGATATACAGTAGGATCTTTGAAGAACATGTTCCTTTTAAAGAGCTAGGCTCTCAGCTGGAGGATGTTTTTCAACTCAGCTTTTCTCTGCTCATGGATGATCAAGAGGTAGTTGTAGTCCTGGTGCATTTTTTATATTGCCATCTTATAAGTAAACAGCATCCCCCCCACCTAGATAATAACCTAGATAACCAGCCATTCATCATGCAATGAAACCCTTGTGACTTGACTTCTGCAAAACAGTCTACATAACATTGCCTTCTTAAGACATTTGAAAAGCTTCAAACTGGTGTAAAATACAGCAACCTTTTACAAATGTTTGGTTGTAGTTTCATTGGCTTTCTATTAGCTTACAGGTTTGCTTCAAAGTCTTTGTCATTAGCTGTCTAAAGCATTTAACAGCTGAGAGCTGCTCTATCTGCTAGAATGCCTTCTTGTTAGATACTTCTCCCATTTAGGGTCCAATGGCAAGGCCTTATTTCAGATCCCTTTCTGTTAGGATGCATTATCCATGAGGGTGTGTAGGAGGTGTGTTCATTTTTTCACAACTTTTGTAATATTAAGCTTCTATAAACCGGTGGAAAAAGCTGGAGTATTTTTAGGCATTCATCAGACAATAAGGACATATTAGGGTTTTTTATATTTACTTTTTGGTATACCAATCTTGACAAAGGCTTTTGGAAAAGCAGCATCTAAATTCTATTACAATAAAATACAGAACAACTGAAAGTGAAAACAAACAAATCACTAAAAATCACAACACCTGGTCAGACCAGTACATTGTTTTAAAGCTTTTGCAGATTAGCATTTAAATGGTAATAATAATAATACTGTATTTTTCGCTCTATAAGACGTACCAGACCGCAAGACGCACCTAGTTTTTGGAGGAGGAAAACAAGAAAAAAAATATTCTGAATTTCAGAAGCCAGAACAGCAAGAGGGATCGCTGCGCACTGAAAGCAGCAATCCCTCTTGCTGTTCTGGCTTCTGTGATAGCTGAGCAGCCTGCATTCGCTCCATAAGATGCACACACATTTCCCCTTAACGTTTTAGGAGGGAAAAAGTGAGTCTTACAGAGCAAAAAATATGGTAATTTATTATTTATACCCCGCCCATATGGCTGGGTTTCCCCAGCCACTCTGGGTGGCTTCCAACACAATAGTCCGTCAAACATTAAAAGCTTCCCTAAACAGGGCTGCCTTCAGATGTCTTCTAAAAGTCTGGTAGTTGTTTTTCTCTTTGACATCTGGTGGGAGGGCGTTCAACAGGGCAGGTGCCACTACCGAGAAGGCCCTCTGCCTGGTTCCCTATAACTTGGCTCAGATGTAATGCTCAGATGTATCAAAGCATGGGCCAGAGATGGCAAACTGATTATTAAAAAAGGAATACCAAGCTGTGTAAAACATCCACAACCTGTCCAGGTGGCTCAACATAACTTCAGCTTTTGATGTTGGGACATATGAATAGTCTAACTTTAGCAAAATGTTTATGAGTTGGAGGCCTCAGTTATAAGAAGTTGAATGTGGCATGGGTGTAAACTGAACTTGAAGAGTGGTTTGAACGCTTTAGGTTCTCTCCCTGTCCCCCGCAGTACATTCCTTTAGGTTTTCTTTGTCATCTTCATCTGTTTAAGCAAATGGATAGACATTCTACTAGTGTGAGCCCATATAGTAAGTGCCTCTCAATCTTTTGCACGTTTAGGCTGTATTCTTACAAGTGTTTCAACATTACTCTTATCATAATCTTAGGTATATTGCCGTAAGATAACTTTAAATTAATCATAATAAATGAATAATTTTAAATTTGTAAAATACATATCTGGTTATGACTTCATTTCCTAGTACAAAGAGATATGGCTCATTTATCATGCTACCACCTTTACTTGCCTGTTCACTGGGTGTTCCTTTTCCTGTGTCTGGCTTTTTGTCTCGACTCGCGCCTGAAAATTGTTCCTAGGAACTTTAGCTTGTGTTGACAAACTTCCTTTGCCAATTTGGATTTCTTTGTTCTCAGAGAATTGTATTCTTTAGGAGCCAATTTCCAACATGACTCTAATAAAATCAGCTGCCCTTTGTATCTAGAGTATGTCAACACGTTTGGTGTGTTTTATATTTCTTTTCCCTCAGAACATGTAGAAGTGTGTTCATATTATGCAAATATGAATACTTCCCCTTGTCTGATTTCACATGGTACATTAAATCAAGGATCAGGAGATCAGAAATGAGACTTGGGTTTATGAGTAGCATACTCCTATTTAATTTTGCTATTAGGTCAAAATCTGCAAGTTATAGTTAGGGCTTTTCCTCTATACCAAAACGGATAATCCAATTCACCCAGCAATTTCTGATTCTGATTTGGAAGGCAGCCTCTAAGCATAGTTCACCACCAGAACAAGGTATGTTTAGCATTATACAGGAATTGATAGGGGAATACATATGTTATGTAAACTGCTTAGAGGTTTTTATTGATTAAGCAGTATATAAATATTATTAAATAAAAAAAGAGAAGGGAGGAGGAAGCCCAGGGCACCTTGGCTCATTCATAATCCACCAGGCCCTGGTTTGGAGGATTGTTGAAATGTAGTGTTTCAGTGTTGTACTAAAGAATACCTAGATACCGTATTTTCCGCCCTATAGGATGCACCGTCCCATAAGGCGCACCTAGTTTTTTGGGGGGGAAATAAAGGGAAAAAGTTTATTTCCCCCCCCAGGCGCGGGGCTGGGGCAGAGGAAGCCCGAGCTTCCCCCGACCCCAGCCCCCAAACAGGCAGCTCTCTGCAAGCCGTGGGAGCCCAGCGCTGGCTCCCGCTGCTTGCGGAGAGGTCCGCGAAGCCTGGACGCGCTGAGCTCAGCGAGCGCAGGCTTCAGCATGCAGGCAACTCTCCGCAAGCAGCAGGAGCGCTCCCGCTGCTTGCGGAGAGGTCCGCAAAGCCTGGACATGCGGAGCTCAGCGCGCGCAGGCTTCAGCATGCAGGCAACTCTCCGGAGCACTCCCGCTACTTGCGGAGAGGTCCGCGAAGCCTGGACGCGCTGAGCTCAGCGCGCGCAGGCTTCAGCATGCAGGCAACTCTCCGGAGCGCTCCCGCTGCTTGCGGAGAGGTCCGCGAAGCCTAGACGCGCTGAGCTCAGCGCGCGCAGGCTTCAGCATGCAGGCAACTCTCCGGAGCGCTCCCGCTGCTTGTGGAGAGGTCCACGAAGCCTGGACGCGCTGAGCTCAGCGTGCGCAGGCTTCAGCATGCAGGCAACTCTCCGCAAGCAGCGGGAGCCCAGCGCTGGGCTCCTGCTGCTTGCGGAGAGGTGCGCGAAGCCTGCATTCGCCCCATAGGGGACACACACATTTCCCCTTCATTTTTGGAGGGGAAAAAGTGCGTCCTATAGGGCGAAAAATACAGTATTTGACCATGGCTATTCAGCCACCTTTCATCTGGTCCCTTTTCATAGTATTCCCACAGAATCCATAAAGTGTGGAAGATGTGTATTATTTAGTCTGCTGTTGGCATCTGTCTGTCTCAAGAGACAATGGAGTATGCCTCCAGGGGTGAAGTCAAACAGCTGCATTAGCAGCACCAAAGTGACCTCCCCAGTACACAAGACTGGGCAGTGTATATGGAGATCCTAGGCTGCTCAGTTGACAAGACCTCCCTCTCAGCCTCGCTGATGTGGACCAAAGGAAAATGGAGAAATACAGTTGGCTCCAGCTTAGCTGCAGGAGTTGCTGGAAGGAGGCATATAAGGTCCCATCTAACCATCTTAGGTACTCCAGTCCAGAATTGTGTAGGGTTTACTCCTTAGCCCTTTCTTCTTCCGAAGATATATTGCAGGGCAGCAGAGGTTTCGGATCAGAGATTTATTTCTCCCAGATGGGCTACCTTCCCAGGTTGACGAGCCCAGTCTCCCTTCCCTCTACAGCACATGCAGAAACTGTCCTCTTGACCCACTATTGGTCTTGTCCACTCAATCCGTTGGAGCCTGTCTTTGCTTGCAGGGGAAGTCCCTAACTCACGGAGGGTTTGAGACACATCATCTGCCCTCACCTGGTTTCTAAGAGCTACAGGTGAGAGCTGAGTGCAGGGTGGGGGACCAAAGGTGGACAAACTATCCCAGAAGGAGCTTGAAGTGTTCCACACCAGAGGTACTATCACTCTCTTAACACCCCATACACTAATTGAATTCATAATTTTTTCCTGTTCTGTAAGGGCTCCTGAAAGTAGTTTACAATATACTTAGGGCACCCTAATAGAGTTTCCCTATCAGTTTTATAAGCTAAAAATATCCCTTCCAGTAGCACCTTAGAGACTAACTAAGTTTGTTATTGGTATGAGCTTTCATGTGCATGCGCACTTCTTCAGATACCAAACGCACTGATCCTCATATCATTCAGATATCTGAAGAAGTGTGCATGCACACGCAAGCTCATACCAATAACAAACTTAGTTGGTCTCTAAGGTGCTATTGGAAGGGATTTTTTTATCTTGTTTCGACTACGGCAGACCAACACGGCTACCTACCTGTGACTAGTTTTATAAGCAACTTCTATGGTTCTTTATTATTTATCCTTATATATTCTTTATTCTCATCTGTTCTTATTTATTCTCTATTCTAATTTATTCTAGAATGTTCCGCCTAAATATTAAAAGGCTTTACAGAGCTGTTCTCTTTTTTTTAATTTAAACTATTTGCATCATAGTGGGTAAGGCTTTAAAGTGTGGCACCTTCTTCAAATGTTTCATAAATGCTGTATACTTAAGAGACGCCACTTTGCTACTCAGCAGGGGATTCCTGTACTTTCAAAACAAAGATTGGTGAATGTACCTTGGTATTAAAAGCCAGGAAGAGGGCGTACCAAGTTGTTGAAAGGGTTGCAGAATGAATGCGGAATTTAAACTTCCTTGAATTAGCAAGATTTCTCGGAGCAAATGAGGAGAAATCTGTTGGTGGCCTCTCTTAATTTGCAGTTCTTCACTACAGAATCTTAATAGGTCTGACTAGAATCTTGGTTAACTGATTAGCAGCACCAAAATATTCAAAATGTGACTTTAATTATTGTAGTAGTGGCAGTGTGGAAAAGGAGCAAGAGCTATGGCCTAGAGCCCCGCAAATTTATATGAATTGTGTTAATTAAGCTGATTTTGATAATAGGCAAATGAATTGCTGCCCTCCATCCCATAGGGCTCTTGGTGTCAGACAAATCGGCTGCTCTAGGGTTAGCTATCTAATTCATTGCTCTGTGTTGCATTTTACTGATAGCCACACACAAAATTAATTATTTGCTAGTTAGTGCAGATATGATACCACTCTGAAACAGAGTGGAGAAAGTCCACTGCAGAGCATCTCCTTTGCATGCAGAAGGCCTCAGGTTCAATCTCCAGGATCCCTTAAGTAGGACTGAGAAAGATCTCTGCATGAATTTACTGTGAACTCAGGTGATAATGAAAATGCATTTGCCCACCACAGGCTGGAGTGTCAACTGAGCTTATTCCTGGAGTGGGGTCAGATGTTGTGTGTTAGTTACACTGAGACTGGATTACGGCGGTGCTCTTTCCTTTGCACTGCCTTGGAAGTATTTGGAAAGTATTTGGAAACTTCCAAGTGATCCAGAATGCAGCAGCAAAGGGAGCTGGTTCTTACCAGCATGCAAACCCCTTGCTCCAACAGCTACTGGCTTTGAGTTTGTTTTTGGACACAATTCAAGGTTTTGGACCTTTTTAAGCAACTTAGGTTCAGGATATCTAAAGGTCCCATTTCATTCCAAATGATCCTGTCTTATTATAAAGATTTGTAGGTGAGGTACTTCTTTCTTCCTGTCGCCTCAGTTGTTTTCTCTGTGACTATACTATGGTTGTGGAACTCCCTACCTAGGGAGGCTCATGTTTTCCGTCCAAAGGTCTTTTGGCACTATTTAAGATACTCCTTTTTTGGCAGGCTTTGAGCTTGTTTGAGCTGAAAGGCTTTTTACTAATCCTATGATGTTTATATTTGTATCTGCTGTGAGCTGTCTTTTAGTCTGGAATTTTATTATTAGTGCTAGATATAGAAGTTTGCTTTGTAAGTGTTGAACACCATTTTAAGGAACCTTGAGGTGGTGTAAACAAAATAGATGAAAAGGCAGGGTTTTTAATTGATCTATGAAAATAATTAATGCCATTCCTTCTTCAAGTCCGTTCTCTGCTTCTGCCTTGCTCACAAGGCACCCATCTCCCTTGTATGTCACTGCTGCAATTTAATTGTCTCTATGACGACTGCCTGTGTTACACCCAAACAGGTGATGCAAGCAATATTAATCGTGCTCTGAGGCCTCCACAGGAGACTGAAGGCTGAGATTAAGATCTTAGGTATTATACTGGTCATATATTTCTAAACTTCAATTAAAACTAGTCAGTTTTAGCCTGTGTAATCCTCCCTTGAGAGACTTTCCCAGAGCAATCTCCATTGAAGATTTAAAGCCTAAGGGGTAGGCAAGCCTTGGATTAGAGAATATGGTTTTGTGTTTAAGGCATATGACTGCAGCCTGAGATAACTGGCTTTTATCTGTCTCTGTCTCTTACATAGCCATCCTAGGATGATGTAGGTTGAACTGTGCTGATGAATTTTTCCACAATATTTCCTTTTCCTTTTTCTCTTTCCACCCCACCTCTCTGTTGTTAAGTGATTCCACACTAGATCTAAAATGTTTTTAAAAGGCACTCGTGTTCACAGCACAGTTAAAATTAATGGCAAACTGTAGGTAACTGACAGCTCTGAAAAAGCAAAGCTGAAATGTTGCAATCCAGAAACTCATTCATTATCATGTGGAAAGTTTAGGAGGTATAATCTTCATGCTGGGGGAGGGTGCATTGAGTGATATTGATAATTCAGATTCCTGTAGAAATGTTCTGAACACGAATTATTTGGTTCCCAGATATTTTGCACTTTCCAAAAGCACCCATGAGGAAACCCATGGTGCCAGATTTCGAGCATGTTGAATTTAGTCAGGTAAAGAAGGATTAGGGATAGAAATTTGATTTGGGTAAAAAGTACTACTGGACGTATGCCTCGGTTTTGCCTGCTTTAATAAAAGGCATGTAGAGTTAAGTGTCAGGCCTCTAATTGCAGAGTGGAGTACAATAGGTAAAAATTGAGCTTTTGTGAATTCTTTTTAAAAATGAACTAGGTACAGGCCTTGGCAGGGGGTAAATAAAAAGGTATAATTATTTTTTCAGTTCCCCATATTTTCTATCACTGAGGTAGAGCAAGGCTTGGCACCTGGTCTGCTTTTCTGGTCTGGTTTCCCCAAAATTAATATCATCACTACATTTGCTCAGGGTCTCAGCAAGGACAAATAAGCATTTTCTACTTCCAAACACAAACCTTTTCCTTATGTCTGATGTGAGGACAACATCATTTAAAATGCTAGTAGCATTAAGATAAATTCAACAGTGTAAATAAATTTTGATTAATAGAACAATGGTTTACTGAATGGTTTAGTTCGTGCAAAATACGCAGGGATGTATGGTGTGCAAAATGAACCACGGAAAGAGAAGAAGGGAAGTCATTGGTTTAAGGTTGTTTAAATGAATATTTTGAAATGTATATTAGAAAATTTAAGAAAAATTATATAAAATAAAATGCATTTCATTTAGCAGTTCCTGTCAGTGGTGACTGGTGACTCGTCAAGGTGGCTGGCAGATTTGATCCCCTCCCATCTCTATACCTAAGTATTTCCCACTATAGCTTCAAGCTGTGTCTCTTTACTTGTACAAGAGGAAGTCAAGATGCATACTTAGAAGCACTATAAAGGTTGGAAGCAAATCTGCCCTAGAGATCCCTGTCTCTGGAGTTGGTGGGGAGGGAGGCATTTTCTCCTCTCAGAAGTGACCCAGAATTCACTGAGAGTTATTGAGAACAAGGCAACTGCTCCTTGCATTGCCTTACTGCCATTGCCCATGCTGGATGGGACCAAAGTGAGTTGGGGTTTGACAACATCTGGTGGGCACCGGGTTGAGGGGAACACTGTGCTAGAATGTGAAACAATATTGGAGATGGGTTTTATAGAGAGGTGGTTGGCCTCACAAACCTGACTATTAAAAAAATGAACATTACAGGAGGCTGATAATTTGGAACAACAATCTCTGAATGTTGTTTTTTCAGCTGCTATGCTAAAATTGTGTAGACATGAGCCAGTGGACGTGACAAAGTTGGTGCTGTGCAGTCGAGTGATATGCTGGGGTCAGAAAGTGAAAACCATACAAATCTGTGCAAACTCTGACTTTTCCCTGGCAGCTGAACAACAAAACGGCTGTGCTCTCGGAAACTGGAGTTTGTCACTGGCAGAAGTAGCCATAACTTATGTGCTGCTGAGTTTGTATTCCCAGTTTACTCTGTTGTTGGCTTCCATGTTAACTTCTTCATTCGCATTTTCTCAGTGACTCTTTCCAGGCTTACCCTTGTTTTTTCTTCCTGTGTTCTTCATACTGAGGATAAAGTTAATCCTTACACTGATTTGACCAGATGTGCTGTAACTCCCATTATAGTTTTAAGCAAAAGGGTCCTTTTTCCTCCCTGCTGTTTAAACATAACATAATCCAAGGTGTTTAACTGTCATGGTGACACAATGATTATCTAAAACACTATACAGTACACAGTTTGCATCAGAACAGGCTGTCCTAATTTGATCTAGGGGTCTTGTCTGCATCTTGTCTGTGATGGTTTGACTAAGCTCCTGATACAGTGATGGAGAACTTGAAGTGAGTGGAAAATAATATGTTTAAACCAGCATGATGAATACAGTATGAAAATAGATGATGATGATGATTTTGCTGCAGTCTTTTCCAGGACTTGGTGTTGGCATTGGCTGTACTATTAATGTCAAAGATGTTCAGTAGCAGATGGATCCTTTGTGTATCCTTAAACTGAAAGCAGTAATAAGGATGAGGACATCCACTGCTTTATTTTTAGCCAGCTAATACAAAGTGTAAGCATTCTCTTGTGCTTGAAATCAGTAGCAACTAGCTCTGTGATGTGTCCACTACCATTGAGATGTGACTCTAGAAGACCTCAATTCATCTCTTCCCCAACAGGATTTATTTATTTTAAAATATGTATATGCTGCATTTTCCAGTTATGAACTCTCTCAGGGTGATTTAATGTGGACAAAATAAAACACATAACAATAATACAGAATAGGGACCATGTGGCATAATTTCAACAAAACACCCTCCCCTACACAAAATGAGCCAGCAGTAGTACAGCATCCAAGCAAACCCCAAATCTAAATACAGTTCCCCCTGATTTCTCCATTACATTGCGTAGCACATAAAGAAATGCTACTCAGGTACAAATTATTCATGAAACAAATAAAGTTTCCAAAGCTTTCTAAAGGACTGTTGTGTAGTAGCTTCCTGATGGTCAGTAGGAATGAATTCTAGGGCTGTGGGGCCACCACAGAGAAGACAGTCTCTTTCACACTCACCAATCTAGGTGGTACGCAGTTGAGGAGAGCCTCTCTTGTTGAATGTTAAGATATAGTCAGTTTGCTAATAGATGCAGGCAGTCCTTCAAACCATTCAAAGCTTTTAAGATTGAAACCAGCATTTTTAAATTGGCTCAGAAACACACTGACAACCAGTGCAGCAGCTATTATGAGGAAGTTGCATGATCTGACTGCCTTTCCCCCTCTGGCAGCCACATTTTCAAACAGCTGAAGTTTCCAAGCTTTCTTTAAAGGCAAAGCCATGTAGAACGATTGCAGTAGCCAAGCCTAGATGTGACCATAGCATGGATTATTCTTGCTAGGTCCGCTCAATTAAGTTGGTTCACCAGCTGAAACTTAAATCATACATCACATCACCCCCAGTACCTGAGCCTCCTCCTGGCTGTTTGCTTCTGAGATGCTTCTCTTTGCCTTGGCCACCTCCTCACATTTGTGTTGGAGAGCTAAGCTCTTGCCTTGACACAGTGTGTTTTTCACATGCGTTGGCTGTACTGTATAGCTTTCCTAGCTCATTGTTAGAATCATCTGTACAAATGCATTTTCTGAGCATCCAGGGTACTAGTGGAAGATCCAGAAATAATGACTGGAAGATTTAAAAATGTGGTATCCATGAGTGCCATTCAGTATTCTTGCACCAACCAAGCGTCCTTTAAGAAAGGATACCAGGCACTTCATTGAACTCTTGAGCTCAGAAATGGCCTAAGAAAAACTGAAGGAGGCTGTCTATCAATGGCACACCAATAGTACATGGGAATAAAACTATTCATGTGGTCTGTTTCTGAAACTGCATGCACAATAATAACCATGTTGACGTTGGAGAGAGGTTGTGTGCAGTGTATAGGGGTCTAGAAGTCAGATTCTGTGAGACAGCCATTTTCATGATTTTGGTTTTTCAAAAGTAGACTTAGATGCAAGCTTTAGAGCAGCTACCCTTACATTATGTTATTTGTGTATAAGCTTGACATTTGAAAAGCATTCGCAATAAAATCTGAATTCTAAGCCCTTTGTGACAAAAGAGCTTTCATGAAGCATTTATTAGTTATATTTGAAATTGACATTTGGTAGCAGGCTTCTAGAAATACTTGGAAAAGATCTTGGGAGTTTTTTGTTTAAAAAATTAGATGTTAGGAGCATAGAAAAGGTGAATTGCTTTCACAAAAGAGTTGTGCTTATTTCAGTTGTCTTACTAACAAAACATTATTCTTTTATACTTCCTAATCTTATGTTGATCATGGTGCTATACAAGACTATATTGATGCTAATATACCTATTACTTCATTCCAAAACTACAGCCTACTCAGATATGGATTTGCAATGTGGGCTGAAGGTTCTCTTTCTAGAAGGGTTTCAACATTGCAGGGTTAGGACAAATCCTTTGTTCAGATCCACTGAATCCATTCCTTGAGATCCACCGGTTTGAAAATTTCTTCCATTGACTGCAACCGTGTGGTCTGCTCCCAGTTTCCCAGGGAGAATTTCCAGTCACCTCAACATGTAAGCTCTTATTCAGTCAGCAAACTGAAATTTACCCATCCTGTGTGTATTTGAGATAATGTTAATATAATTTAAAGATTTAGCTCCCTTTCTTTGTTTAGTATTTGATACTAACTGTGCATCTCTTTGAAAAACACAAAAAATAACTTCGTTTAAAATAGTGGTTTTATGTTTACTAAATTGCCGAAGTCGCTTTTGTTTAGTGTCTCCAAGTTCATGTTTCAAATACAGTGGTACCTCTAGTTACGAACTTAATTTCTTCTGGAGGTCCGTTCTGAACCTGAACCTGTTCTTAACTAGAGGCGTGCTTTCGCTAATGGGACCTCTTGCTGCCGCTGCGCCGCTGGCATACAATTTCCGTTCTCATCCTGGGGCAAAGTTCTCAACTCAAACTAACTGTTCCAGGTCAGCGAAGTTTGTAGCCTGAGGCGTTTGTAACTCGAGGTACCCCTGTAACTTGAATTAGAGGCTGTACCCAATAAAATTAAAGGAGCTTGAGGATATAATCTCAGAGCCTTTGTCTATAACAGGGGTAGGCAACCTAAGGCCCTTGGGCTGGATGCGGCACAACCACGTTCTCAATCCAGCCCGCCGACGGTCCAGGAATCAGCATGTTTTACATGAGTAGAATGTGTCCTTTTATTTAAAATGCATCTCTGGGTTATTTTGGGGGCATAGGAATTCGTTCATTCCCCCCCCCAAAAAAATATAGTCCGGCCCATCACATGGTCTGAGGGATGTTGGACCGGCCCACGGCTGAAAAAGGTTGCTGACCCGTGGTCCATAATCTTTGAGAATTCTTGGAGAATAGGTGAGGTCCCTACAGACCGGAGGCGGTCAGATGTTGTTGCCCCATCTTCAAAAGGAGGGAGGGAAAAGACCCATGAAACATCTCAACTCTACGATTCTGTGCATCTGATGGAAATGGACTGCAGTGCATTTTTGCTGCAACACTGCTATGGCTCTGAAACTTCAGAGAGGGGAGGAGCCAAAAGGATTGGGTGTATCAGCAGAGCCAGTAAGGTGATACTTCTTCCCATCTCTTCCTCAGACTGTTGGAACGGCTGCTACTTGGTGACAAGTTTTAGAGGAGGAACAACCCAAGGCAACTAGTCTGTCATTAAAAGTTAAGAATGAACCAAGACAATAGTCTAACTTTTCATTTGTCTAAATAAAATGCTAGTACCGTATTTTTTGCTCTATAAGACTCACCTTTTCTCTCCTAAAAAGTAAGGGGAAATGTGTGTGCGTCTTATGGAGTGAATGCAGGCTGCGCGGCTATCCCAGAAGCCACAACAGCAAGAGGGATTGCTGCTTTCACTGCGCAGCGATCCCTCTTGCTGTTCTGGCTTCTGAGATTCAGAATATTTTTTTTCTTGTTTTCCTCCTCCAAAAACTAGGTGCGTCTTGTGGTCTGGTGCGTCTTATAGAGCGAAAAATACGGTAATTTGTGAGTATGTGAAGCTAAAAAATCAAACGGATTAAATGCTCGTTCAAGTGTATTGATATGTGGTTTCTTGTTCTTTTCAGTCTTCTAGCACCACTCATATAATTTCTTGACTTCAATTCTTGGATGACTACTGCATTAGGCCTTGTGTTGCTCTTAAGAGGTTTTGTACTTCCTGGTAGGAGGTATGAAGCTGATTCAGGGCTTGTGAAAAGATGACTAGGTGGAAGCCCCATATGTATATTTGAAATGTGAGATTCTCAAAACAGCTGTGTGATGAGATCTCACTGTTTGTCAGAGCAGATGGGCAGGAAAAGTCAAAGTAAGCACCTTTATATGTACCTGGTTTAATATCTAATTTATGCTTGATCCTTTTTGACTGAATAGCAGCATTAAAATGCTTTGCCTAAATAAATAAAGTACTATGGGAATTATTTCCTTTATTTTATTTTACTCATTTCCAGCTAATGCCCATTGGTCTGGCTGCTTTGGAGACTGCAGTACCAGCACTTGATGAATCTGCTCAAAGTAATCTATGAGCACAGGTAAAGGTAAAGGTAAAGGGACCCCTGACCATCAGGTCCAGTTGTGGCTGACTCTGGGGTTGTGGCGCTCATCTCGCTTTATTGGCTGAGGGAGCCGGCGTACAGCTTCCGGGTCATGTGGCCAGCATGACTAAGCCACTTCTGGCGAACCAGAGCAGTGCACGGAAATGCCGTTTACCTTCCCGCCGGAGCGGTACATATTTATCTACTTGCACTTGACGTGCTTTCGAACTGCTAGGTTGGCAGGAGTAGGGACCAAGCAATGGGAGCTCACCCTGTCACGGGGATTCGAACCGCCGACCTTCTGATCGGCAAGTCCTAGGCTCTGTGGTTTAACCCACAGCGCCACCCGCACAGGTACATGGGTGCAAAACAGAAACCCACTAATGGACAAAAATGCCATAAAACGTCCACCAACCTTCCCTCAAACTTCGGGATGCTGTTGATTCTTCAATTCAGGCACTTATTGCAGTTTTCAGGATCTTCCAGCTTAAATTGCTACCCTCTTAGTTTTACTTAAGAGGGCTAATTTTTGCTGTACTTTAAGTCCTAGCCCATAGCAGCACTTACCATTATAGAAATCTCAGAATTTGACTGAGATTTTGTTAACACTATTCTATAAAGGTTTGATTCTAGATGAGACATAAGAACTCATTGTAGCTACTTGAACAATTACTTGTTTGTTATTTGTTTACCAACCAGTGTCGAGAGAAGAGGTTGTTTCATAGGTGGCTTTCAAGAACAGAGACAGTAGTCTCTCAAGTTGCCATATAATAAATTGAAGTACAGCGAGAGAGCCTCCCTGATTATCTTAATTTATAAGCAGCTGGATCAGTATAGGAGGAGGCACTCCATTAAGTATTTGCTTGAATGTAATGCGCACCTTTTTTGGCCAAATTAGGTTGTGAAAATTAGGGTGCACATTAGATTTGAGGGCACATTTACATTTGCCAGCCAATACTTTTTTGGTTTCAAGGTTTTGAAAATTGAGGTGCGCATTAGATTCAATGGTGCATTAGATTCACGTAAATACTGTAGATCCCAAGTTGTTTCAGGGGTTTTAAACCATCACATGCATCTTGAATTGGGTTCAGATGGCATATAGACAGCCACTGCAAGACTAGTGTTATATATTCTCAATAACCTGATCTGCTCAATAACTGAGTGACCATATTTTGCACAAGCTGCTGTTTTCTGGACAGTCTTCAAATGCAGCATTATGCAGAGCATAGTATAGCAATCAGTTATAAACGCTGCATGGCTGCTATGAAAAAAGCAGCCCCACATCACCTCATCTGTTGCTTTGTAACATCTAGTAACATCACAATTGTGATTACATCTTACTTCATGTTTTAGACATTATGAAGGAAGGATGAGATGTTGGGTCACTACTTTTGGTGGCTGTCTTACCACTTCCATAAGGTCCAGTTTATTTTGCCCCTGGTCAGTTCATGTCCTCATGAATACTAGTAAGAGTTCATGCTGTCTTGTAGAAATCCTGTTTCAATAATAATAATAATAATAATTTATTATTTATACCTTGCCCATCTGGCTGGGTTTCCCCAGCCACTCTGGACGGCTTCCAACAAAATATTAAATTACAGTAATGCATCAAACATTAAAAGCTTCCCTAAGCAGGGCTGCCTTCAGATGTCTTCTAAAAGTCTGGTAGTTGTTGTTCTCTTTGACATCTGGTGGGAGGGCGTTCCACAGGGCGGGTGCCACTACTGAGAAGGCCCTCTTCCTGGTTCCCTGTAACTTGACTTCTCGCAGTGAGGGAACCGCCAGAAGGCCCTCAGCGCTGGACCTCAGTGTCCGGGCGGAACAATGGGGGTGGAGACGTTTAGGGCTTTAACGGTCATAAAGCAACATTTGTTACTGGCTTAGTAAGCTGCCTTCTACTAAATCAGGCTATTGTCAATCTAGTCTGCTATTGTTTACTTTTGATGGACAGCTGCTCTGCAGGTTCTAAGGCAGAAGTCTTACCCATCATCTGCTACATGTTCCTTTTGAGTGAAGATGTTAGGAATCCAGGGCATTTTGCTTTCATAGTATGTGTTGAGTTTGCATTTAATTGTGTGTTGTGGGTGGAACACATAAAGCTGCCTTCCACCTTACTCAGTATGGTCTACACTGACTGGCAGCAGGTCTCCATGGATTCAGACAGAAATTTCTTCCATCCCTACCTTGAGATACTGGGGACTGAATCTGGGACCTCCAGAATGCAAAGCATAAACTATGCCACTGAGCCACACCCCTTCCTTTGGGGTGTTTGCGTGTAATAACATCTGTTGGAACTTTAAGTTGTTTTTGGCTGCTAGTGATAAACTGGTGTAGAGTTTATCTTCTGGTACATTTTTTGAAAGTAAGTATACTTGGCAAACCTCCCCTGAAAAGTCTTTATAGATTAAACAATCTTTTGTAAGCACATGCAGTCATCACTAACTGGCTAAGATATTCTCTGTACTTAATTACTTTTGGAGGATGGGCACAAGATTTTAAACACTTTTGTTTATTTGAGTTGAGTTAACTCTTGGAAGTTGCTGACTCGTATCCTGCAGTCTACCAGCCTAAAATAACAAAGTAGAGAAAGAACCCAATTTGCAGGCAAAGCAGATGCTGGCTGCTAAATATACAATGAGTTCTTAAGTGGAAGGGTTTTGGTGGGGGGAATGTGAGAATGTCCAGGAAAGCAAAGAGAGCTAGATGCATGGAATAGGTAAAAGAAAAATAGAGGCTTGTTGAAGGAAAGACCTTCTTGCTGCACAGAAGGTCCCAAGTTCCCGATCTGAAACTCTGGAGAGCAGCTGCCTGTCTACATAGACAGTACTGAGTCAGATGGGCCACTGGTCTGACTCATTACAAGGCAGCTTCCTTTGTTTCCTGATTTCTGAGTCAGAGAGAGTACTTAAAAAGTTCCCTCTCAAGGTTGTCAAGCAGACCTCATCAAGGCAGTGTTCTTATGTTAAAATTCCCCTTTTCAGTGTGAAACATGTGGCCAGTCAAGAAGCTAGAGGTGATCAAACAGTGCGGTTATAATGAATGCCAATGACAAGGCTGGTGGATAGGAGACAGCAATGGGGGCTCAACACTACGGTACCTGTTGTATGATTTATGGGAGAGGCGAAATCTGTCATGCACTGACTTGATCCTGCTCACCAGCACTTTAGCTAGCATGTGTTCATGCATGGTCTTGATGAGTACATCTCCTGTTACTTGCTTGGCATGTATTTGGAGAAACGCCATACAGTCAGTCAATCCCCACATGCCTCTCTTCTCATGTTCATTGTCACATACTTGGGCTATTGAAGCAATATCTTCTGCTACATTAGTGTTTCATGTTTGCCTAGTGATATTTGTGCTTCAAAAAGGAAACACATGAAAAAATAATAGAAAAGTATTGTAGGAAGAAAATGTTTTATTGCGAATTCTGAGGCATGTGGTGTTGAGATGCATCTCACAATTTGAGTGCCATGTGACAGCTACTTTAAATCAGGCATCCCCAAACTCGGCCCTCCAGGTGTTCTGGGACTACAACTCCCATCATACCTGACCACTGGTTCTGTTAGCTAGGGATGATGGGAGTTGTCCCAAAACATCTGGAGGGCCGAGTTTGCCTATGCCTGCTTTAAATTAATTTTGTGTAGTACCTCTTTACCCAACGATCCATTGTTAGGGGATGATAGTTTGCCATACAGATTCTCCTTTCTCCCTTTTCCACCAGACATTCCTGGTGGAAACTAGACTACTGCAATGTGTTCTATGTAGGGTTGTCTGGAAACTTTAGCTACTGCAGAACGCAGTGACTTAACTGCTGATGGGGGCAGATAGAATGTGGTACCTGCACTGGTTACCTAGCCAAATTCAAAGTTAATGTTTTGACAGACAAAGCCCTGAACAACTTGAGCTCAGGACACCTTTACAACTGCCTGAGCCCTTACATCCCAGCTGAGGGATATATCAGTTGTTCCCTGTGTTACAGAGACCCAGCTGGCATCAACTAGAAGGTGGGCATTGAGTACTGCCCGTTCCATATTGTGAAAGGTTCTTCCACCAGACATTAGGCAGGCACTCTTACTTTTGACTTTCAGACATCTCTTAATACCTTTTTAATGCTGTAGGCCTTAATAGCTGTTTAATTTTTAAGTTTTTGATTAGCTGCTCACTTTAATAATTATTATCTGTATTGTTTTTAATGGTGCTTTATGTGTTAATGTTGCACACTGCCTTGATGTTTTATGATATGGGGTACCGAAAAACTTAGAAATAAATTCCTGACAGCATTTTTCAGCAGCATGGAGTGACACAATATGGGGCCGATCGGTGTAGCAAGCTGGAACACATGGAAGACTGTAGTGTATGGAGCAGGTACAGTCTGGAGTCAGCTACAAGAAGTTTCCATATGGTGGCTGTCATTCAGCACCAGCCTAGTATGTCTGTTGAAGAACAGGCTCTTTGAGCAATGAACTTCTCCCTTCAAACAGAGTCTGAAGATAGTCCTAATTAGAAATACCAGATTTTCCTCATGGTATCCACTCTTGAAAATGGAGCATTTTAGAGCTGTTTATCTGACCAAACTCTCACCAGCTTCCTTACGAAATGTCTATATTGAGCTGCATCCAAATGATACAATTTTGGATGGCCACCACAACAAGGTTCCATATACAGACAGACTTCGTTTTTGTGGTCAATCTCAAGTTGAAGACTTCATTCATTATCTGTTAACCTGCCCTTTATATAGACACCCAAGGGATCGCTTTATGAACTTTTTCACACAAGCAAGCAGGTACACCCCAGCAGAAATTATCTGGTTTCTTTTGAATGATGATAGTAGCTTTCTAACACACAGAGTGGCCCTCTATGCAATGACTACAAAGGAGGAGGAGGAGGAGTTGTGGTGATTCAGAGATTTAATTTGAAATCAAGCTGGGTATGAGTTTGCTGGTGTCTGGCAACCTCTCTCTTACATCATGGATGTTGGCTCTTATTATGGTTATATGATCTGTACTGTTTTATTGGTACTGTTGCTGTGGGTTTGTCATGGCCTTTGGATAGAACAATGAATTTATATTGATTGATTGATCCTAAGACCTGCTTTTTCACTTTTTTGAATATTTTTCTCCAGTTTTTATTTATTTTTATTTGTCTGCTTACATCCTGCCACTACAAAGAGAGCTCAAAAAGTGGGTTGCGGTAATTAACCATAAAATTGTGTGTTTGTGTGCCTCTGCTTTGCGTGTCACAGAATATAATTTGCAATATAGTTTCCCTACCATATTAGCTGTACCACTGATCAAAGGCATACAGATTTAATTCATTCTATGTGGACTAGAGTGGCAGTATGTATGTATGTATTTATGTATGTACGGTATGTATGTATGTATGTATGTATTGCTTACATCCATCTTTCGAGGGGAGATTGCATTTTAATCCTCTCTCTTAAACCTTTAAACAGCTTTTTTGACTCTCTAGATTCAGATGTTTTAAGTGTGTGCATTTCAGGTTTTCTTTTCATACATCTTGGTTAATAAAGTTTTCTCTTGGCTATGTTTTTGGAAGAGGCCCAATACTCACTTGTGCTATAAATAGGTATTTCAGTCTATCCTCAAATCTGCTAACTTTAGCTGCTATGGGCTCTCTGAACAATGTCTGAAAGAATGTGCTTCATGGAGAAGTTGCTTACTTGGCATTCTGTTTCTTCACTACAAAAATAAAGCTAATGCCCACATCTGTGCTAGTAACTTTTCACCGTTTGTACAAAAGAAGCAAAGATAAGTTGAGCTTGTTTGGTCATGTCTAAAGTCATTTCTGCAACCATCACTTAAAACAGGGGAGTAGAATCTGCGGCCTTCCAGATGTTACTATAGTTGATCTTAGCCAAAAAGGCTGAGAAATGATGGCCCTCCAGATGTTGTTGCACTCCGGTACCTATCAGCTTCAGCCTTTATAGCCAGTGGTCAAGGATGATGGGAGTAATAGCCCAACAACATCTGAAGGGGTGTACATTGGCTATGCCTGGCCTAAAGATTGTTGTCAAAAGAGAAAAATTAGTTGAAAATACCATTTGCTTATTTCAAACACACAACACAACAAATTAAAATATCACCTCTGAGAAAACATGTGAAGAATGTGCAGAGCTGTGAACATGCAGCTTTATAATCTCTGCATTTACAGTCGTACCTTGGAAGTCGAACAGAATCCATTCCAGAAATCCGTTCAACTTCCAAAAAGTTCAAAAACCAAAGCGCAGCAGCCAATCGGAAGACTCATCGGACATTCGGCTTCCAAAAATAGTTTGCAAACCGGAACAGTCACTTCCAGGTTTGTGGCATTCGGGAGCCAAAGCGTTAGAGAACTGAGCTGTTCGAAAATCAAGGCACGACTGTATTGGTTTTATACAAGTCCAAGAAATTTCACCCATGGGTTGATATGCTTTATATGAGAGAGTTCTAGCCTTTCCCTTTCCAAGTCTTGTTACATGAGTGTGGCCTTTATTCCTCTTCACTTCTCTGGCTTCAGTGTGTTTTCCCTACTCAGCATCCCCACCTCCCAGTTTCTCTTCCCATTCACTACTCAAACTTCTTTCCCTTTGTGAGCATAGGACAGGCCTGGTTCTGGAGAAACAGGCCAAATTTCACTTCTCCCTAGGTCTATGATAATGACCACTGATGAATTGGGAGGGCAAGGAGATGGGGGTGGACAATTGTCCCATAAATTTGTCCATCATAGAGGCCATTTTTGTGAATTGGACTAGGCCTGCTTTTGCAGTTCTGCCCAGGCTCTGCTTACCAAAGCAAGGAGTGCAGCTTGGTAGAGATACAGCTAAGTAACTTGTTGCTTCTCCCCACTTCCACCAAAAAACGGGGAAAGTAAAGCAGAATGAAGACAATGCATCATGGCTTATCTGTTTTCAAACCCATTTCCATGCTCAAGTTGAGGGGGAGGGGATTAAGCATTTTTTAAAAATGCATCACATTCATAGTCCTTTTCCTCCATATGGGGTGGGAGGAGATTCATTTTCCCCCTGCCTTCCTTTTGTGGATCATGGTGGAACCAGGAGAATCCTAGATGTGTTTCATATGTAGTTGTATCCCTACCGCTTTCCAGGCTACGGTAAACTGACTGAATGCTGGAAAATGACTTTTATATATCAGGGGTGCAGAGCCTGTGATCTTCTAGGTCGGACTACAATTCCCATCATTTGTGACTTGGGGTAGGAGAACAGCATCTGGAGAACCCACAGGTTCCCCATCTCCTATACAGATTCTCCATTGTCTTGGAAGATGCCTAGATTTGCTGTCGTTTGTGCAGGTATATCGGTTCATGTGGAAAGGCAAAAGTCATTATGGATATCCCTCCGCCCTGAAAAGTGTTTGCATTTCTGAAAACGCAAAGCAGCACCTGCAGGGCGTGTGGTGAGTTGCATTTGGTGTCCCTCAGAGGAATAATTCAGGCACTTGCTGCTGAGAGCATGACAGATCCCGGATCATTTACTCTTGTAATTTGCTGGCTGACTACTAAAATAGCTGGCACATCTTTGATTTTTAGAGTACCTCCAGTGACATTGTATGAAAGTAGGTCACTGGTACAGTGTATGGAATTTGTTGTAAAACATTAATGAGGGGGTTGCTTATGGTGGGATTAAGTCTGCAGAAGTAAAGTATACTATCATGAGGCAGTGATGGGAGCATCTGAACTTCTGAACCATTTTGCACTTCTCAGTCGTTCACTTTCTCGGTTTGCCTTCTGCTTTACACAGCAACTGAGGATAATAATCCCCTGCAAAAGGTAATCCATAAGTATCTGGAACATTAATCCTCAGACTATCAGTTTCAAAGAAGAAAAATACTTTCTTGAGTCCAGTTGTTTAGGTGCCTATTGTGGCGATTCAAAATAATGTCCAATGGGATCAGAATAAGGGGGGGGGGGAGCATTGAAAGTAAGCGATGAGGAGGCTTCATTCTTTTCCTGAAATTTCTTACCTACAGTAAGAAGTGTTTTATATAATTAAGGCAGGGTTCTCTTTGGGGCAGATATCATTGCCCAAAGCAGTGGTTTTCAAACTGTTCAGCAATCACTGGGATGGCAGAAAGCACAATAGCAGTTTCTCAGTGAGGAGATCATAGGTGATGGAAAAGCTTCCCCTAAATGTTTTAATAAATAATATAAACTAACAATTCAGTTCCATTAAGGATATTAAACCATTTCAATAATACCATTGATGTTTATATTTTTTAATTAGTGTAACCTCTGTTTAGATCAGTGGCCCAATGTATCAAGAATCCACCCAATTAAAAGCCTGACTAAATAGATAGTTATGGTGAAAAACAACCAGTGTTGGTGCCAGATGGATTTCAAAAGGGAAGGTATTCCAAAGCCTAGGCTGTTTCACTTCCAGTCTCTTAATAATACATTATGGTTCTGTGTCATCAAAACTCCATTTTACATATCCAAGATACTTACTGTATAAACCCATTAGCAGCTGTTGTTTCCAGGTCAACTCAGAATGCTAGCAATTAGCTATGAAACCTGAGCCCAATACCATAGGCATCATGTTCTGCCATATGGCATGTACCTATAAGGGAGTCTGTTAAGATCTAAAGGAAGGGCCCTGTTCCTGATGGCATCTGCCACTGAATAAAATATGAGTGAGAGGAGCACAACCTGTTCGGTTATGGCACCATAATCATGAGACTCCCTTCCAAGGGGGACCAACCAGCAGAGGGTTTTTTTTTAAAAAAAAATCTTTGTTTTTGGCCTGTGCTGGTAATACCTACTGTTGGGGCTGAAGGCCACTGAACACAAACTGTAAAGCTTGCCACTATTTTCATTAGTCCTAATCACTTTCAGCAGACCTAATCATAAAAGTATTGATCAGCTGTGGACTCAGGATTATGGTTTGTTGTAGCCAGCTTGCATTAACTTATGATTTTCAAATAAGTTTACTATCCTACATAGTGGAAACAAATGCATGCTAATATAAAAGTCTCACAAACTTAAATCGGTATAGGTATATGCAAATAGATTCCATATACATGAAATTGTTTGTGGATTGAGCTAACTTTTTGTAAGTCAATTTGAGTCATTTTTATGAGTAAAGTGATGATGAGGATGATGATAAACAACAACAACTGGAGCTTATGTTGAAATTCATGGGGAAAACCCTGGTTGGTTGTCAAAGGCTTTACAACCAGGTTTTTTTTAGAATTCTGAATATTCCTCCCTAAGCCTGGGAAAAGTTAGTGTGATTAATTCTCTTAAGGGTATCCATCACCATAAACTGTGTGCTTCTATTAATACTTGCACTGCTTGTGCGGTCTATGTAAAGGGTTCTATGAGTGTGGCACCCTGACTGAATTTTGCCTTGCATTGCTGCAGCAGGTTGGTGCACTCACAGTGAATAGCCAGTGTCGCTGTGAATAGCATTTGCTCTCCTGTTTCTGAAAAAAGGCTGTCTGCAAACAGTGGCTTTGGCTCAGAAGTGGCAGCTTTTCTTTTGTGCAGACTTGTGTGCTTCCCAGCCTCACTTGCAGAAAGTTCATGGCACTCTTGATATTGAGGACCAAAGATTTTCCAGACACTGCACTGGAATAGAGTGTGACAAGAGAAATCTTTTTCATAGAAGGCTTAAACCACTACAGCCGTACCTTGGTTGTCAAACAGAATCCATTCTGGAAGTCCGATCGACTTCCAAAAATGTTTGACAACCAAGGCGTGGCTTCCGATTGAGTGCAGGAGCTTCAGACGTTCGGCTTCCAATGAACGTTTGTAAACCGGAACACTCACTTCTGGGTTTGCGGTGTTCAGGGACCAAAACGTTCGAGTCACAAGGTGTTTGGAATCCAAGGTATGACTGTATTTTCCCTAAACTTCTGATAGCTGATGAACGCTTCATTTATTTTCTTTTTCCTGATTCAAACATCTTTGCTCTCATCCTGGAAAACGTTTAGTTTTCCTATGTGAATTAGGAAAGTTTTCAGTTTGAATCAGAAAATTTTATAATGTCCTAGAGAGTGATCTAATTTAGCATATTTGCTTTACTTCTGTTTAGAGAACAAAGCTAAAAACTTGGAAACTGCCAAGCTTTACATTCATTGTTGCTAATGAAATTATGAAATAGAAAATTTTCTGCAGAAAAATTAAATGGGGGGGGGGTCCCACTCCCTGTCATTAGTCACTCTCCTGGGGACATTTCATTCAAGGAATGGTTATTCTGCTGCTTTCCTTCATCAACTGAATAGAATGATTGAGATGTATCTTCTGAGGTACTGCAGAAATCCTTTCCCGTGCAGCTCAGTCTACCTACATGTAATTGCATATTCCTCCTGTTTACCCTACCTTCAAGCTTATCCCCTTCCACTATTATCTCCCTTTTGTCTGTTTCTACATTTTAAGCTGCTTGAGGCAGGGACCTTTCTTCTTCCTTGGTAAAGGGATTCATGGATGACACTATATAAAGGACAGAGGTGGATTTAGTTAAACACAACTGGTTCCTCTGCTCTGGATGCCGAGCCTAAGGGGCACTGCTGGGTGTCGCAACTATGATGTAGTGAATTGATCAGAAAAGAAGGCAAGAGGCGGGGGGGGGGGCACACAGCAAATATTGGGCTTCCACAAGGCACCAGTGAAATTTGGAAGACACAATTCTGCCCATAAGTTTGTTTCTCACAGCACTCTTAGCATTGCTTTCTTGGCAGGGCACTTGGGAATTACCAGCATAAACAGACTAAAATTACTGATAATTGCCTACTTTCTCAATGAAACTTGCTCTGGCCTGCCTCAGAGTTTCCTAATAGATCTGTATGCACTTCTGCTATCTTTTCTCATCATTGGGAGATGTTCTGTGATTTCCTCCATCCTGTTCTTTCTAAAGCAGGGATGGAAACTCAGACTTCCATGGGTACCAACCAACCTGTTTCCTTATCTGTGGTATAGAGGCCGGTGGATGTTGGGAGTCTGCTGACCTGGTTGATGGTTGGCTTGCTCTGTTTTTTGGGGGGACGGGGTAGGATGTCTTTTCTCCTGCATTGATGTTCTGCTATTCTGTTATTTTAATCATTCTGTGGTTTTATATTTTATGAGTTGAGTGCAAACTGTAGCAGCCTGGGAAGGAGCAGTTCCCTCATCACAGAGGCATGGCATCTTCATTGTATAGCTTTTATCATGTGCTGAAGATGCACCTCTTTATCTTGGCCTTTGACACCAGAGATATATTTTTATTACCCTCCCTATTCTTCAGGTTGTAAGTTCCTTTAACTGGTTTTAAACTTGCATTTTATATTGTTGTAACCTACCCTTGGACCTTACAGTCAAGGGTAGATAAGAAGGCCAAGAAATAATAATAGTAAGGCTAATGGGATTTCTCTTCAGCGTATTGGGATGGAAATCTACAGCCTTCTTCATGTGAAATGCTCCTGTTTTTTCCACATCAGCTCACAGTTAACCACTTACCTGGTCACTTGTGGAAAGTTAATTGTTTCTAGGTGTGTGTGTCGACGCATAATTCAGAAGTGTGTGAGTCATAAAGAGGGAAAGGGGTAGTCACATTTGTGGATAGGCTTTAAACATTTTTATCCTACCTTGGGGGGGGGGGAATTGTAGGCAGCTTCCAATCAAATGGAAACATCACTGAAGTAGAATGCTATTATTCAGAACAAACGTGGTAAAATTAGTAGTACTTGGAATACAGCAGAAGCAATAAAATCTCAAAATCAGCACTAAAGTCAGCTTTGCTATTTATTCAAAGCCTGGGACAGATAGAGCAGATTTAAACTACCAGGTCTTAAAGTTTCATTTAAAACAGCTTGCTGGGGCTGATAGGAACTGTAGTACAAAACAGCATGAGGGCACCATGCTTGTGGAAGGTTGATCTACAGTCAGAAGCAGTAGTGAAACATGTACAGTGTTGCATAGGAAGTTGGAGAAGCGCTTGAAAAGTATTCTATCCTTCCTATTCATTTCCTTCCACTAACCTGTATTTTTGACACCTCAACTACAACAGTATTCTTAAGAACATGTGCAATGAGCCTTGAGGCATATTTATAGTAATACTGTTAACAGCATTTCACAAGCATAGTTTTGTTCTCAACTATGAGGTGGGTGACTTGATTTGATCACAGTCAGAACTCCTGTCATGTTCTCCTTTTCCCCTTCCTCTTTCCCAAACAGCCCACTCTTTGTAACGTGGAAGATTGGTCGAGACAAACGATTGCGTGGATGTATAGGTACCTTTTCTGCCATGAACCTGCATTCAGGACTCAGGGAGTACACACTTACTAGGTAAGATTTTGTTTCTTTTCATTTATCTCAGCCACACTCAGCTGATAGGAATTTCTGACCACTTGAAATGCTGTAGGTTTTTTTCTCACACAGTTACTGATTCCATAGGCCTGTTGTCACAAAATCTTGTAAATGGGTTCTGTTTTTTGTGGGGAGGTTTTTGTGGCCTAAAATTTTCTGTGGCTTTTGTATAACAGACCCTTGTCATATCACCTTTCTCTGATTTTTTTTTTTAATTATTTGAGGAAAGTGTGACTTAAAACCTTGTTTTGCTTGGATGGACACATTCAACATTCTCAAACAGCAGGTATTCTCACTACTTCTCCAGCAGGTGCTTCCGATCAGCTGCAATTAACTTAATCCTATACATTTCCATGACACCTTATTTTTCAGTGGCATCTTGTTCTTGAGTGGGAAGCTGCTGGACTGGAGAGGTAAGTAGTAATTAACCCTTCACTTCCCTGGCACCTGATGCCACCTGTGAGTCATACCTAGGCTGATACATACTTTTTTATTCTTTTTATAGCAGTGGCCAATAATAGAATTAGTATCTGGACTTCAGTCTCTCATAGATTTTTACGTAATTTTCTGTTTTCTGAAAGATGGGTATACTGGATCAGCATAAGCTAACTTCGCTGTTCTTAACTGTGTGCCTTTTCAATCTTCAGGCAGTGGTCCAGGGACTGGAAATGTATTTTGCCATGCAATATGTTTATTTGAGTCAGCTGCCCACACTGGTGTCAATAATTGCACAATTGATTTAAATTTGGGAATTGCAACAAAATTTTCCAGTGTGTGTCGTAAGAAGAGTACTTCTTTTCAAAGGTCCAGGGAACAGGAACTTTTCAGGTCTTGCTGGGGCAATGTGTGCATGAGACAGAGGCAAGAGATTTGGCATTCCCCATCCAGACTTTGGGACTCTGTGCAGCCCCACTCCAAGCCCTCCTTGAGTGCTTTGTCTGCCTGCAATATTCCATTAAAACTTTCACAAAGCCTCATGGTTGCTTGGATGGAGAGATGGGGGGGGGGGGTAGAAACATATGGCTTTTGCATGCCTGGATGTGACCTGCTGTATAGAGGTAACAGTCACATCCATTGCTCTGCCTACTTTTGTCTTTGGTTCTGCCCACCACTGCCATGCAGCTTCTAGAAAGTTGCCCATAAGGGAATATGGCCTTTGGGCTGAAAAGGGTTCCTCACCTTTGTGCTAGAAAGATCAGGTTGCAGGTGAACTGAAAACTGTCAAGAGACCCCCGAGAGCTTCTGCCTGTCAAAGTACATAATATTGAGCTAGTTGAACTAGCAATCTTCTTCCTGTGCTCTTATAGCACTTAAAGGTTCAGGTTTCGGGCTGCCAGTTCCAAATGTTAACATTCCATGTCCATGTGGTTGGGGGTAGAGAGTGGAAGAGGGAAACGGGGTCCTTCTGGAAACATCCCTATACATTGGATGGAGGGGAAATATTTTTATTTTAATGATGTACATTCCTTCGACACTGAGTGCATACTTAGCGCCATCTTGGAGTCCCTCAGCTTCTCTGCCTAGTACAGGTCTCTTAGTGTGTAGACCCAGACCATTGAGCCCAAGCTTCTATAGCCGCTGTCTACCATGAACCAGCAGTTGCAGCAACAGCAGCAGAAATGTGCTATGTTTAAAATAGAAATTTATTCTTTTGCTAATTAAATTGTTTTAAATGTTTATTTTATATTTTAGTTTATTTTGGAATGTTTTAAGATTTTTTTTTGTTAACATCATTTCATTAAATGTGTATTCTGTACTTGACCTCCTTTATTTATGTTTTCTTTTGAAATCTTTAAGTTGTAGTTTCCTGTTAATTGTGTCCTTTATAGTTGATTTTCGTTTGTAATGTTTTGTTTTAGATCATTTTATTTGATGTTTTAATGTAGGTTGTAAACTGCTTTGAGATTTTTTTTCTTACAAATCTAAAGTGATATAAAATAAAATAAAATTTATAATAATAATAATAACAACAACTGTGATCTGCCTCACTCCAGGATCCTTTCTGTAAACTGTTCACAGCTTGATCAAGCCAGTTCCTTTTTCACTCACCTCCAGTTTCTTTCTTTTCCCCCTTTCTCAACTAACTACTCTACATTCTGTAATTGTTTTCAGTTTATTTACAACCTGAAAGTTCACAGGTGCTTGAAAGTCCATTTTTCTGTTTGTTTGTTTTATAAATACTTTCATTTACAGGCTCATATACTTCTCTATACCTAGGAAACCTCCTGAGCATGTACAAAGTACACCTTTATTTCTGGGTGGCCTTGTTTCCAGACTTCCAGACTGAAAACAAGTTCAGATGGTTGCCCACTGCTGATCAGGGCACTCATGGTGTTTGAAACTATAAAGGAGAGACTCACCCCCTCTTTGCCTTACTTTTGAAAACTGTTTTTTCCCCTTAAAACTGAATTGTTTCGGTAGCAACGTAAGAGGAAAAATGACTATTACTCATACTTAATCTAAGCACAACTGCAAAGGCTTCTGATTAGGCATGTAGCTATGTGATGTTGAATGTTATCTGCTAAGTCTGTTCTATCCTGTTTCCCCTTCATTATTGTTTTCTTTTAAACCAAGTCACGAACCAAGTATTACTGCAAATTTTTATGCTATTTTTGTGATGTACAAATGGCATGATACTTGTTCTATTTCTTTGTATCACTTGTTATTCCTATGGTAATAAAAGGTAAAGGACCCCTGGATGATTAAGTCCAGTCAAAGATGACTATGGGGTTGCGGCACTCATCTTGCTTTCAGGCCGAGGGAGCCAGCATTTGTCCACAGACAGCTTTCCGGGTCATGTGACCAGCATGACTAAACCGCTTCTGGCGCACAGAACTCCGTGATGGAAGCCAGAGCTCACGGAAACACCGTTTACCTTCCTGTTGCAGCGGTACCTGTTTATCTACTTGCACTGGTATGCTTTTGAACTGCTAGGTTCGAAAGCATACCAGTATTTCTATGATCCTTGTTTATACAATCCAATAATAATAATTTTTAAAAGTGAAACTTAGCTTGTAATTTTAAAAGATGTTTTGTAATTGGTTTTATACTTGGAAGCTGCTTAGAAGCCATATTGAGTAACAAATGGATTGTAAATAAATAAATAGTAGGTAAAATCTGGTAGCTCTACCAGACTGTGGGAAATTATAAAAATTACCCTGTGGGCCAGCATAAATGAGTTGCCACTTGGCCAGAGATTCCTCTGTCTGGCAATAGATTGTATCATTCCATAACTCTTTAAATGGGAACAATATTAGAGCTAGCAGCAAAGAGTGGCTGGGGCAACCAAGTCAGATGGGCTGGGTACTACTGCTACTAATAAGAATAATAATACTTTAGCCCTTTAATTCCCCTTTGAGTTCTGAAGGTGAAAGACAAAGCTGGGACACACACACACACACACACGCAAATAAATCTGTCCCAGGCACATAATTGCGTAGCACCTGGACATTTGATTTAGGTGCCCGGAGTCTTAAATATTTTTTTTCCCACAGGGCAGACCATCTGTAGATCTGGTGCTGGCTTCTTGGATACTCCCACCCTCAGTCTTAGTTAAACATTATAATTTCTTTTTCCTTTTTACTGTGAATACTCCATATTTTTGCTAACACTGTAAGATTGCAACTTAATGTGGGGGTTACAGTCCAGGGATTTCGCCTAAAGCCAAAATAGTGTTTAGTCCAAACCCTTCGGATTCAGTGGTGGCTGGGATTGCCAGAGTCATTTTCCCCAGAACCCTGCCCCCTTTCTTCCCCTTTTGGTTTGTTTATTTTTTCTTTGGGATCATTTCCCAAAGAAAAGGATATATACTGTTGTCAGATTGTATGTAGCCACGGTCAGTTCTCTGCAGAAGGCCTTTGCAATCTAATTTCTCTTCAGTCTGATGCAGAACTGATGCCAACAATGTTTCTCATAAAAATAATTGATACCTTGCCATTAGTGCCTTGTAATTTGCAATATTAAATAGCAAGAGCCCCAGAAGAATTCTGTCTTCTTGCTAATGAGTCCACTTGCCTTCCCACTTTGTCAAAAGGAGTCCTTATTTGTTGGCCCTTACGATGCCCTCGGGAGACCTTCACCCCACCACAAAATGAGGAGCTGGGTGAGTCGGGAGAAAAGAAAATGTCAGTTCCCTGCACTGGATACAAACTTTTGTGGTGTTGTCCTGTTGCTGGGCCCAATGTTGACTTTTCCTGGGTTCCCTTTTTAAACTTTCAGAATTCCTAGAAGAAAGGGATCAGCTACCCCTTTTGGAGCCAGTTTAATAGGGTCTGAATAGCATCTTTTATATGTTGTGGAAGCAATGCCTGGATGCCAGTAACTGAAGAATTTGCTTTATCAATGTGGAAATGGGAGTTGGATCTTATGGTTCCCAGCTCTGGTGACCTTGAGGGGTGGGACAGTTTAAGGGATAATCTTCACTTCCGGCCACAAAAGGATCTGACTTAACAAATGGTAATGTGTTGCGTCACTGGCATGAGACAAATCTGTTTTGTGCTTACCCTGACTACTCATAAATTTATTGCTGGCAATTCAACTCTCTTGGCATACTCTGAAGGAGAGGAATCTGAGGGCTGTGGATTTGATTTTTCATTGAGTATTTTTGCTTTCTTGTGATTTGTCTGGACAGTTTCACAAACCTTTGCTATTCAAATTCTTTTTATGCTTTATAAACTCAGCAGCCATCCTTTGAGAGAGCCCTTTTTTGAGGAACTGCTACAGCCCAGTTTGCACTTTCTTGCGGGGGGCTATCGCCTTTGTACTGTCCCCAGTTGATAGCAGATGTTCAAGGATGCACTGCAGCAACCTGGCTTTCGGAGACCATATCTTTATAGCCCAAGGGCCAAACTACACATGACAAGTACATCCATGTTTGTTCACATCTGTTCAATTCATGTAGAAAGTGCGGGAAAGTCTAGTTCTTGCACGCAAGTGCCGTTTGAGTCAGGGGAGCCAAACCCTCTGCCTTTTCTGCCTTACTGACCTGCAAACCTTACTGAGTTACAATAATTTCTTAACTTGTCCCCAGCTTATCTGCTCTGATATGAGAAGTGATCGCTGGGCTTGTGTGCTTTAAGTTAGGGTTACCAGACGTCCCCATTTCCCAGGGACAGTCCCTGGATTTGAGAATAAGTCCCTGGGCAAATTCCATCCCCAGATTTCATCTAATGTCCCCGGGAAAAGCAGTAGCGGCAGTCTCAGCAGCCCGGAGCAGTTGGCTCTGGTTGGCTTCAGGAGCTGCATAGAAGTCTCCATATGATGGTGGTGCAGAGGCTCTTAAGATGCAACTTCCAGGCTGCCTCCACCTTCCCTGACCCCAGCAACTAAGCTGTGAAGGGAGGCTTCGTGCTGCCTATCAGGGCAGCCTTCTAACCCCTACTTGCGTGCAAGCAGAAGCGGGGCAGGGATCTCTCAGGTATGAAGGGAGGCTTTACGCTGCCTATAAGAGCTTGCTTGCAAGCCAGAGGGGGCAGGGATCTCTCAGTTAGGCAACGGGAAGCCTGCCTTCCCAGCTGAGAGATCCCCCACCCCCTCCTGCTTGCACGCAAGTAGGAATGGATTGGGGCTGCTCCAATGGGAAGAGAGGCATCGCGCTGCCCGAGCCTCACCGCTGCTGCCACACTTGGCCCTCCTTCTCCGCCTTCCATGCCTGACGCACCACGCACCACTTCCCCACCACCACCACTGAAGAACTAACAACTCAGGGGCTGCCCAGACTCATGGGAAAAGGAGATAGAAGTCTCGGAGAAAGGGGAGATGTGGTGGTTGAGGTCAAGGCAGCAGCTGCTACCGCCATCACTGCAACATCAATGTCCCGAACGTGTAGTATTTAGTTGATTGATTGATTGATTACAGTGTCCCCAGATTCATTGAAAAAAATCTGGTAACCTTACTTTAAGTGAGGCTGGAAGAGAGAGAGGCCACCTAGTAGTGAGCTCACAGTAGAGATGAGAATCAAATTGAGACATGCATTGTTGTAGCCCGAGCTCTGGTGCACTGCACTACAACAGGTTCAGTCACTGAAATAAGTTTAGATTGGCTGGTGGGTCACAAGGTGGCAGTTTTCAGGACTGCATCCCTGTCTTGACAGGTGGTAGGCATATAGTGGAGTGTGCTTCATATCATTGCTGTGAGTTTTGTAACATATTTTGCATTTCCAGAATTTCAGCTTTTTGAATCAAGTGCAGGGAGTTCACCTGCTGGTATGCTCAAAGACTGTGGCTTCATATATTTCCACATGGTTGTCACAGTAGCTTCTTGCTTTACATTATTGTGCATTAGTTAGAAAACAGCCTGGGGCAATCTTTTCCAACAAGGTGTCCTCCTGATGTTCTGGGCCGCAGCTTCTTTCAACCCAGCAAGTATGGCCATGCTGGCTAGTCTGATGAGAGTTGTGGTCCAAAACATCTGGAGGGCACCAGGTTGGCAAAGGCTGGCCAAATGATCTTTTGAAAAGGTGATCAGGAAAAAAAGAATTGAGAAAGAATTCTATGCCTGGTAATGTCACTCTTTGTATGTAAGGAATAAATAAATAGTGGAATTGATATTTTCAGAACTAACTTTTTATGCTAATATTTTTTATTAAAGGGAGAGGTGAGTCAGGTGCACCAGTGTAACATGTTTTCCCCTCATTCATGAAGTCAAAGGTTGCAATGTGATGAAAAATCAGCTTTCCTAACATTACTGGCACTGATCCTGCCCCCTCCCTGTCCTTTCTGAATGGCATGGAATAGAGTTCTTGTTAACTGGCCACATCACACAGATTATGTAGAAGGGATGAGACTACCCACAATGAAGAACATTTCTGGCTATATGTTTCATGGATTTTTCTTTTGGCACAGACTTTACTTTTCTTCATGACTATAAATGTGATGATATGGTAGTAGGAGAGAGAAATTTAAAAAAAAATCATATGCTGAAGCATTTGTTGTGTTTTGCACCCAAATAGTGTATGACAGACCAAATGTATGATTTTGAGTAAACCAGCAGAATGTGTGATTTATAGCAATCTAGATTATGAAAAAAATTGCCTTGTGTTTTCCAGCTTCTTCAAGAATTTACTGACCTTGGAAGCAGTTTACTACACCATTTCAGAACAGGTTGACAAACTATTTTTCATGTATTGTTGAGCAGTCGTTCTTAAGGTTCTCCCCTTGAATTTGTTACGGTCTTACTATCTTTATTTCCTTTAACCTCATTTGGCAGGGGTGGGTGGAGAAATTCTCAAAATGAAATGTCCATTATCCTCTAGAATGCTAGTCAACCACTGGGTTCCTTGGGCATTTCTAGTTTCAAGACCTATTTCCCAGGGATCCCTGTGCATGGAATGCTCTTGGCCCAGAGTCCTGCTGTCTAATTAAGACTTTGCAGCAGGATCTTTATGGTGCAACATAGTAAACCTAAACAAGGAAAGATAGAGGGTCATATGCAGCATCAGTGAGGTAGGGACTGAGCCAGGCAAGCCCATTCTGAACTGGGCCTGACATTTAAGCAGAGATGGGGGTTTTCTGAGTCTGATTCAGAATTTACTTGAAGACACCATAAAACATAAATTCATAGTCCAAACCGCTTTCTGAGCATTCCTAAATTTAACATTGTTACCATCTTCATGTCATGAAGGAAGCATGATTTTGAGTAGGTGTTAAGTGACCAAGAAGTTTTGCTAGCCTTAGTGTTGTTGGTAATCTGTATGTTAACTGATAGGGGTAGGGTTAGAGTTTTAAGGTAGTAGAGTCCATGATTCTTGGCCTAGCGGGATTCTTCTTGACTACAATATAGATCCATTCCACTTCTATGAAAGAGGAATGAAGAAGAAATGAAATTTGTACCCCAGAACACAGATAATGTGCATGCATGTATACTGTTTAAAGTAGTGATGTAAGCACTTGGAGATAATTGCGCTTTCATTTATTACACTGTTTTTGGTACTTTAAAGAAGCCAAATACAAAATTTTCCTGAGAGTTAGTGCCCATGTATCCAAATCTGTTCCCATAATTTAGGACAGCTAAATGTAGTTTTAATGTAATAGAATAATCCATATTTCTTTGAGGGTTTCCCATAAAGCAGAGCAAAGAAATAAGCCCTGAAATACAAGAAAGCACAAAGAAATGTGATATCTTCATTGACTGCACAATTATTTAATCTGCAATACATAATCTAGTATTTTTCCCCCAAGTTATCTAGTGTTCATTCATTTTTGGTGCCTTTGGTCATACTGACTCTTATGTTGCAAGAGGTCATCTAGCTTTCCCAGATGATGATGATGATGATGATGATGATGATGATTTCTGTAGCACTTTCAGTGTCCATGTCACTTTACAGAGTACAGAAGGGCATGTCCCCCTGCCCTTAGAGCTTTCAGTCTAAAATTTGAAATGTGGGGAAGGGTTGAAGGGAGGAAGTTATGTGATACACCTGGGTGTTATTGGGGAATAAAGACAGGAGCCAGCATAACTGGTAATTGTTTTAATAATTCCAGTCTAGACATGCACTCTTCACTGCAGGATTCCTTTTCAAAGCTCTTTACAGCTTGTATTTTCACAGTGAAGGCAGCCTGTTTCACCTACAGATACTATTTTAGCATTTTGCATTGGGCCTATTCAGAGACTACACAGTGACATGACCAGTAAGCCCGGTGGCCTGAGTGAGAAGAGCTGTCTTGTCAGGACTCCAGAAAGGTGAAAACATTGGGGCACTTGAAGAAGAAGACAAATGGCTCCTTGCACACCAAGGGTTGCAAATTGGAAGCAGCCTCCCTTCCCCCCTGCTCAGTGCAAGGGGCATTTGCTGTCTCAAGATAATAGTGATGAGCACTAGCCTGCATGGGTGTAAAATGGAATCAAGATAAATTCATTGAGAAACAGCTCAGTCAAAGGCATTTTAGTTGTGATGAAGCCTCCGCTTAAGAGTCAGCATGCCACTACGTACCATTTGTTGGGGAGCAACAGCAGGGGATGTTTATTGTCATCATGCCCTGCTTGCAGCCTTCCTAAAAGCTCTGAGAAACAGGATGCTAGACTAGATGGACCCCTTACGTTGATCGAGCGGGGCTCTTTCTGTTTTCTTCGTTCTTTTCCCTGTCGCTTAAGTGGGTGTAATGCTAAACCAGGATTGATGCTAAGCAGGTTTGAACCATATAAAACCAGTTTAAGGCGAACAAAAAGTAAAAGGGAGAAAATGCATGATGCTCATTTGCAAACTTATAGCTAGTAGGTAGTCTGGTAGTCTGCACTGTTCCCAAAGGTCTTAGTCAGTAGTTAAGACTGGGGCACCGTTAGTATGTGGTTCCCTAGACTGGATGGATGGGAGTTTGCCTGCTCTTGATGGGGTTACGCTCCCTGTGAAGGAGCAGGCACACAGCTTGGAGGTTCTTCTGTATCCTTTGCTGTCACTTCAGGCTCAGGTAGTCTCAGTGGTGAAGAGTACCTTCCGTCAGCTTTGGCTAGTGGCCCACCTGTGCCCCTAAGTGGACAGGGATAGCCTAACTACTGTTGTCTATGCTCTGGTAACCTCCAGGTGAGATTATTGCAATGTGTTGTAGGTGGGGCTGCCTCTAAAGACAGTTTGGAAACTTCAGTTGGTGCAGAATTTGGTGGCCAGGTTACTCTCTGGCGCAAGATGTTTTGAGCATATTACACCAATCCTGGCCCAACTACACTGGCTGCCAATTAATTTCCAGGCTCAATTCAAAGTGCTGATTTTGACCTATAAAGCCTTAAACAGCTCAGGAATTCAATATCTCAAGGACCACCTCTCCCCATATGAACCCACCTGGAAGCTGTGGCCATATTTAAGGCCCTTCTCTGTGTGCCTCCTCCACAAGAGGTCCAGAGGGCAGCAACATGAGAACAGGCCTTTTCTGTGGTGGCTCACCACTTGTGCAATGCTCTCTCCAGGGGGGCCCATGTGACTCCTTCGTTACATATCTTTAGGCACCAGGTGAAAACATTTCTTAAGAACCAGGCCTTGGGCTGATTAACATTCTATGGCCTTTTAAATGTGTTTATGGGAGGGGGGCTATTAGTGGAGGTTTTTTGGTTTTATTATTTTGTGTTCTCATGTTGTATTTTTATGTTGTGAACTGCCCTGTGATCTTCAGATGAAAGGCAGTATACAAATTTAATAAATAATAATAATGATGATGATGATGATGATGAATAATGGGTTGGGGCTCTTTCTCAAACAGAAATCCTTGAAATTTTTAACATAATTGCCCTTGAACTGCCAACAGGTGCTGCTGCTGCTTCTTCTTCTTCTTCTTCTTCTTCTTCTTCTTCTTCTTCTTCTTCTTCTTCTTCTTCTTTTTGCATTAACACCATCATTATGCAACAACTGCAAGTCCAAACAGATCAAATCTATACAGTATGCACATTTGAAAATTAACATTATGTGTAGCAACAGACTCCTTGCATTTGGAGTATGCCTACCAAAAATGATTTGAAGGCTTTTGGGCAAAGTATTCATAGCAGTCATTGCCAGGCAACAGTCTTGTCAGATGATGGCAGGCACTGGGCACTTCCTCGTATTAAATACATTCTTCATGTTTTTGCTACTAACCGTCTCCAGTCAGTGGAAAGATAAATTTGACTCACTACCTAGGGAGGCATGCCCATCCTTCTTTATTGCGACTTGTTCTATGGGAGAATATGAATAGAATAATTTATTTGGGAAGAATGTAGTTAACAGGAAGATTTCTTAAAAGCTGATCCCCTGTAGTTCAAGGGAGCTGGGTTTCCTTTCCCTTTCCTGCCTCCATGTAAAATCTTGATGCCTTTTGCATTTTCCACTGTATAAAAAAACTAAAATTCCCCAGGCTCATGGAAATGTATTACACTTTGCCTTTCAACTCTGTTTCAGTTTTTGAATTGCAGTTTCCTTTCCTCACATGCACACCCTTCCAGGGTTGGTTGCCCCAAACACGCCTTTTCCTTTTAATGAAATGAAAATTTGCTTATTTTGGCATTAATATGTTTGAAATATCTGTGCACAAGTTCATGGGCAACTTTCATGACTTAAACTAGGGGTTCCCAAACTGTGGTCCATGGACCAGCAGTGGTCAGTGAGCATCAAGCTGTGGTTGCACAGTGTGACTCTGAAGAACAGCAGGACCAGGAGCAGCTCAGTTGTTCTCATCACTTGAGAACCCCACTGGCTTCCTTCTCTCCTTTGTGGAGGGTGGGGAGGACACGGGTGTTGCTTTCTCTTCACTGGGGATGAAGGGAAAGAAGGAAGCCAGCATCTGTTGGTCCTGTGGAAAGCCTTTGCTAGTCCCACACACCCTTTGAGATTTGCAGTCATATTAGGTTTAAAAGAAAAGTGGGGAGAAGTCTCCCACCTACACATACAAATCCCTCAGTAAATTCCTCTCGTTTCTGTTCTGTGCATACTTTCCTTATAATTCTAAGGTTTGCCAGTTCTATTCAGGAAATATAACCCGAGTTTCCTGTTCAGTAGTTAAGATTTGAGTAACAGAACAATTTGTTTTCTAACAGATAGGAAAGGAGTGTGTACACACAATAGTACCTTTCTGTTTGTCAAGCATGTAGGCTTCCGGCGTTTTAGTGCTAATTAGCAAAACAACAGCAACAACAATCAAACAAACAAACAACCCCTGTTTCATAGGCTGGCTTATTTAAAAGTGCTGAAATACAGGTATTGTTTCCTGTTCAGCATGTGTACCCCTTGACTTTTATAATATTGGCTGTGCAATTAATGTCTGAAAAATTATTTTCTTGTGTCTAATATTTGGTGCATGTTAGCCACTCTGCTTTCTTGTACCTCTGCACCAGTCTTCCCCAACCTGCTGGCCTCCAGATGTTTTGAACTGCAGCTCACAGCCTGCACCAGCATGGCCAATGCCAGGCGAAGATGGGAGTTGTGGTCCAAAGCATCTGAGGGGCACCAGGTTGGGGAAGGCTGCTCCTCACTGTTGTTCCTGTATTTCCTGATTCTCATTTTAAGTGTCTTGTTATCCATGTTACATTGAGGGAAGGCGATTTCTTAACCTTCCATATATTATTTTTGCGAGAAAAATGCTCAGCGGTACTTGGCTTGTCCACGAACTGCAGCTTGATGACAGAGCAGCAGGTAGGCAACATAGACAGGCAAGCAACCAGTGTAGGTTTTGTGGGGAAAGGCGGAAGAGCTGCAGCAGAACAGGTAGGGCAAGGAAGTCCCTTAGCAATCAATGTGTTCTGCTTCCACTGTGCTCTGGACACAAACACCACCATTTCAGCCTCAGCAGCCTTGCAGGCCTAGAAAGCGACGATGAAGCAAGACAGTTGCTGGTAAGCTGCCCTGGTAGACAAGTGGCCTCAGGGGCAAAGAGGAGGTAACTGGAAGTGAGTGGGCAGATCAGCACAGGGCAAGCTTTGCAGGCTTTCCCACTCTCCTTTTATCACTGCCACCACTGGTTACAGAAGACAGCCATCCTTCTCTGGCTTCCCATGGTAGACGCAGCGGCAGCAGGTTAAGAGAGGGATGTCAGCATCGCCCTTGAGCCAGTGCCACCAACTGGACTCATCCACTTCAGCCCCGACTGGGCTAGGCAAGCTGGGTAGCACTTCCAGAGACCACCTTCTGCACAGGAACAGGTCAAAGTGCTGTGGACTCACAGCTTAGAGTTGTGAGCACCGGATTCACTCCCACAAGAAGACAGTCGTCGCACAGCAGAGTATAGCACAGTCTAGCAGAGTATATAAACAACTCGGAGAGCAGCTCTGTAGAATATCTTCTTTATTCTATAACTACAACTATACAAACTATATACAGAGCTTAATAGGTCTAGGCATAAATAAATGCTGCACTGCACTGAGTGTCTGCAGCTGCTCTTAGCAGCAACCTTATCTCTACACACGATCTCTTAACACTCAGTCTCTCTCTCTCTCTCCGACACTGACTGACTGACTGACTTGGTGCTGGAGCAGAATAAGTAGAGAGCAAAACACGCCTCCTCCTCTCTGGAGAATCAGCAGACTCCTCAGGAGATTCTTGGATATGGGAGGGGTGAAATCTCCTCAAGGGAAAGCTCGCAAAGGCTACTCCACTCTGGTCCAGTGCTTTTCCTTTCAGTCCACCCACTGGGGAAAAGGGAAGAAAGGTTTCGGGAAATACATGTGGGGCAGAGGATGCATTTGGAGTGTTGTGTGAGGGAAGAGGATTTGAGGTGAGATGTGTGGGGAGGGGGCATAAAATAATGTGTTCTTGGATAGAAAGAGAGGGAGGAAAAAATGTGAGGGTAGAATATGTGCTCATGGGGGAGAGACAAGGGTATGTGTGGTGGGGGGGAGGGATGTTCTTCGGTAGAGAAAGAAGAATAGGGGGAGGTCCTTTTACAGGAAGAGAAGGGTAGAGACAGAGATGTGGGAGAAAGAAATGTTAGTTGGTCACGAGAGGAGGGGAGTGATGGATATGGAGCGAGATCAAAGATGCTGTTAGGTAGTGAGAAAGTGATATATGGGGGGGAGATGCTTGGGTTCGAAGGACACTGAAGGTCTAAGGAGAACTAAGAGTAGAATTGCAATGGGGTGATCAGTGCATGACAAGATTTTACAAGCTTTTCCATACTCCTCATTTCAATCTTTGGTGTTGTGATTTGGGCAACCCATGTGATTGACAGGTGGGTTGCCTTGTCCACTTGTGGGAGCTAAAAATGTTGCCCACCACTGGTCTGAGGGTTTGTAGTGCAGGGAATGTGGGGGGGGGGGAGGTGGTTTGGGGAGTCATGGACTGTAGGTAGTGTTGGTGAGCAATGCAAGCAGTGGTATAGCACGCTCTCTCTCTCTCTCTCTCTCTCTCTCTCTCTCTGTGTGTGTGTGTGTGTGTCTGTGTCTCTGTCTGTCGTCTCTCTTGCAGGTTCGATTTTATAGAACAAAAAACGCTATTGCTGACTTACTAACAGCATTATTTGTACATTATTATTTGCCTTTCTACAAAGGTGGTGTAGTCATAATTTAAATCCTCAGTCAGCAGTGCTTATTTCAATGTTTACAGATAAATAATGAGTTTGTGCTGAGCACCTTCACATTTCAATGTGGTGAACCTGCACCGTTTAGATTTCAGGGTATGTGATATTTTCATAGGTACTAACTCTTCTTGGTTGTATTTCTGGTGCTTTGCTCTCCTAATCAACTCTGATTTTCCAGACAAGCAATCCTCGTTTTGTGTTGGGCTTACGTTCTGGACCCCCACATGCATCGGCAGAGTGCATGTAAGCCCATTCTGCCCCCACCCTGTCCTGCCCCTTTTCTTGACGTCTTTATGATGTTTTGGGGCTACTTCCAGGTTTGGTGCCATGCACATGTGCACAATTTGAACACACCTAAATGGGTTGTTGCCTGTACAGTGGTACCTCGGAACTCAACCGTTATCCATTCTGGAAGACCGTTTGACTTCCGAAACGTTTGAGTTCTGAGGCGTGGCTTCTGATTGGCCGACAACTAGGTTTTTGCACAGCGGAAGCCACATTGGACGTTCATGTTCTGAGGAATGTTCAAAAACCAGAGCACTTAATTCCGGATTCCCTGTGTTCGGAAGCCAAAATGTTCGAGAACGGAGCCATTCAAGTTCCGAGGAACTACTGTATTGGTTTGCAGTGGGCGATTCTCTTCTTAGCCTTCCTTAGTCTTACTCCCGTGTGACATGGCTAAAGACTTCAAAAATAGTATGATTTCACATGCTTCCTAAACAGTATAAAGCATAAAAGAGCTTTCCTAAAATGTAAACTGTTAGCACTTTACATAGTTCAGGGTCTTACTGGAGCCTATTATTAGGAAATTATTTCTACTATTTTTGAAAACATAATGCACAATCAAAAAGCTCTGGAATCATAACCCTAAATATTGACCATCTGGCATGTGCAATTATATTGATGTAGAAATAATGAGATATGAGATAATAATCAAACTGAGTAGTTCTGCTTTGGCCTGCTGATTTGATTCTTTTGGATACACTGCAGTAATATATTCCAGCTTTTCAATACCAGTTGCTATGAACAATACAGAAAAACATTTCCTCCTGCTGCCTCAGAACTGGCTGTTTTTCTCACTTCTATATTGGTTTCTAATATTAGTTCACATAGCCCCTGTGGGACTGATTGGGGGTCACAGAGTATAAGTCCACACATACAGGCTTTGTTGAGTCCAAAGCTACATCCTGTGCATATGCATCCTAAGTTAAGCACCCCTTCAGTCCTTAGCCCTTTGGTTATGCTCGGCATCTTATTCAGGTGACATTGGGCTGTATCCCATCTTGTGTCTCCACTACTGCAAGGGCTCAGAAATGCTAATGATTAAGCAGTATATAAGTGTCTTAAACAAACAAGCAAAATAGACTTTTTAGAGCTGCACAACAGAGGAATCCAACGCAGTATTTACCAATTCACCCCACATAAGTGGGGGACCTGTTGGGATGATCTGCCAGCAGAGATTTGCAGACTCAAAAGGATGCTGCCAAGATGGCGTTGAGAAAGGTCGTTCTTGGCTGAGCTCCACAATCTGTTTTAATTATTTAATTGGGGTTTGTTTGTTTGCTTTTTATGTGATAGTGCTGTTGCTGGCTCAGCAGCCATCTAATTTATCAGGGGCTAGGACCTTTTCAGTGTTGTTTTGTTCTCTGAGGAGCCAGGAATCATTAACCAGGTTTAAAGGGAGTTCAGCAACTGCAAGTCTTCTGCCCCTTTGGTGTTCTTGCTGTTTTGTCTTTACAGGTTTTAAACTTTATTCTAAGGACTCAAAAGGGATGCTCCGAGGGATTTTCTAGTTGGTAGATCTGGTGATTGTCCTGAGGCCATTCACTTGCTATGGAATTTTGAGATTCAGAGGACTATAGATATAATTGTTTCTGAGCATACTCTCTGATCCAGTTGAGCACGTTCGGCTCCCTGGTGTACTTGGGAGTTACATGTGAGGAAACAAGTCAAGGATGGTTAGAGTGCAGTTAGTGCAGGGGTTGATAACCTGGTCCCTACCGCCCACTACTGGGCGTTTCAGGATTCTAGGTGGGCGGTAGGGGTTTCTATGGCACAAGCTGAATCCTCCTTCCATTGAGCACTGGTGGGCGGTAACGAAATTTTACCATCAAGAAAGATGCATTAGTGGGTGTAAAAAGGTTGACTACGCCTGAGTTAGTGCAACAATGACTGGACATATGCTAAAGCATGATGGTGAAAGCAGTGAAGAGGGCCTCCTTTGGTGCATCCTCGAGAAATGGTCCAGAAGAACGTCAGGGTGGTCCATTAGCTGTTGACACCTACAGTGTATCAGCAGATGGAGTCTGGGACACCCCAGAGACCCTCCATGTTAAGCACTTTGAGGACAAAGACATTCTTCTCTTTAGCAAGCTAGATGTCATGACTGATGCAGTCCCAGAAGAGATTTCCAGCGCCCCATCAAACCATGTTCTATGGGATCAGTTTCAGTTTTTGTAACCTGATTACTTTGACATGGTGCTTGCATGCACCTAGCAATGTGCCCTCTTCATCCTTCCTCTTCTTGGCTGATTAAAACTAGCTGGGGTGAAGCATGACTTGCTGAATTCAGGGGGTGGTACTGCCCACCTTGAAGGAGATGATATTGTGGCCACTCCTGGAAAAAAACCCATCCTGCACTGAATGGTACTGAACAACTACCATCCTATTGCAAATACCCCTTTTGGGGCAAGGTACTTGAGAGGGCTGTGGTGACACAGCTGCAGGCATTCTTGATGGGAACAGGTTCAGACTTTGCCTGTGATACATAATATAAGTGCCTTTGCAAATCAACATGTACCAAATTGCAATGTAAATTCCACCTGAATTAACAGTCGTGAAACTTTCAAAAGCTGCTTCTGGCATGTAAGCCCGAAACTAAAAATGATGCAGACTCAGATCGTGTTGAAAACATTAAAAAAAAAAAAAAAAAAAGAATTTAAATGTTATGCAATTAAGGAGTGCTAAATTCTCTCTCTCTCTCTCTCTCTGCCCACTGCTTATCACCCCAGGTGCTTTTCTCACTTTCAGTGTCAAGAGCCTGGTTGAGAAAAGGCATAGAGGATAGAGGTAATCTGTGGATTCAGCACCACTTCCCTATATGTTCCTTTGCTCTTAAAATCAACCTTGTCCCCTGCTTCATCCATGATTGCAGTATGTTTGTACTTATCAGAATAGGTCAGCCAAAATTTTGACTCCACGTGTCTTGGAAATAGTTCCTGTGTCTAGTGCATCAAGCTAAGGCCAAGGAAAGCATGTAGACTAACGAAAAAAAGATGGGTGTGCAAGAAAAAAGAAGGTGAGAGGGGGAAGTTACCCATTACCATAATGAAGTCCCCAACTCTTTGGAACCTTCCCCCAAACACAGTATCAGTATTCAGCAGATAACTTGGTAAAGCTCAAATGGGCCAGCTGAGCTTATACACGTGCCCCTTTCTCTGGCAGCTCACTTAAGTGCCCCACTCCCCCTGATATTCCTCTTCTGCTTGTGGTTTGGCCTGGACAGTCCCCCATCAGGTTGGAGTGCAGCATGTTCTGTGGACTGCGGAGACCAAGTGCATTTACTGCTGCTGTGAAACCACTGTGCATTAGGGATTGTCTGAGCTTGGATGCTCCCCCAGCAGCGACTTTGCAGGCTGCTGAAATAGTTGTCTTCCCATGCAGGTAGTGGCCAGAAATATTGCTCCAGTACCACTTTTCTGAAACTCTCAGGGTGTCTGTGTGTGTGCTGAAGTGGCCTTTCTAGGGATGGTGTCACGTATTGGGTCTGTTGCCCACTGAATCTGTGTAACTGTCTGCCAGATTCATTTGCAGGAATTTGTAGACTACTTTTCAGCAACTGCTTCTAAAAAAAGCAATTCTATAAAACCTATTAAAATTGCACATTAACATTTGCCACAGAGAACAGCCATTGGAACATCAGGAAACCAACCGGGGGGGGGGGGGGGACTGACTTCCAAAAGCAGAACAAAATAATGTCATCTTTACTTGCTTCTAGAATGCCTTGAGAGAGGGAGTCAAATGAACAGCTCCCAGAGGAGTGTTTCAGAGCTCCGCTGGCCACTGGAAAAGACCAGTATGCCTTCCTCATATGATGAAATTTGAACCAAGGCATCATTGACAGATCTTAAGCTTGGACTGGGGATACCCCATCAATTGACATAGGTACCCTCTTGTCTGTGTCTGGTGTTGCAACTTCATGCCCCAGCATACGAATCACCTTCTATGCTAGGAAAGGAGACAGCTTGTGCCTTATCTTAGATCCTGAGCTATTTCATCTGAGAATGTTGTATATCGTTCGAACGTTTATTTTGTGTACACTCAATAGAAAAGATTTGTTGTACTTAAAGCAAGATAAAGATAGAGGCAACCAAACAGCCCACACTTCCTTTTCAAAGCTGCTTCTCAAACTGTGCTGTTCTCAGACTGCTAGAGTCTTGGCAGGTGAGGCACATTCTATTGCATTAGACCCGTGTTGAGGGCTCAAGCTCTCAGGTCCTTGGAACTCCTCCCCTCAACTATTTGCAGGGCTGCAATCTCTTCATACAGTCCTTAAGGCATCTCTAGCTGACCCTCAGACCTCACCATGGGTCACCCCCCCCCTTTCTGGCCCTGCTTCACATCCCTAGTGTTTTGCCTGGCTGAACTACTGATTATGCCTCTTGCTTGTCAGGATGGTGGATAGAGAAGTGTGTTGCAGTGTCTGAGGCAAGTGAAAGGTTACATGATAGAAGTTTATGAAATTATGCATGGCCTGGAGCAAGTGGATAGAGAAAAGTTTTTCTCCCGTTCTCTTAGCGCTGGAACACATGGACATCCAGTGAAGCTGAATGCCGGAAGATGCAGGACAGATAAAATAAAGTACTTCTTCATGCAATGAAGAATTAGACTATCGAACTTGTTGCCACAGGCGGCACCAACCCAGATGGCTTTAAAAGAGGACAGTGCTATCAGTGGCTACTAGCCATGACAGCTATGCTCTACCTCCACAGTTTGAGGCAGTAATGCATCTGAATACCAGTTGCTAGAAACCACTGGAGGGGATAATGCTCTTATGCCCAGGTCCTGCTTTCATGTTTCCCATAGGCATCTGGTTGGCCACTGTGATAATAGGGTGCTAGAATGGATGGGCCGCTGGCCTGATCCAGCAGGCTCTTTTTATGTGTGTAAGTATAAAAATTAACCTTCTGTACATAGGTAAAATTTGCATTTGTTGCTTCACCCACTTTAGACACTGGCACCACCCACTACAAGCATGTGGTCCCTGGAAGGTTGCTCAGATGGGCATGTGGCCCTTGGTCTGTAAAAGGTTGCCCTCCTTGCTTTAGATCAACAGAAATACCAGGTATGTTATGCTGAAGTAGGTGTGGACAGTTTAGCCACTACAAGTATGAGAACACATCAGGTTACTCTTTATCGGGGCTGCATGGGAAGTGGCTGGCAGATGAGTTTTCTGGGTAAGGCAGCTTTGGAGGAGGGAGAAAAAAATTTCTCCTCCTCTTTTAACTCAGTCCCTCCGCCACAAACTCTCCCAGGACTCTTCAACTTGTCAGCTTCATAACTTTGGTGTTGCTGTAAAAATAAGAACTTTCTCCCTTGACTGAAAGCAAAACAACATAAAATAAGCATAGCATAAAATGTCTAGGATGCTGGGGATGCATATTCTAAACAATGTATTGGAAACTAGTAAATGTCTTTAAAATTTTTGAGAGGACTGAAAAAGGATCTCATGGAGAATTTCTTTTCACTCCTGTTCTTACCCAGGGCAAATATCCAGTTCTCTGTTGTACCATATCAGTTCCATGTGCTTTTTTATTTCTGTCCTCTGGCATGACCTCTGTCTCAGCTGGCAGCCTGTGTGATCTTAAAGCATTTTCCGGTTCAAAATAACAATACATAGGAAATTCAAGTGGTTGTTTTTTTTATTTCCTTTCCTGCCTTCAGCCAGTGTTCAGGATGTACACATAATTCACAGGTCTGGATTTAGGGCAGGGGTTGTTTTGCTGTCTAGTCTCAAGCATAGACACTGGCTATGTTGGCACATCACGTCTTGTGCTTGTGCTGGAAAGAAAGAACTGCTTGTTGCATCTTCTGGACCCATAATTGTTGTTAACATGAACCACAGTTAGTTTTGGTAAACCAGTATCAAAAGCCGTAGTTTGGAGTTGGATTGTTTGAACCTAACCATAGTTAATATTAACCACAGTTCATCACTCCCCATAATACAAAAACCTGTTGTTAACCAAACCAAAAAGCTTTCCAGACAACCCCTGGCAGCATAATAAGTGTGAGTGCATGAGACCAAGGCTTATTGCGGCTCATTCCTGCTCACACAGATTGCACTACACCATGGTTTAACATGATGTGTAGTTAGCTGTGTATGTGTTAAAATATATATATCTATAAATCCTTCATGTCTTAGTTTTTGAAGATGCATGCAGCAGAGTTATTTCTCACCATCAACTTAGATTTTGGATTTCAAGTTTTCTTCTCAAAGGTGGGAAGGGGACTGCCTGAAAATGATCTCTCTCAAACTTCTTTACAAAAACTGGAATGAGAATTTTGCCTGTTCTCTCAAGAGCAGTATTTCTCTTTATACTATCAGATGAAAGAAGCTGTTGGTTTGGCTGCTCTTTTGATAAAGCTAAATTATGCTTATTGCTGCTGGGGTTTCACTAGGAAAATATTGATTGTCAGTATAACAAGAATTCCCTCGCTGCCTGTTAGTGGCCTCAGCCAGCTAAAACCTGGCAATGGAAAAATCAATAGATGTTAACAAACTCCCTCTGTCTCTAAATTAATGTCTATCTTCATAATTCTCCTGGTTCCTGTCAAGGGAAATCCCAGGGAATAGGTGATCCATGGTGGCTGTTTTGGAATAAGGGACAGATTTCAGGGAAAGCCCCACCACACCACACATTCCTTCACCCTGAGTCAAAGATCTGGGTAAACCATGACCCATCTCAAGTTTCGTTTGCTTCCAGTTGGCTCTTCTATTTGCAGTGCCAGCACCACCCCCATGATGGAGGACATGGGATGCGCTGGTAAATATTCAGTGCAGAATTTTGCTGGGAAATGCTTAGCGGTATCAGCAGCTGTGTGTGGGATTTCTTTTTTTTTTTTTTTTTTTTGTCAGGCCATCCACAAAGAGGCTGTGCCAAGACATTATGAATCCCCTTAGCTTAGCTTCTCTGGGACATTTATAAATTCAACAAAACTAAAACTCTAAAGCTGTGCCTGGACTGTATCACTTTAAGTGTAAGTGGAGGATTTGCACATTCAAATGCTGTCACATGTTGGGTGGGTGAGTTCCTTGCATATAAAAAAAAACCTAACTCATCCGCAAGAAGGGTTTAGTTTGTCCTCTAAGATAAGACTTCCATTTTCTGAAGGATGCCTTCTTCCCTTTAATTGCTTCTTTGTCTCTGCTATTTAACCATCTGGCCTCATCTTCACCCTGGTGGTAGTTTTCTTGATGAGCAGTAGACCACCTAGGTGAGCTTTTAATAGTATGCTTTTGAACAACCCCAAGCACTCTGATGAGACTATTTTCTTAAATTGGCCTTTCAACTTCTTTCTTACCAATACCAATACCAGTACCAATACCAAAGTCTCTTCTGAAGCCAAATATGATTCTGTTTGATTGACTTGGCCATTGGCCACCTACATATACAGTTGTACCTTGGTTTTCGAACAGCTTAGTTCTTGAAAGTTTTGGCTCCTGAACGCCGCAAACCCGGAAGTGACTGTTCAGGTTTGTGAACTATTTTTGGAAGCCAAACGTCTGACAGGGCTTCCACAGCTTCCGATTGGCTGCAGGAGCTTCCTGCAGCCAATCAGAAGCCGCACTTTGGTTTTCAAACGTTTCAGAAGTCAAATGGACTTCTGGAACAGATTCCATTTGACTTCCAAGGTACAACTGTATGTTGAATTTGATCCCAGTTTATTCAGCAACACTTGCATCTTGAACCAGGTCCTGGGCAGCACTTAAGATCAAGTCAAATGTTGCCTCATCTCTGGTTGGCTCCATGACAAGTGTTTTAGGGTACAGTCATTTAAGGTATCTAGAAATCTTAACTTTGTCCTAACTGGAACAGTAACGTACCCATTCTATCTAAGGATACTTGAAATAACCCACCACTACAGCATTTTCTCTTTTGAATGCCTCCTTGATTTCATTTTCCATCTCAAGATTGCTCTGGCCATTTTGGTCAGGGGGACAATAGTGTCCCTCTAGTACTGAATTGCTCATGGGACCCAGTTTCACTTCCCACTGTTATGGAGTCTGCCGCTTTGGGGATTTCTAGCTCATTGGGCAAGATGTCTTCTTTGTTTCTCACATACATTATCTTGTAATCGATACAGGAGCCCTGTATTATAGGTAAGTATTATTTCCATGAGTGTGAGGGACTGAGGCCAAGATAGAATCTAAGGCCAATTAATTAATTTGTGGCTGAAGTAGGAATCACACTAAAGAATTTCTGATTCACTGTTAATTCTCTTAATCCTGATTCTCCACCAATTCACAGCCATAATAAACATCAGTTGACTTTTCCTCGCTCTAAGAGTGGGACTAGTTTTACTTTAATGGTTCCCTCTGAAACTGGATTTAAGCTGCTTGCTATTGAACTCTTGGGGCATGGCAATATTTTGCATAGCTTGTGTTATAAAAAGGGAATGGGTGTGGGGAAGCAAGTAAAAAAGCAGGCAGGGAAGCCCTGACTCGTGAGTTCTATTCTTGGCTGTGTCACTGACTCATTGCAATCAGTTTGCTGAAATGTAATGTTGGACTTGCCCTCTGGCTGTTAAAAATAAAGTGGGGAAAGCTCTCTTTCTAGAGCTTTGCCACCACTCTGTAAATACTTTTTGTCTGCTGTCAAACTGAAAAAATCCTAGTCGACTGACCATATTGAGTTTTAACTTTGGGTAATTAAATGGATTAAAATTCATTTGAAAAATGATAGTTCTAAGGAAAACAAACAAACTTTGTTTTTCAGCTGATGCACACACATGTAGCAGTAGGCATTCCCTTTCAGAATAAGCATTCCCTCTTCTTCATTGGCGAAGGAGGGCTTTCTCTCTCTACATTTTTTATAAATACTTGCATTTTTTTAAAAAAAGCAACAACGGAATCCTTATTAAATCAGGAGTGTCTTTTTGTCAATCAAAATTATTTAATTGGTTTAATACACCTGATTAATCAATCAGACACTACTGCTCTACTTATAAGTCTTGCCCTCACTCAGTAGCTTACTTAACTATACTGCTTCGTGGAAGCTGTGTTGCCCAGGTGAAGGCAGCTGGTTTTCAGTCCAAATTCAGTAAACCAGTTTTGTATTTGCACAAAATCTATATCATCAGTAAGGTTGGAAGAAAATAAAGCTCTCCACAAGTATCAGCCCTACTTACGTATCTACATGCAGGTCCCGCTATCTGCCTGCTCACTATCTGAAAATTCACTTATCCACATTTAAAGAATTATGCACAAACCTTGCTATATGTTCTGCAGATTCACTTATCCAAACAGCCGACTTCCTTACTTCCTTGTTTGTTTCTGATTTTCTTGTTGGCAGCAGCCATTTTTGGGCAGAAAATGCTCCTTCGGGGAGCAAGATTGGATACATCAGAGAGCAGGAGAGTTCAGACAAATCCGTTAGGGTTGGGTTTTGTTTTTGTTTTTTGTTTGTCTTTGTCTTTCTTTTGTTGATTGCCTGCAGTCATTTCAGGAAGAAACCATGAAGAGAGTGGGGGAAAGTGCGTGGACAAATCCTGCATTATAAATATTTCTATAGGAAATAATGGAAATCATTGACTCGTTATGCAAATACTCTCTCCTAACAAACGATTTCCAGGAAACACATTGTGTTCGATAAACAGGACCTATGTATCACTAAATTGTTAAAAGACGTCAACTATTCTTTTCAATTTTCCATCTACTGTCCATGACACTCTCTAGAATCACCTTTCCAAATCCACAATCAGAGTTTTCTCTGGTATATTCCAACCTACTCAATCCCACCCCCAGTTTGCTTCCCCAGACAAGTTATTTTTTAAAAGCCATTGTATTGCCAAACATTGCATGCATCTCTTTTCTGGTATGCCATCTTGAGGGTGTTTTGGTGTTTGTTTTTTTTAGATATTTATCACACATCTAAAATTAGGTGATGAACATTTAGCATCCTTTGCCTTTGTTCTATAATGTTCAGAACACATTTTGAATTCCTGACAAATGCCTCTCTCATGCTGTTGCTGATGCTCAATTAAAATTTATAAATAATTTATAAATAAATAACTGGGACTTGCAACAAAATGTGGAGTTTTCCTGATCAGGATTCCAAACACTTCACTCAATTTCATTCTCTTTCCCCTGTTTTGTGGTGTTCCTTCCTCTTAGAGTGTTTTTTTAAAACAACAACAACAAAAACCACCACCACCACCAAAGATGTTTTGAACTTTTCCAAAGCATGATGTTCCCCAAAGGCTGCTAAAGCTTCTGCCCCTCTTGCGCATGGGTGGTGTGGTGTCTCTTTGGCTACGTGAGTGGCACTTAACAGTGTGAACATTAGAAATAGAGATGGTTGTGGTGGTGATGGCAGTGATTCACTCCAATCATGTTTTGCTGAAATGTCTTCTGTTAGCAAAGAGAGCAGAAGCTGTCACTCACCCTCACTTGGGTGTGAAACTTTCCTTATGTTATTGCCGGCATACATCTTTGTGGGCACTTAAAAAAAATGCTTCACTCATGCCAGCTTCTACTCAGTTGCTAGTAGTGTCATGCTTCTTCCTGCCTTCTCCAGGCAGCAAAGCCATGCCATTTGCACTCCTCCCCAGTGGTTTTGGGCAAGTGCTCCACTACTGGCTTTGCACTGGAAAGTAGTACTAAGTAGGAGTACACTTCTCAAATCTATACAGTGGATGCTAGTATCACTGGGTTGTATACCACTGTATTGGCCATTTGTTTTGTGGGGTAGCTTTCTAATTTTCATTTACCTTTATGTTTCTTACTCAGGCAGCCACATGCCTCCGAGCCCTGAAATGAGAGGCAGCTGCTGTCTCAAAACTTTTTGTTCGCATTTGGCAAGATCCCAAAATGGTGGTGGGGAACTGGTTTGGTATGCAGCGCTGGGTTGGAGGTATGTCCTGAACTGAGAACAGTATGTCACTGATGTATATTGGTGGCATGAAACACCATTTGGGTATCATTTTCATAACTGAGGTCATGCTGTTATTTATGCAGTCCCTAAAAGTGTACTATTATGCTTAGTACTCTTAATCTGAAATCATTGCCACCAAAAGCACAGGGCTGTAGCCTTTATTCCCAGAGTTAGTCAGATTAGACTAACAATGGGTCTGCTGAAATCATAATTAAAGTTGTAGATGGATCATTGTAGCACATACCTATGGAATGTCATGATTTCAAAAAGTGAGACCTTAAGCAGCATCAATCTTAACTATAGTTTATTGAAACAAGCCATCTTCATAAACCACAGTTTGAAGTTGAACTGCGGTTAGCAAGAACAGAAGAGAAGCCTATGGCTCACCCAGTCCTGCTTATGTAATGCTAAGCCATAGTTCAGTATTGTGTCTGAACGTAGTTGTTATTGCTTTAACTTCATCCCTGTAACTAGGAATCACAAATGGGGAGAGTGCTGCTGTCGCACCCAGGTCCTGCTTGTGGGCTTCCTACAACTACCTGGTTGGCCACCTATTAATCCTAAAATAGGTGCTGTCCTGTAGATTGTGGACCAAGATGACTACTTATGCATTTTGCAGACTATGTTAAATATCAAATGTCAAAAGCTATCCATTTGGACTTTCTCTCATTGTTTGGAAGCCCTCAGAAACTAAAAGATTTTTTAAACCATTTTGGCATTTTCACTGCTAAGGGTAAATCTTAAAATTAGAAAGGAACAGGTATGTTAGCGTAATCTTTGACCAGGCAAAGTATTGCAGTTTGTAGTTAACACACAACCACATTGCAAATCCAAATAAATATAAAGCTATTACTGTATTGTGGGGGGTTGGACTAGATAACCCTCAGAGTCCCTTTCAGCTTTACATTTCTGTGATTCTATTTATTTATATTAATATTATAAGTTAATAGCTCAGTCTTAACTGGATTTACTTAGATTAGAAGGAGTTCTCACTCTGTTCAGTCGGTCTTAGTGTGTTTTTAGGATTTCATCCTAAAAGTATTACTTGGAAATGTCAGAAAGCACAATTGTTGCTTTGATGACATTTTGATTCTGCCTCCTTCCTCCCTTCCTCCTCACACCGGATGCTGGGAAGTGGAGTTGTGGCCACACAAGGGAAGATGAATCCCAAAGCAAAGTGATCACCAAGGTCCCCCTCAGATTGTCATTCTTTTGCAGGAGGGAATTGGCTGCCACCTGGCAAATTTAGGACTTTTTGTGTTAAGGCAAGTGACCAAAAAATGCACTAGAAAGTGTGGGGAAACAATCAGTTGGCAAGTCACATAACCTCTGTGCAAGCAAATCTGGATGAATGCTTAATAACCAGGTTGCCAGGAAGCGACCTTGTGAACAGAAATTTCAGTTGGCACCAAGCTGACCTTTTCTTGCTGGTGGTCTTACTTGAATAAAAGGTGATACAGTTGGCCCAGCAGCCCTTGTTCCTCTGACTGGCAGCAGAGGCCAGAGTGTGCTTTCCCTCAACTTTCACAATCCCCAGGCAACTGCAGTTGGCAGGAGGAGGAGAGAGTTCTTCATCTTGGGGGCGACGGGGTAGAAAGAGGAGCAAGCTACTTGCAGCTGCTGTTTCTCTGATGGATGGGTCCAGGTTAGTGTTCCCTCGCTGTCATGTTCTTCCTGGGATAGTTTCATTTAAATCTCTGTCATTTAAATTTAGCAAAGAAATTTCTTCATCTTTCTCTGCCTGTGCCTCTGCACGTGTTGTCCAATAACATTGTTTTGTCTTCCTGTAGTAATGGCTGACCACTCAGTTCAAACAGAACAAATGTTCCTACAGCAAAATGTACACCTCTGAATTGTCCCAAGAAACTCACTGTCCTTTCAGCTCTTTTGCTGATGGCCAATTATCTAAAGCAAACATGCAATTTACCATAGACGAAGGTTTACACCCCAGAGAGATGTGGAAAAAACTCCACCAAACTGCATTTTGTTTAGTCCAGACGGGTCTGTGGTTACTTCACAGGCATTTCAGTGCTTTAGGAGCCTTGCTTTGTTTCATTTTTGTTAACAATGCTGTGGAGTTTATAATGTGGCTCACACCCAGGGAGGATTGCCCTGTGGAGAGCCCTGTGGTTGGTTTGCATCCAGCTGATCAGCACAGCTTCAACTTAATCAGAGTGCTTTTGTACTCTAGTGCAGCTAGAAGCCACTGAGGCAACAGGTAAAAAAAGAGCTAGGATCCTATTTGCACATGGCTGATCACAGTTTTGTAAAGTGGTGGAGAACCAGTTAATGCAAGATGAGATTTTGTGTTTAAAGATGCAGGGGGAGGAACAAGCTGTATCGGCAGAGTGGGATTGGGGTTTCACTCAGCGATATATCGCTGGTGAAAGTGCTACCACTCCTGGGTCCCTCTGCTAGCAACACTCGCTGGAGGAAGTCATTAGCAGACAAACTCGGGAGTGGTGGTGTTTCACCAGCGATATACTGCTGAATGAAGCCGACATCACAGTCTGCTCCTCATACTGCTCCTGGGCAATATATTGATATATAGCCCAGGCCTAGTGCTTATGTGGTCAGCTGCTATGTGGGATATGATGTCACACTCTATGGGTGTCTTTAGGAAATAAATGTAATAAATCAATAACATCAAATGTTGAAGTGCAGTATAACAGGGTATCAAATATGGATACATATTGCACATTATGACAGTTTTTTATGTTCAGAGGCCAGCTATTGTAATCAACATCACAATTTTCAAAGAAATATTTGGAGCAAACTTCCACCCCTAGGTATAAGTGAGCACACATACAGATTTTCTCTGCTCTTCAGGCCTCTTCCAAATATTGTACTCCGAAGTTCTTTCAAATATTGTTTGAAATGTATTGTCATTAACTATTTCTCTCCAGTTTATCCCAGTTCTTCATTTAAATCTGTGATGTGTCATACTTTGTACTATCTAGTAGGAATATGGAGCAGTTGCGGATTATCTCAAGTTCACAACCTTCTCACTGACTAACCATTTCTCTGTTCCTCAAAACGCCTTGTGCTCCAGAGCTGCAATACATGCCATTTGTTCTCTGCATACTGAAATTCTGATATCAAACTTGCACATCTATGTGACATATTTATCCTTAAAATATTAATCATTTGCATCTAAAAGCTTTGTCAGTTCTGGACTTTGGTTAGTGCGGAGAGCTGTTTCCATAATGTTTTTCTCCCATTTGAAGCATGGTCTTGTACACTTGCAGGGGATGAATTGCTTGATCCATGGGTTGCTTCGCTCTTGTTTAAGCTGACTGGGTGCTAGAATCAGAGTGGTTCAGGTCCACTTGGCCATGGAACTCACTGGGTGGCCTTGGGTTGGTCAGTGGCCTGGTTTACACGTAACATAGCACGTAGCATAGCACTGTGGTTTAGTGCTACATGCACAAGCTACAACGAGCTCAAAGCTGAGATTGCAGATTACAGCATAATCTGGTTAGTTAAATCAGTTTCATAATCCATGGTTTGAAATTGGTTTGTCTGGAAACTGATCAGAGTTTGTTTCCCTGTTCATAACCACAAACCAGGATTTGTGTAAAGTAAAACTAAACTCTGCAGAAGTCCTTCTGCGAGAGGAAGAGAAGGGAGAGCTTGTCAGCCTAAGACTTTGCTTAGGCTCAGTCCAGCTTCTGCACATAGCACTAAACAATGGTTTAGTGCAGGGCTGGGGGCCTGTGGCCCTTCAGATGTTATTGGACTCTAACCCTCATCAGTCCCACCCAGCTGACATCCAGGGATATTGGGAGTTTTAGTCCAGCAACATCTGGAGGGCTGCAAGTTCCCCATTCTTGCTTGAAGGTTATGTGTGAACATGGCCAGTTTCACTTGGCCTAATATAACTTGCAGTGTTCTTCTAAAGATACAGCTGGCAAGGAGGGAGAGAACCTTTATCCAACCACCATGAATTCCTTGAAGGAAAGGTGGTAAATGTGACAAATAACTAAACATATGGTGGAAAGAACAGTTTTAGTGTCCAGAAGCTTTCCATTTACTGCTAATAATTTATTATTAAGGCTAAAAATATGTTCAGCCGTGCCATTTCAGTGCACATTTCTGTTTACAATAAGGTGCATCACAATCATCCCCCCCCCCTTTTCTTTTTTCTTTCGCAGTGCCCTTAAAGATAGCCGATTTCCCCCAATGACGAGGGATGAGCTGCCACGGCTTTTCTGCTCAGTGTCTCTACTTACTAATTTTGAAGATGTCTGTGATTACTTGGACTGGGAGGTAAGGATTCTCAATCTTTTTTTCTCTCTGTGAAAAGAGTTGCTGCTTTGTTGAGCACAATTTCTCTGTCTTTGTTAAAACAAAATATGACTAGAATACTTTAGCATAGTCGCTTAGTACTGTCGTCCTTCATTAGAGTTTGTTTTGCACTGCACTAGGGTAAACATGCACAGAGGAGATGGTTATAGACCTCTACTTAATCAAAATAAACATATGATGCTCTTCTGGAACAGTGTGTCGCCTGGCAAATAAACTTTCAACATTGCATTTAACTACAAGCACACAGAATTTCAATTTTTTCCTTTGACCAACCTTCGCCCAGACCATACCTAGCCACAGTACTATCTCAGAGGCCCATTTCTCACTGAGACAGTATATATTTGTCTGGACTGTAGATTGCATGTGAGGCCCATTTAATGGGATGCTTCTCCTTACAAGAAAATAACTCACACTTAATATAAATAGTTATCAGGACAGAGGGTTTTAAAGTATCCTTCCCAACATGATTGTTTTGTGTGAGTAGGAATCATTCCTGCCATGTGAAGTACTCCAGCCCAGGCACAGTGAGAACTAGGCCTAAGGAAGAAGTTTTGACTAACTGAAATGAGAGCATCCTTGGACAAACACGGTGCAGGCCACACAGGAAGAACTACATAAATGTGCTTTTATCTCTTTTATTCCATAAATGTTATGGACGTGGCAGCACCTAAGTGAGCATTTGCCATTTAAAAACTGCATGTGGTTCTTTGTAGAACATGAAAGCTTGCAGGACAAGAGCATTTTCAGCATTTTTTACATCTCCTCATTGCAACAGCCAATTTATATAGGGTGCCTAGATAGGTTTCTGAAAATCATGTCACTTGCAACAATAATGGGCTCCTCGTGGTAATTGCAGAGTGCTACATAAAATTACAGCATTTTGCTTTAATATGCCTCAGATGAGTTCTAATGTAGGGTTTTGAGTGTTCCTGATTAAGTGACCATTAATGTTTCTTTTTCCCCTCTGTCATGCAGGTTTAAAATGTGTAATATCTGCCATGGTTGCTTTCACTGATAAGGCTGTAAATTACCTTTAGGGTTAGCCTTAGACAGAGTCACTTATACAACGCGGAAGAGGAGGAGAATGCACTTCACAGATGGAAAGGGCTTCTGATTGCCTGGGCCTTTATACCCCTTTTTGTTCTTGTTTTTTTAAAAAACAAAACCAAGAAAACAAAACCACCCTTGAATGTCAATATTCAGGCACAGCCTGATCTTTGTGGATGTATCTACAATGAGAAAAGGTTCCTCTCCCCTCTAGAAATTCTACTGGCTGTTTTATAAGCTGCAAAAATAGAAATGGAGTTCTTGGTTGTATCATGGTTTCAGATATTAATAACTATAATGATCCTTTGCATGCAACTTCGCAGACTGCCAGTTGGCTGCTTCGTGTGAATAACTTGTTGCTATTAACTGCAGTTCATTTAATTTTTGCACTCAGATAAAAATGTACAAAATTTCAATGACAGTAATTAGTAGCAGAAAACTGGATATGGGTATGCTTAGAAACTACCTTTGTGATGTTGAGATAGCTAACATTTTAGAGCAATTGAGCTGTGAACGATGTAGTAAAGTACAGTAAAGTACTCTGTGAAGAGCATTAAGTTCTCTAAAGATGCACTTGAGGTTTCCTAATAGTCACAATATGGTTTCAGGTCTCTTCAAAGCAGCTATTGCATTCTGAAGCTAGCATTTAAATAAGCAAAAGGATACACAATTAAGACCAGTTCTTAGTGTCAAGTTTGGACTCTCTTGTTCATTCTAGTGCATTGCCAAATGTCTGTCCATTAATATAATCAAGTAGCTGAATGTCTTCTGGTTTCAATGGGCCACAGAGCAAAGACCCACAGGGTTTCACCAATTACTGTGTAGCACACACACACACACACACACAAAAACCCCCAGCAACCTTCAGGTGACCATGTTCATATGTAGCTCTAAGCCAAAATATGGTTTAATGGAACAAGCAAACATGTTGGGGTCCTGCTGTTTCGCTTAGTGTTATGTCTGAACCTAGGCTGCCGACACACCACAAACAGTAGTTAAAGGTTTGTTCTGTAGCTTGCCACTCATGTGTTTGGGGAGGTAAACCATGAGCAAACCTGCGGCTTAGCTCACAGCAGGGCTGGAGGAGGAGCAAAGTGGCCTCTTCTCTCTTGGACCTGCACATTTGCTTGTTCATGCTAAGCCATAGTTTGGCTTAGTGTTAAGTGTGAACTGGACCAGTTTGATCTGCAATCCACAAGAGGCAGCGATGGCCACCAACTTGGATGGCTTTAAAAGAGAATTAGAGAGGTTCCTACAGGAGAGAGGTTATTAGGTTGCTAGCCATGATGGCTATACTTTGCCTCCACAGTCAGAGGTAGTAATGCTTCAGAAAACCAGTGGCTGGAAACTGCAGAAGGAGAGAGTGCTGTTCTGCTCAAGTCCTACTTGTGGGCTTCCCACGGGGGCATCTGGTTGGCCACTGTGAGAACAGGGTGCTGGACTAGATGGGCCACTGTCCTCACCCAACAGGGCTCTTTTTACATTCTTAAGTGCTGAAAACTGTCTAAATTCTTACTGTTTTGTTGGGGAGGGGGCAGGTAGTCAGGGAACTTAGGGCTGAGCTGCACATTACCTTGGCAAATCTGTACTCAGAAAATTATTCATTCTCCCTTAGAAGTGCTCTCTCTGAAACCCCCGTTTTCACCCACCCAACTTGCTTCCATTCTCTAAGCTTAGCTGATGGGGAGGATAGGCCAGTGGGATAAAAATGGCACTGAAGAACCTTTTCAGGAGGCAACCAACAGCCACCCTCTTCCACCAGGTGATTATTCTCTGCATGCGTTTCCCCACTACAATACTTTCCTCACAAAGAAAAACACAAGGTTAAGAGCATTCCGATTTCCTTATGCTGCATCGTTCTACCATTTAAAATCATAAAGGGATATGGCTATGTTCTTCCTCCAGCACCTGAGGCATTATGCCTCCGAATGCTAGTTGTTGGGGATACTGCTGTTGCACTCTTGCCCTGCTTGCAGGCTTTCAATAGGCATTTGATTGGGCACTTTGAGAACAGAATGCTGGACCAGATGGGCCTTTGGTCTAATACAGCAGGGCTTTTCTTATATTCTTATAGATACCATTCAGCATCAACAAAAGTAACCACTCATTCATTACCACTTAGAGGTGCCACATAATGTACTTAACCTTTGCTTGGTTAGGTACTCATTCTAAATTACAACAGTTGGGAGAAAGAAGGAACGGATTTCCAGGAAGATTGGCAATCAGTACTTAAATGTCAGAGAGTTGGGACAGCAGAAGTGGCTGGCTGGTTTTTTAATGTGTTTTCAAACTCTTGGCATTTATTTGAAGGGTCTTCACATTGGAAACTAATTGTTCAGCGGGACTTGGGGTGCCTTCCCCCCTTTATTTCCTAGTATCCTTTAGGCTGTGGTCCCCTATATCATTGTAGGCAATGGTGAAAAACCATTTCAGTCTGAGAGTTGTATTGTCTCATGGGCAACTTTCTGGAAACATCATGCTAGTGGTGGATAGCAGCACAGACAAAGTAGGTAGGGCATTGTTTGTGACATCTATCTTTGTGCAGTGGGCTACATTCCAGTCATACAAATGTTTGATAACAAGGGAAGGAGAGGACCCACTTGCACACTTTTCCATGCAGGCGAACAAGAAACATTTAAGCCAGACAAGGCTCTCAAGGAGGGTGAGGAGGAAGTGAGAAAGTGGTCAGAGAAAGGGGGCATGACCTTAGGAGTAGCCTAATGGCTGGACAAGGAAGTGTGGAGGACAGCATTTGGTTCTCAGACCTGAGGTGTGTGTCTCTCCCCCCCCCCCCCCATTTTAAGCAAGATGGTAGCATCCTTTGAGAGAGAATGAATTTTATTGAAATATGGGACCTTAAAAGAATTATTCTCCTCTGACAGTGAGAGAGCGTATATCATCCGTGTTTCTTTTAAGGAAGATGCAGTTATGCAATGTGAATGGCCAAAGGTCATTTCAAGATGGCTAGAATATGACCTTAAGAGAGAATGTAGGTCTTCTATCTGGCATAACTGCTCATTTCCAGGTACTCCTGAAAGGAGACCTTTCTTCTGTAGGTATGCTGTTAATGATATTGTGGGAGCTAATACAACAAATAGCTGACAGGTGCGAAACTACTTCTAAATTTCAGGTGCTTAGATGGTTGAATGTGGTGCTTTTTACGGCAAGTGAAGTTGAGGATGTGACTCAGGGATGCATCTACACTTTGGTGCAGGCAGACAAAGGATCCCCCCCCCCCCACTGGATAGTTTAATATTTTCCCTTGAGAAATACATACCTCTTCAGTGGGGGATGAGTGAATTGGCTGTCATTATCTCCCATATGTTGTATCCCACCCCCCACCAAATTGCTGCCGTTCTACCTGTTGTTCAAGTATAATTTGCATGTTTTTCCACTTGCCAGAAGAGTCACTTGGGACCACAGTGTACAAATACAGGCATTTTCATTTGCCCCATTCATTCTTCCCTGGCATGGCTTTGTGGGACTCACCCTGCTCATCAGCTCCTGCTATCAGGAAACTGGACATGTTGTTCCTGCTTGCCTCTCAGAGCAAGGGCTTCCTACCCCACAAACCTTGCCAGTGTCTTCATTAAAAAAAAGCTGATGCATTACGTAGGGTAAAAGAAATGCCAGTAGCTAAGGGTTGGTTCAAATGCGAACATACTATTCATCAAAGCAGTTTGAGTGGCCCCAGGGACACAGACACATGGAAGAAGAAGTAAAGAGATCAGCTGGCCACCAGACCATAGCTCACTGGCAGAATACATGTTTTGCATGCAGACAGTCCAAAAATTGATCCCTGGCATCTTGAGGTAGGTCTGGTAAAGATTTCCTGCCTAAAACTTTGGAGAGCCATTGCCAGTCAGTATAATCAATTCTCAACCTAGGTGGATTTAACTTGCACAATTTCAACTATGCGCTTGGCAGCCAGCCAACTGAAATCACACAAGCACAGAGAAGGCAGAGAGCTTAAAAGCTCTTTCTGCGCTATCTGCCATGCTTACTGTGCTCCAGAAAACTCTCTCATGGGCTCTGGAGGCCTTTGCAAGATCTTGCAAGATCTCTGATGGCCCTCAACATCTCATGCCAGCTCTGAAAGATACAATTGCTCATACAGGGGTGGTTCCAAGGAGTTGTTTTGACTATTTGCAATTTTGGCTTTACATGCTACCCCAAAGAACATAACCTCCATGCAAGATGCAATCCTACTCTATAGACAGGACTGAACTAGATGGACCAATGCTTGTTATTAGATTGCTTCCTATGGCTCCCTTTTACATGTGCTAAATCTTTGGATGTGCAGGGCCAAACATTGCTTCTTCCTCACATCTTGGTCCTGGAGACATTCGGGCTACTCCATACAAAGCAGTTTCCTAACATCTGAACTGTATGCCAATAATGGGTGTGACCCTACTTTTATCACAGCAACAGACATATAGGACTACTCTTCTCATCTCCTTACCCTAGTTCTTGAAATTTCCTTTCCTCGAGTGACATTCCTAGTACCTTCATCCCTCGACCACAGCTAGACCCTTCTCAGAATAAAGAGTATTTGGGCTGCCTAGATGACAAGACCCCACTCTCGGCCTCACTGATGTGGTCCAAAGCAAAGCAAAGCAGTACATTTGGCACCAGCTTGGCTGAAGGTGTTGCTGGAAGGTGGCATACAAGCCACCATCCAACTGTCTTAGGGATTCTACTCCAGATTTGTATAGCTTTTTCTTCTCCTAGAGATATCCCACAGGGCTATCTTCAAAAGCCCAACACAAGGGCATACAGCTCTTTCTTCCCCCAAGTTCTCTGCATATGCTAGAGAAGTTATGGAAGGAGACTACAAAATAATGGCCTGGTTAGTAAACCAATGGTCTTACTAAACCTGAAACACCACATACATAGAGAATGCAAGCATATGGCAGTTACCAATTTCATGCAAATGGTGATGGAGGGATTATAGTAGACAGGAACTGGGTGAACAATGTCTGGTATTAGGCTTGTTCCAGTCTTAAACAATAAAGAAACTTCTTCATGTTGTAACTTTTGTTCATCTTGTTATTCTTCAGATTTTTTTAGTCCTCTTGCAGTTATGCTGATGATTACAGTGTCATTCCCAAGCCCCACCGAGAAAGTCAGAATTGCAGAATAGGCAAATTGAAGGGTTATCTTTAGGTTTAGTTGTTCCTCTGTTGAAGCCCTCCAGCAGTTTTAAACTACAATTGTGTTGGCTGGGGCTTATTGGAGTTGTAATATTAAAACACCTGGAGGGACCAGATTTAATGTTCTCAGTTGTGTTATGAATCTCCACTGCAATACTCATACTTTAAAGCTGCCACTTTCAGGCAGGGTATGGTTCAAAATATTTTTCCATCCCTGATACGGCTTTAGGAAGGGATAGATAGATGGATGTGCGTATAGTGAAACTCATAAGAGTAGATGTGATTACTGTATTTCTTTCAGTGTATTTGCTATGAACTGGATTCCTGTTGCAGCAAGCTCAAGAGCTGTGTGTACCTGTAGAACTCTTCCAAAGCTCTCATCAGAAAGAAAAACAGTATCAGAACTGGCTTGCCCCATTGAGTGACTTCTGAGAATTAATTTCTCGTATGAAGTTTCATTATCTGGGCCTGTCAAATTTCCTTTTGATGTAGCTCATTGATGGTAGATGCTGGAAGTAATTAGGTGGGGTTTTTTTAATCTAGTTACATTTTCTGCATCTATTTATCGTGTGTTTGAAATCCTTGTGACTAAGAGATCAATGATCTCTTCTTACTGCTGTAGTGGTGGTTGGTCCATTTGAGTCTTTGATCCCACCTTTACTAGACTCAGCTTAACAAAATTATTTATCAGATCCAATGGGAGGTAATAGATGTCATTGTTACAGCTGCATTTGTGCTGGATGTCTCATTATCTGATGAGGTTTAGATTTGAAGCAGCCTCTAACTTCTAGAGGGGTGGGGGAACCTTTTAGGATGATCCACTCCCTGAGAATTATGGATCTCAATGCTCTCCTGGTGTCTCCTGGAGATTTTTCTGACTAATACGATTAACTGCCCAATCAATGCCCTGGTTGATCTCTAGAATTTGGAAGTAACATAGGCTGTCAACATAATTGCAACCATACGTCCTCTCCTGTCTTGTAGAGTTGGACCATCTCCTTGGTTTTCTGAGGAGTGGGTTCAGTGAAATGAGAAGGATGATGACTAGAGCATAAGTGACGAAAGACTTGGGCCATATCCGACCATACACAGGTAAGAGCCTATTCTGTGACTGTGTTGGTGGCAAAAAAACAAATCTTAACAATATCCACTCCTGATGTAGATGCCATAGTTATAGCAGAATAGTTTCCATGACTCTAGGACTCTGCCTACTCTGTTTCCTATGGATACTTTTCAGTTTGTACAATCTGATACATGGACAAGATTCTGGAAGAGTTGAGACCCACCATGTTTACTTTTGACCTGTCCCCATCTTGTCTTTTTAAATCTGCCAGGACAAGGTTTGGCGTGTAGGTCACTGAGATGATAAATGCCTCATTAAGGGAGAGCAAAGTTCCAAACAACACTTAAGATGGTCGAAGTTAATTCCTTTCTACAAAAGCCATCGCTCGAATCATCCAATTTGAACAACTATTGCCTTGTCTTGGATCACAATGTGTAGTGCCTTTCACCAATACCATCTGGTAGGCCAGCAGTGCCTTTCCTGGAAATGTTAGACCTAGGCTCAGTCATTGATACTCAAATCATGTTTTTAGGTTGGGTTACCGTAATTCATTATACATGGGATTGTCCTTGAAGATAGCCCAGAAACCTCAATTGGTGTAAAATATGGTCACCAGGGTACTGTCTAGGGCCAGGTCCTTTACCAGCCTGAATGTTTGCTAATTTATTTCCAGACTCAGAAAATGATCTGGGACCATGGCATCTTAGAAATTAGAATGGCATTCTACTTCAGCTATCAGGTGTGGGTACAAAAGAGAGGGTTTTTTTCTGTTTTTGGCACCCGGTATGTGAAGTAGTCTCCCAAGAGAGTTATAACAAGTCCCTTGACTGCCCACCATTTGGCAGGCTTTGGAAACAGTCTGGGACATTATCAGAATAAGACTTCATTTAGACTGCTTTTAGCCTACCACTGCTTTCAAATCTTTATTGTACTCAGTTGTTTTATGCTATTTGCATTATTTGTTATGCTGTTTTTATTGGCTTTTGCATTTTTTAAATTCCCGTATAGAAAGGTAGCTGTCAAGGGTTTGAGGATCAAGGGAATTTGGCCTCTCAATTCCAATATGCTGCCTGCCCCCAGGTCATAGTCCAAGCCTGATCCAGAATCCAGGTCTGTGGCTGTTGAAGGCAGAAGTTACTCTCAGCCCCAGGGTAAACCAACCCTCAAGGGAAGGAAACTGCCCCCACTTGTTTGATTCACCCAGTTTGAGTCAGGAGATTCTCAAGTTGCATACCAGATGTCCCCAAGGAGCAAGAGCGAAAAGTACCACTCTCTGCTTCCTGAAGCCTCAGGAAAAGTCAGCCAAATGCATAGTAGCAGAATGTGACCAAAGTGATCCAAGACACTGGTTTTCGAACCAAAGCCTTACCTAAATAACCATGTCTAATGAACCTTGTTACGGAAGGGTTTAGGAAACACGCACACAAATAACAAAACCTTGCCTAAACTGGATACATGACAAACACTCTTTGTCCCCTCAAAGAGGTGTGGCTTAAGGTTTCAGTCAGAAAGTTCAGAACCAAGATAGGGGACAAAGGAGTAATGTTAAGGAAATGTCTCATGCCCTCAAGCATAGTAACCTGCTTCTCAGCTGGAACTTTCCAAAACTCTTTGATGAACTCATGACAGCACAGTTGAAGAATGTTTGCCCAATTAATGGACTGGTCACTTTCGGCCTTGAGACGCTGGTACCAGATAGCACAGGTGCAATAATTTTGCAACTGCTAACAGTTTGCTAAAAGAGAGAAAACTGCTTTCTCATAATTCTAGATCTTACTTCAAAAGTCTAAGCTTCTTGCTCAACTGAAGTTTTAAGAACTGAGCCAAAGTTTGGGCACAGAACTGGTACAACATCTCAATATCTTGACAGTAGCAGATGGGATTTTGTCCTTTCCTATACCGTTGCCAGTTTCCATGAGATGGTCTGCCTAGACACCTGGAACCCATTCTTAGTTAGGCTACCAATAAAGTGGTGGTTATCATCTCTGGACCCAGTTCTCAACTTAGTCGATCAGTTCCCAGTCCTATGCAATTACTATCTTTTGTCTTGTTTCGAAAGCCTTCAAGACAAAAGATTCCTCTGTGTCCCAAGGCACCTAATTCCAAAGTTGAAATGCTATTATATTTCAAAACGGTTATTCTCGCGTTTTGTGGCTTAAATCCATTGTTTCTTATCCTATGGGGGGAGCAGAGGGGGTGAATTCTTCTGCATTCTCCGAGAATATGATATGCGAAAATTGTGATTGAAATGTAGCGGTTTCTCCCGGTCGTTCTCCACAGAATCCAGAGCAACAGGTGTGTGTTCCAATCAATGTTTGATAAAATATTTCTATATTTTCCATGTGTGTCTGATAGAAAGTGGTGGTGAAAGCTTCACAGGAAAATGTATAAACATCTGGTGGTTTCACACATAGAGCCAAGCCATTGCACCTCGGTGCTACAGAAAGCCAAAAAAAAAAAAAAAATGCCTCATGTTTCAAAGTCACAAACATTCTGCGGTTCTGGATACTTCTGATCTTCCCATTTCACATGGGGCCATTTCTGTTGTAGGTAGTGTTTGCTAATTGTCCTGCAGACATACAGTTTGCCCTTCTGTTTAGAAAGGGTCCATATGTAAGAGATAAGCTTCTTTCTGGCTCCCAGTCCACATGCCATTCCCTTTAAAAATGCTTTAAAAAGTTCTAGCCTACTGTCTCCAGTGCATATGCTACCACTGCATAAATCATTCAAAAATATTTCCATGGAAGCCACCAATATTACTTCAGAAAGGGTTCATAATCATAATCCATATTTGTGAGCAGGAGATGTTTATTTCTTCCATGCTCACCTTTAGCTATGCCTTCCATCTTGGTTTTTCACATGGCATTAGTGTTTATATACTAATTTCTAGAAGAATCCTCTATTACACCCCCTCTGTATTGTGTCAGCCTTCCATCTTGTGCATTGGTATAGCACTGTTATCCAACCCTGATTACAAATAATTGGGGCATATAATAAATTCAATCCACAGTAACCTTGATCTGATCATGTGGTTGCTTTTGAAACATGCTTATCCTTTCACTGAAACAATTCTCAGGATTGCTAACAACTGCAATTAAACAGCACAGTAGTGATCCCTTCAGGAAATGCTAGGTGCTAATCTAAAAACCATTAAAAACTCTGGGAGTGCAAACAATTTAACCTGGCATCTAAAATATGCCAAATTTGGCACTAGGTGAAAGGGAGGATTCCATAGCTAAGATGCCACAACCAGCAAATTCTGCTCCTGGTAGCCACCCTCCCCATCTCAGAAGGCACCCAGAACTCAGGCTTTCATGGTTATTTTAGTAAACAGGAAGGAATAAGTAGTCTTGGTCCCACAAGACTTAGAAAGCTGAAAGGACTCACAGGTCATGTTTTGACATAATGCTAAACCATAACTTTAGTTCTTGGTCAGGGAATGGGAACCTACGACCCTCCAGGTGTTGCTCGACTCAAGCTCCCATCAGCCTCAACAAGCATGGTATTTGTAACCTCCTGGGAGGAAATGGATGTAGGTTTGTCAGGCAGGGAGTGTATGTGAAGATCTGCAACATCCATCTGCATCCCAAGTGGTTTCTTCTACTCCTCTTCAACCATCCAAGTGTCAGCTCTTGGACTCTTCTACCTTTCCAGGCAAGCTAAGGTATCCAAGCACAGTGGCATGTCTTTAGCACAATTGTATCCTTGGATGGGTTGGTATGATTATTTTTTTCCTAGGGGCTGTGAATATATAATGGGGAAACAGTGGAGGTCCCGTTGATGATTAGCTCCTCCTGTGCAGTTCTGATTAGGAATCTAATAAACTGGATCATAAATCAGTTTTAAATTGAATCCTTCATCAGTCTTGGAATTAGTTAGTTTGCATTGTCACACCTGACTCTCCTGTTAAACCTGGTTGGTTAGCCTGCCTGTCTTTTGCCTCTCCATGGCAAGTTTCCCAGAGATGCTGTAGTTACCTTCAGAGCCAAGTGCAAATCTCCATTGCAAATGGTTGTTTCGCTAACTTTGGCTGTCCCAGCTTAGAAGTCTTAGGTTTGTGCAGAGAATAAAATGGCTGGCTTGCATGTATGAATTGTCATGCAATCATTTGCACTAGTCTTTGCTTATTCTTAAATGAATTTGTATTGGGAAGTTCAGTGTATATTAGTGTACTATAAGTTAGAGTTCTCAAGGGTTATGAACACAAATGCTACTTCCTTCTCCCATGATGATGTGAAAGTGAGAGTAATATCGGTTTTGTATTGCATTCTGAAATATAACTGACTCTGCTAACTGGGTGGGCCTCCTTGAGCCTCAGTATTCCAGTGCACAAGTCTAAGCAGGCATGGGGAAGACTTCTGTTTGTGTGTAATTTTTATGAAAATATGGTTTTTGACACCCAGCCAATTTATCAGTAATCTCAGTTTGACATAACTATTACTTCCACATGAAGACTACTCTAAAAAAGGGAATGCAAATAGTTATATAATAGGGTTCAGTGTGACTTCCTTGAGACTGTGGGATCGACTTTTACACTTATCTTCTCTGAAGCAGCTGTAAAAAAATATTGCAAGTCTCTTGTGTCACCCCATTGAAGTCTTAGCTTGTATCAGTTCTGTAGTTCTCTGTTTGGGGGCTTATGATTGCGTAAGCATTTAGATATCTCTCAAGCCACTTTGAATAAATGAGATGCTTTGCCATGAAAAGGACTCAGAGGGCACCTTTCAGAGCCTTTAATTATTAAGCTATCTATTTGATCCGTTGAACTTCACCAAGGTGGTTGGCCATTTGTTAAAATGGAGTTAGTCCTATTGCTTTTGGTAAGTCTCTGCTATAATATAAAATAGCTGCTTCACCTGGACATGGACAGTCACTTCAGCAGATGTATCCTATGTTGAGTATAGCAAGAACACTCCATCACCTTTGAGAAGTGAGTGGGAGCAGATGTGCTCACATAGGAGACAGTAGGACTCAACTTCTGCCGACCTTTTATTGGCTTCAGTAGGAGATGCTGATGGAGTCATTCATATTCCATAGCATCCTAAGTGAAGGATATGCTTCTTTCTCCTCAGCTTCTCATTCAAGAGAGGCTAAATGTGACTTTAAAAAAGAATACCCTGGAAGAGCAAACAAGGTCAAGACTTGGGATGACCTTTTTTAAAAAAACACAGAATTGACTCTTTGAGATTTATGTTTCTATCTCTTTGTTTTCATTTTTCTTTTTTTCAATGTCCTAATAATGCTGTCCATTTCTTTCAGGTGGGTGTACATGGTATTAGAATAGAATTCATCAATGAAAAAGGATCAAAACGCACCGCCACCTACTTACCGGAGGTTGCAAAGGAGCAAGGTCATTGTTGCACTTTATCTCATATGCTCTGGTGAAGAATTTAAACATACCTAGGAACTTAAAATGCAATATTTGACCTTGCGCTGATGTCAGATGATGGAGCGATACTTTAATTGTAAGGGATGACTCTTCTTTAAATGCCACTTATGTATCAATAGAAAATAAAGGATTGTGTCCAACTAAGTCACGCTCAGAGTAGACCCACTGAAACAAATAGACCAGTTAGCCACATCAGTTGACTTCAGTGGGTCTGTAACTTACTTGCATACAACCCTAAGTCCCTTTATTGGGAATCCTTCCATACATTGCAGCAAGCTAGCAATGTGCTACAGTAAGGTAGCTGAGTATCAAGATCAGTAGCATGCCAAATAGAAAACGTAGAGCAACGTCCACAGGGTCTCTGTGACAAAAAGCTGCTCTTTGGTGCATGGGGCTATCATCAGCAACATGGGGAAAGTATTTTAAATAAGTGATGAGACAGTTATGAATAATTGCTATAATGTTCCTCTTGTCTGGCGGTCACTGTTGGTACTTCATCTGCATGTACTTCGATTTGCTGCTGTTTGGAGGAGACTCCGGCCTCCATTTTTCTTTGAGATGTTTCGCACTTTATGGTTTTTAAAATGTGCTTCTAAAAATGTAATGTGTGAGTGAACATTATTGGAAAAATGCAAGTCAGTGTGCCGGAATTGAGTGGCTTCAACCTGTCAAGTGTCCAGCAGGTTACATACATACTTGGGTGTTGCTCTCACAGGATGTGGGGAGTAGGCATAAGGCCAGGGGCATCAATGACACAAGAAGCCACATTGTGATGCAAAAATACTACATGACACAGAGCCTCAAATTCCAGTATTAAATTGAAAGCTGTCATTGGCCAGGATCACCTATCAACATGGAGCGGGTGTTGCTCTGTCCCTTGGCAACTCTTTGGTTAAAAACCCAACATGGTTTGCGGCAAAAGTTAAGAGTAAAAGTTGGTTTGATTTTGGGCTATAAGTGCCTGTAAGGACTGCGCTTGTGTATGACTCTGACCCTCTTCTTATCACAATGAAAACCATGCACTAGTTAGGACTCCCATCTAAGTCCACAGTCTGAGGCAGCCTGTCAGCAGCCCTGTCCCATGCTGTGCTATAGCAAAGGCACTGAGCTGTCAACTTAATAGTTTGGGAAAACTCGGTGAACTTTGTCATTGACTAATTATATGAAATAAAGCAGCTAATGTATACTTGCCAAAGGTTTTCTCAGCATTATTACTTTTATTGCGTTGGTTGCACTTTTTCTGCATCTCTCTACATGAGTTTCGAGTTTTTTAAGGCATCTCATTGGTTTTCAAGGCGTCTCAGTGGGTTGTGTCCTATGTTAGTCATACTCCGACCCAACCCATTGAAATTAATGAATGAGGCTAACTTAAACCCATTAATTTCAGTGGGTCAACTCATGAGTAGACCTTAGTTAGGTATAATCCCTTGTGTGGACTGGGAAGAGATCATTTTTTAATTAAAAAAAACAACAACATGTATTGAAATGCTTGGGATAATTGTTCATCCCGTATCTTCTAAGAAGCTGTAAAGGTCTCTGGAGATAACAGGCTCACTAGATTTACAAGGCAAATGAAACCAGGGGCGGGGGTGGGAGGGTGGGAATGTTCTGTGAAACACAGTGATGGTTGGCACAGTCCACCAAGTACCACCATTGCACAGTCACCATTAAAATGGGCAAAGGTTGATAAACAGTTATTCGTGGTTAGATTGCTCTTCATTAAATAACATTGTTATTTTGTTCATTGCTATGGCACAGCATCTTTGATAAAGTGTAAGTTATGCATTTGCTGATCACCATTTTGTACTGAGATGTAAAATAGGGTTCATCTTAAGGAACTATGAAGTAGGTTACTTCTAAGCCATGGCTATTATCAGTTGCCCACCTATAATATAAGCATGAAATAGGAACATAGTTCTGCTTTTGCTTTTTTTTTACAAAATGTTTCTCCTGTTCTTCCTCCAGGGATCTCAGGGTGATACACATAGTCCCTTCCCTCTATTTATCATTAGCAATAACTGCCTCAGAAGGATGGACAATGACTTAGGATCACCCAATGAACTTCAGAATTGGCTGAGGTTGTGAACCTGGGTCTTCATGTAGTCCAGCTTGTAGGTGGAGGTCCCGTGGACCTCCAGATAGCTGTTGAACTATAGGCTGGATGGGGCTGATGGGAGTTGGAGTCCCAACAACATCTCAGAGGGTTCCCTAGCCTTGCCCTGTTTTGATGCTGCAGTTTGAGAGTGTGTGTGTCTGTTTTACCTTTTGTGGGGCCAGGATTTAACCAACATACATGCAATATTACCATTAGAAACTTCAATTGCAAATGACTTCATGTAGTTTTTTAGTGCAAACGTGGCAGCAAATTTCTTGTTTGCTTATTCCATACATATTAAAAACAGTTATATGAAGCTGCTCTTCCATATAAAACAACACAAGTCAGTATACAAACTAAAAGCATCAAATGTTTAAAAAAATGAGCTCTAGAAAGCAGAATTGTGTGTGCCTTCTGGCTGCCCACCCTTCTTCACAGGAAGGAAAAGGTGAGATTTCTTCTTGCAAGGGCATTTTTCTAGGTGAGAGAATTTGCATTCTGCATGGTTAGACCTGGCCCTGGCGCCTACACAATGTCTTCACTAGTTATGCCTTGCAATTTGGCTTTTGGTTTCTGTGTTCTAATAGTATTTTCCTCCCCTGACGATTCTCAACAGGATGGGACCATATTCAGACCATAGATTCCTTATTGAGAAAAGGAGGCTACAAGGCTCCAATTACAAATGATTTCAGGAAAACAATAAAACTGACCAGGTAGGAGTCCATTTTTCTCTATGCTTACAATCTGCATTTCATGGGCACGCCAGTTTTATTATTGGCAAAAAGTGAGCTGTTTCCAGCAGCATCTCTCCTGATAATGGCAGCAAAGATCTAATAATGACGCTTAATAGAATATTCTCCCCTTTCTTCTGCATCTGGATCTAATGGATTCTAGGAGTCTGGGCATATTAGGTTATTAGAGCTTTGCAAAGAGGAATTGATTATGATGATGAACAGATTGCAGTATGAGAGCAGCAGCAGTCCTGAAGCTCTTCATTTAGAGGCTGAGGCAGTTGCTTTCAGGCTCTTAGCCCAAAGCAAATGTGACATTAAATGTATAACTGTATTAGCTGCAGGATTGAGGCTGTCGGCAGAGGGGGCTTAACCCTTTCTCCCTGTGCTGCACCCCTGCTGAAAATCCCCAGCTGCTTTTGTTAACAGGGAAATGTTTGTTTGTTTGTTTGTTTAGGAAAGTATTTGTATACCACCATTTCATGCAATACAACATGGAGGTGCATGGCAGCATATACCATAAAATGTAAAACACCACAAAACAGTATACAATTACTAAAATGACTGATGATAAAGAATAGATACATACAGTGATTAAAAGTAGGCACACTGAATGAGTTCAAGCATTTAACATCAAAAGCTTTGGCGTCACATCAGAGCACTGTGTCATGGCTGGACCAGCTTTTGTGCTGAACAGTTTTGAGCCCTTGAAAGCTATCACTGGACTTGGCCATTGTTCTGGGCTCTTAATTTTACCAATTTCTTGCAGAGCAGCTTCCCTCGTAGCTCTCTAATGGCACTAGGGTCAGCCTATAGCTTATGATCTATGCCAGAGCCTGTGACCATCCAGATCTGGATGCAGCTGATGTTCCACCGTGCCTCATTCTAACTCAGGCTCAGGAGAGTTGGGAGTCAAACATCTGGGTGGCCACAGGTTCCACATCCCTGATCTTTGCAAATTTGATGGTGAGGTTTGGTCCTTTTAACTAGGCACTACTTCCCCAGTCCTGTACACATTGCCGAATGGGTGGACTTAATTAGACCCGGATTGCAGCTACTTCAGTTTCAAGCCAGTTTAGCTTTTAAGGGAAACTTTAAACACAGCAGAACAATTCTGCCTTTTTTTCTCTTTAATGGCTAAATATTTGCCGATCTGTGCTGTTTGTGTAATTAAACATCAAACTACCTTTAAAGGCAATTCCAGAACTATTCCAGATAAGTGTGTGTTGCTGATCATGGGCCAGATCCTGTGTTGGCAGCCACACCAAAATGCACATTCATCCTTAGTAGAACTTCTGGTTTAATTTACAAATGCTTCCCTTCCCATTTAGCCTCACTTCTTCTTCTTCTTTGGCGATTCATTTTATTCTGATATATCAACAGTTGCACTTTTTAAATCATAAAGGTAAAGGGACCCCTGACCATTAGGTCCAGTCATGGCCGACTCTGGGGTTGTGGCGCTCATCTCGCTTTATTGGCTGAGGGAGCCGGCGTACAGCTTCTGGGTCATGTGCCCAGCATGACTAAGCCGCTTCTGGCGAACCAGAGCAGCGCACGGAAACGCCGTTTACCTTCCCGCCCGAACGGTACCTATTTATCTACTTGCAGTTTGACGTGCTTTCGAACTGCTAGGTTGGCAGGAGCAGGGACCGAGCAACGGGAGCTCACCCCGTCACGGGGATTCAAACTGCTATCCTTCTGATCGGCAAGTCCTAGGCTCTGTGGTTTAACCCACAGCGCCACCAGCGTCCCCTTTTTAAATCATAGCAGTACATAAAACAGGTGCTGTGCGTGTGCTTTTTGTTGATGCTTTTGCTTCCCTTCACTGTCTCTGATGCACATTCAAGGCATTGGGCTAGATGCCAGACCTTAAGGTATGGGTAGCCAGCATTGTATCATCCAGATATTGCTGGACTACAACTCTTATCATCCTGACCAATGGTAATGCTGGCCAGGGCTGATTGAATTTGACAAGGAAAAGCTACACAAAGAATACTAGCCCAAGAGCTGCTTGGTGAATGGGCATGTCGATGTGTGCTTGATTTAGAAGCTTGGACTCTGGTGAGTTCTTCCCTGTGCCAAATCTGACTGTGGCTGAAAGCAGGTCTCTTCTAATTGCCTTCTCCTTAGTCAGTGGGTCATGGGGATGGCTTCAAATAAATAACAGAAAAATAGCTTCAGATAAATAACATACAGGAAGCCAAGTTGTTGGGGTTTTTTTTGTTTTTAAAGTAAAAAACATGGTGGGATTTGTTTGTTTTTTAGTCTAGGTCATAAGAGAGAGGGGAGGGCATTCCACAAGCTGGTTCTAGATAGCAGGTGTTTATAGAAGCTCATTCTCCAGCCCTAATGACTAGTTGTAGGAATCAACATTGGTATACTCTTCCAATTAATTAATAATGGCCTTGTCCCTTCCAAGGCTTACCCTATTTAGGTTATTCCTCATGAAATTTATGCTCCTAGGTCAGGGGTCAGCAAACTTTTTCAGCAGGGGGCCAGTCGACTGTCCCTCAGACCTTGTGGGGGGCCGGACTATATTTTGAAGGGGGGAAAAATGAATGAATTCCTATGCCCCACAAATAATCCAGAGGTGCATTTGAAATAAAAGCACACATTCTACTCATGTAAAAACACCAGGCAGGCCCCACAAATAACCCAGAGGAGCATTTGAAATAAAAGGACACATTCTACTCATTTAAAAACACACTGATTCCTAGACCGTCAGCAAGCCAGATTTAGAAGGCGATTGGGCCAGATCCGGCCCCCGGGCCTCAGTTTGCCTACCCATGTCCTAGGTCATTGGTGAATAATGGATCATAAAGGGGCAGGGAACCTGTGTGCGGACATATGTGTGTCTGGCCTCTATATGCAGACTGTAATGTGTGTGCATTGTGTTACTCACTGAATATTTTGAATATTTTGCAGTCAGAAGTCTGTTTCTTGATGTGTTGCTTTGGGAAATCCTGAACGTTTCCTCCTTTTCTTTAAACCCTTCTGTCTCTGCTTTTCTCCCTCTCTGCCCCCACCCCCGGCCCCTGTAGGTACCGCAGTGAGAAGATGACCATGAGCTACACAGAATACCTTGCTCACCGTCAGCATCATCACTTCCAGAATGGCATTGGGCACCCCCTCCCACCATACAACCATTATTCCTGACACTGAGCCGCATGACCAGTCCCTGGACTTCTCTGCAGACCTCTTCCCAGGAGACCCCGCCCCCTCTTGGTCTAGCTATCTCTATTACTGTACAATTTTATGATGATAGTTTCCGTTGCCATGATGGCACTTCTCCACAGCAGGTTAAGTTCATCATGGCAACGGATGGAAACGCTGCATCATTACAAAGAGCCCCTTCACTCTCTTTTTACAAAATCCTTACTTTGGCTAGTATATAGACCTTTTGGGATTCTTTTGATATAAAACCTTAAAATTCTAACTTCATTAACATTGAATTATATCAGTCAAATTTCTCTGTAAGACTGTGGATGGAAGGAAAGAGTATAATGCTTAAAGGGCTTGGATTAGAGAATACAAGCATGATTAGCGGCTCATAAAAACAAAATATACCAGATTTAGGTCAGAAATTTAGACTATGAAGGAGGCCTGAGTAGGACTAGCTGTACAATCCTCAACGTTCCTATAAACTTGTTTTGATTTCGTGTAAGTAAATATGTGAGCCTCAGATCCTTCTGATAATCCTAGGAGAGGCAGATTTTGAGATGAATTGCTTGATTATGAATAGAAGGCAGCTATGGCTTTTGCGTGGTTTACAATGATCATATAGGAAGAATTTTATTGCAAAGCCAGTTCAGGCTATGTTGGCCAATGCATTTGCCATTTTAATAGCTGCACATCTAGGAAGGCGGTGTGCCACCTTTTTACTCATGGGACTCAAGGCCTTCACAGGCCCCATGTATAGCAAGGTGGCTTGTGCATGAGTGACTGTTTGCACCAATGCCATTCTAAGACTTCAAGGATAGAAGCTGCTTTTGTGCTGAAGCCGTTGGCATGTAGCAGCTGTCGTATAAGGAAGTCAATGGATTTAGGTATTAGTGCCTTTGACAAGGATGCAAGTTATCAAAATAATAGGGGGGGCATAGGGATAAACTGGAGAAAAGATGGCTATATTGAACTCCTTTCTCTATTGAGAGTTGGTGAGGAATGAAATTTGTTCGAGAGTAGAAATCGGTTTTCTTCTCTCTCTTCCCAACATATTCCAGTTGCCTGGAGTTTGTTACAATCAACCAAACGCAATTACTCTTTTAAGTAGTCATGGTGGTGGATATGAAAAATGCGTTTGGATTTAATGAGTCATCTGAATGGTTCTGAGCCGGAGGGATCAGTCCTATGGCAATGACTGTCTTTCTGTCCTACATGAAAGGGGCTGAAAGAGTTATTGTCTTGATCAGACTCTAGCAATGAGGAAGAGAGACGGGGAAAAGGCGTTCATGAAGTTGGAAGCCGCTAGTAGTTTGGGACTCACCTTATTTAATGTACTGACAGAACTCTCGTGGACAGTGATGAAGTGTATATTCAAGGGGATAGGCTCTTTGCTAAACAGCCCTGTGATCTTAAGATGAAGAGCGAGATATAAATTTAATAAATAACAATAATAAATTTTGGAGGAACCAAATACATTTTCACAGGAATCCCAGCATATTTCATTCACTAGATGTGGAGTTCATATGCATACCTATAGGAGGATAGATGAGTGTGGGCAAAACCAAACACTATTAAATGTCAAGCAGCTGGTTAAGAATCCTCAAATGTACTCTTAATTCTCATACGTACAGAGAGGCAAGCAGAGGATGGCTCTCACATTAACAGGGAAGCTAGCAGAGAAAGTTCTCACAGGGAATGCTGTCATTTCCTTCATCCACAACATTTGATGTCCAAATATTAACTTTCTGTTTTAATGCCTTAATTTTAAGTGAGCAGAAGGCCTGAAAACACAAGTAGCCAACAGATGTCTGGCAGACATTGCAGGTCGGGAAAAGAACTGGCCATTGCTTCTGTTGAAGTTATGTGGGAACCCTTTCCATTTGGGTGTTGGAAGGCAGATTCACCTTGAAACAACAGGTATCAACAAGTGGCTTTCTGAATGCAACTTTTTCATTCTTGCCCTTTAAAGGGAAACTTGAGCACAAGCTGAAAAAAACATTATCTGCTGCAAAACATTTGAAAAATCAGCCATGGCCACCCAATCCCATCTTTCCTCTGTTATCTCATTACAGCTCATGCTTCTGGGTGAGCTCATTGTTAGAAGTTTTTTAAAAAGATCTATTATATATATATAAATATATGTGTATTTAAAGGTGCTAATCAACCTTGAGCAGGTCACGTGACTGGTCATGCGGACTCGGAAATCATATCAGATTTTTTTAGGAAAAAAAATCCTCAATATATGCAGATGTTATACAGAATTTCTTACCAGTGTAATAATGAAATACTGATTTAAATAAAATATCCTGCAGGGTTTGAAGGACGAGGTCAGCAATACTTCCCACCATGGCTTGGGGGAGGAAAAAGGATCATTTTGTCTCCTTTTTTGTACACAGTGTAATGCACAATGCATATTTGTCTATGTTTCAGTAGCTGTTGCTTGGGAAATTAAAACTAGTTCAAAGGGTTATACAAACTGGAAAGGTGTGCTTTAAAAAAAACATGAAAAACCTCCAGACCCTTCTGAGCCTATCTTGCATATGTTCATTTAGGAAGAGTTCTTGCTTGGCATGTTGTGAGACAGAAGCTTCAGCAAATGTTCTGTTTTTACATATAGATGAATCTGTTTCTTGCTGACATTTTTTTCCTGGCACTTACCTCTTGAGCATGGAAGTGCCAACGACACAAAGGATTATGTTTCTTATGTAATTGTAGGTTTATTCGTACAAAACATGATGTACTTCACAGGAACATAGTAGCTCTGTTTGCTGAAAACAAATCAAGGAAAAAAACAAGGCTTGAAATATGCCTTGTGGTTTGTTCCTAAATATGCAAATTGAAATTGGAGCATTTTCTGTTGATTTTGAAAATCCCAGACAGATTTCTCACCTTCCTGTCAATATTGATCACTGAGCTTTGGGCAAGCATTGATCAGTTACTTTTGCCTTATTTCATTCCAAAAGGCGCTTTTGTTCTAGCTTTAAAAGTTTGCTTCCTGCACCCGTGTGGTATGAGGCAGTTCCAGAACAAGTCTCTCCGGTTATGCTGAAGGAGAGTTGCGTCCCTGAGCTGCACACACACAACATACACCGTTCCAGTAGCTGGAAGAGTCTTGTGCAGTGATGTGTCTTGCATCGTTGCCACTTTCCCTCTGGGGCCGCAGTAGGCTCCGGTGGGATGGGAGGTGCTTTGCACCAACCGCAACACAATTGTCAGCTGGAAGCACCGGGCCACACCACACACCCCGATGCGTATGTGTATCTCAACCTTTTCACTTGTCTTCAACTGTGCAGGTTCTTGAAACTGTTGCCTGGAGTAGATTACATCTCTTGTGTGTTGGATCGAACCAAAGAATCCTCCAGCCAAGCCTAAATGCTGCTCCTAAAAAAAAAATAAAAAAGCCTGCCTTCCAGTCCTTCCAAAATCCCTGCAGGATGAAATGGGTTAACTTTTTTTTATTTTTGTACAGTTTCTTAACTGATTTTTTGCTAGTGATGTTAATTGAATTAAGTTTCGAGGAGCCTAAGCGACTCCTCCAATGAAATAAAACTGGTGACTTTTTTGTGTTTAAAATAAAATAATATAGAAACCCGAAGTGTGCCTCTCAGATTTTAAGGGTTTCTGGTTACATTTATTAAGACCAGCAATGATTATTCTTTATATACAAAGATATGTTTTTTTCCTTGTTTTTTTTATTACTGTTTCAGAAGAAGACTAAAAAAATGAATAAAAAAAAATACCTTCCTTTTGCTCTGGATCCAGTAACTTTGCTGGTACACAAATGCACTGAGAACAAAAGAACTTTTGTAACAACTTATGACTGTTTTGTATATCAAAGTTGATTCTTTTCAAAAGATTGGATCTAGTTTCTAAGTTATTTTCGTGTTTTATATGTTACAAGAATTAATGGTTCACCAGCATAATGAGTTCTTTAATGCAACAAGGTGACACAAATGGGCAAAAAAAGAAAAGCTGCCTGGAGTAGCTTAAAGGCCCCTATTTTTTTCCTTCCTTAGTAACTTGACTATTGATTACAATATTATCACAGATTACCACAAACCTCCTACCATTTAAACTAGATCCTTCCATGTTTATTTGCTATTAGTGTGAAGATACTGTTGAATAAAATGGGCATTTTTATAAGTATGGCTTAAAGGTAAAAATGAGGAAAAAGGAAAAAAAATCTAGAAGGTAATCTGTGGGTCTGTGAGATAATGGCTGTGGAAAGATATTGTAGTAGTTTTAACACTATTGTTATTACCCTTTAAATCATTTACCCAATAAAAATAAGCAGAAAAAGAAATAATCACTGCTTGTATTTATGCTTTTCCTTCAAAGTGTTTTGGCCTGGTATATTTCAACCAGATACGTTCAGCTGCCACCATTCTGCAAGAAAATGGGAGATAGGGAGGCTTCAAGTTAACCTTGAAAATGCATTTTAGCTTTTCAATATTTAAGCAGAGGGCTTTTCTTTGAAGTACAGTAGGTACCCATGAGAGGGAAACCATACTGGGCATTCTCTGGTGAGCATCATGTAAGATTTAAAGGTGTTTCTACCTATTGGCAACTTGTTAGCCAATTCACTGTACAGTGGTACCTTGGTTTACAAACTTAATCCGTTCCTGAAGTCCGTTCTTAAACTGAAACCGTTCTTAAACCAAAGCGCTCTTTCCCTAACGAGGCCTCCCGCCGCCGGTGCCTTTCCACCATTTGGATTCCATTCTTAGACCAAGGTAAAGTTTGCAAACTAAGACACTACTTCCGGCTTTGCGGAGTTCGTAAACCGAGTAGTTTGTAAACAAGACTGTTCGTAAACCGAGGTACCACTGTACTTGGTGCTCCTCTGTTGCATGTAAATTCAACCTCCTGAAGTGTTTCAGTGGACTTTTTCAACTTTTCGAAGTCCACTTGGAGAAACAGAATTCCACAGCCCCTTCAAGTGTGATGTACAAGTTGCAGTTTGTGGCTGAATACCACTGTCCTTGCCACTCCTTTAACATTTTTTTCCAGCTTCCAATCAGCTGGCTTCAGTTGGAGCTACTGCTAGGCCCCTTCCATTATGTAAATGACCCATGTTTGTGCAAATCGTAAGGAAAGATCTTCCATGCTTTGTAATAAAAGCTACTTTGGGGGCATGCTTTCCACAAGCTCAGAATCTGAGCTGTGCTTTTCTTCCAGCTGCCTTTTAAAAAAACTTTAAAGGGCTGACTTTCCCTTCTCCCCTCCAGTTGGGTGTGTGATTGTGGAGTAGCAGAATGCCATGCCTATTAAGTATCTAGACCTCCTGGTCTTAAATTACTATTGATGCAGTAGTAATACGGTGACTTAAAACAGGGGGACTTTCAACGCTCCAAGTCAAATTACAGTTTACAAGTTCGCGTTCGCAGTCTTAAGAGTCTTGTGGCACCAAATGTATTAAGAGCACAAGCTTTTTTGTGAACCACAGTTCACTGGGTAGCAATGTAATCCATGAAATCTTATTGCCATCATATGCATTTTGATCTTTGAGATGCAATAGGACCCTTTGTTCTTTTTGCTCCAGCTGGCTAACATAATTACCCCCCTTTGGCAATTCCACAATCCAGTTATTTTTAAAGGAAAACTATTATGCCAGCTGTAGGCTGATATTGTGATATGTAGATCAATGGATTAAACTAGCTGATAGGCTCCAAAATTATTATATTTGGCTACACAACCACCAGCCTTATCCTTAATTTTTATCTATATGCTTTCCTAGAAATGTGCATAGCTCTCAGGTACCTACTAGCTGGTGCTCTTGCCGTCAGTAGCAACTATGAACTTCCTGCATCTCCATAGGACTTTTTGAGCAAAGGATGGCTTTGTGTTTTTGCTCCAGGGTGGTCCAAGCCCTTTAGATTCTGGATGGACGTTTTAGCCACCATCCCACAAATGTCCAAAAGTGGAAGTTACCTTTAGCATAACTTGTTTTAATTCCTTTACACCACAACTGTGCTAATTGGATGTAGGAATATTTATTCCATTTAAATAAATGCGACCAACTTCCCCAGGAACAATATTTTATTAAGAGATAAAGAAAGTCATTTCAGACACAAATACAAATTCCCATAAATTCAAGTACGCGATATCTACTTTGTGTGTGTATTTGGAAAATGTTACCTAATGGGTTTTTATTACATTTTTTTTAAAAGGAAGGAGTAGTTTATAAAATTGAGCCTACTATAAGACACCTAGGATTCAGTGGAAGAGAGGAGGGCTTCAGGGTGGGTTATAGGTCAGTGGAGACACACACACATCCCACTGCCAGTTTTGATGATGGAATAAGCCTCTGCCCAACGGGTACCACTGAAAAGAAATTCAATGTAACAAGAGTAATACAGTTTGGCCAAGAAAGGGAGAAAATGAGATGGCTGTTTTTTTAAATTAACTGGCTGGAGATGTCTGCTACTGCAGGAGAATGGCAGCTTCAGATTAGATGCCATTAAAAACTCATTTTCCCCATATTTATAAAGAGGCAAAAAAGGAATAGGAATTCCCCTGATCTGGATAGTGGCCCAAACAGCAAGGATAGGTTAGCTATCCTAAAGATGCCTAATAAATCATTTATGGATCACAGTTCCTGCTTAAAAAATAAATACTTAATCATAGCTGCTGCAGAAATGTATCATATGTAGGTTAATCTTCACCTTCATCACACAACACAACCACAAATGTACAAGAAATCAGGGTATTTTGCCCTATAAAGACTACTGGCGTACAACTCAAGTTCATAATACATAGCAAAATAGTTCATTCTAAAAGAGGAGTAATGAATACGGCCTTTACAAAACACTGAATTAGCAATACAGAAAAATATCAAAATTCTGATATAGGCCACAGAAGAAGATAGTCACAGCTACACTGAGGTACTCTAAAAATTGTCTTCCTCAACCAGGTGCCCTGCAGATGGGAGTTGTTCGAACCATCTGGTGGGCACCAGGTTGGGTAAGGCTGATCTCTAATGTTAAAGTGCACATCACAGCCACCCTTCCCAGGCCTTCCATCTCTGGCTTTCCAAAAGGACAGCTTCTGCTGAACAGAAGGCTACCCTGCAGCCCTAGGGAGTTCTACAGCCAGAAAGATTATACAAGAAGCTCCAAACACGAAAGCATTGCAACCCAAGTCCATGCTGATCCCGCCATATAATCTAAGTGGAGGAGTAAAAATCCACAATGCACAGCAACACAGGCATTCTAAGGTGCAGTGCTTTTTTCTAGGGGTCCTCAAGGGCACTCAGTACTGGCACCTCCCCCCAAAAAAATGTTAAAAGTGTGGCACTTACTGTTAACAACTTCATAGTGCCAGCACCTTTATTTTTTTTAAAAAAGCACTGCTAAGGTGCAATAGACATTGGCACCCCACTTATTCCAAGCACCATATCCTAACAAAAGCTACACTTTGCTTTGCAACGCTATGCCTTGAAAACTAGCTAAAGAAGCAATGAAGACAGTCCTTTAGTTAGGGGTGGGGGAGGTATGAGGCCTGTAATGAAACTTACAAATTCCAGCCTCTGGCTCCTTAAGACAATTTACACATCCACCTTCAATGAACAGGACAGCATATAAAGGCAAAGTAGGTAGGGGGCCCAACTCACCTGGAATCAAGCACTGGACAAACACATCTATCCATGTGGAAATTTTCCCCAGCTGTGACCAGTTACAAATTGTCCTGTCAGAAATGAAAAGCCCCTCTTGGCAAAGGATGCAATTCTTAAGTAGGTCAGGCTTTACCTATGGTAGTGGTGAAGAGCAGGGATGCAGAAGCTATGGCCCTCCAGATGTTATTGGGCTCCCACTTCCATCAATCCCAACCAGCATGGGCATGAGCAGGCACTGTGGAAGTTGTAGTCCAGCAACATCTGGAGGGCCACAGTTTCCTCACCCCTGCTGTAGAATCTTCCCCAATGGTACAGAGATAAGTGCACAACTCTGGACTAGTTATTAGAAATTTCAGGCTTCTATCTTAGAACCAATCAGGTTTTGGAAGTTCTTAACAGGGAAGAGGATTGTCCTGTCACTTAACCGAAACACCCACCCAAAAAAAGTTTATAAGAAGGGTCTTTTTGGCTTCAGGAGGTAAAACTCAGGAAAACCCAAGTTGTAGAATACTGACTAAGTTCTATTAGGTGAAGGTCCCTTTACTGAATGAGGTGGCCAACTTCTGCAACTACAAAGAGCAGACTTGGCAGCTCTTTGTCTGGAATGAAGCCAAACACACTTTTGTTCTATACTGACCAGCAGTCCTTTTATTTCAAGAATGCAGCCCAACTCACCAACATTCACAACTACAGACTGGAATATGCCACAGTGCCACACACCAGAGCCCTGAAGGGCATACTTGCATGAAGTGCCCCACACACTGATGCAGGCAGCCTCCCATTCATCAGTCACGAAAGTATGTGGCATAAGTAACAGGCAGGTGATTATCCAGACCAGTTATGCTGTCACTGAAACTAGTAGTGTGTGTGTGTGTGTGTGTGTGTGTGTGTGTGTGTGTAACCCAGTCAAACTGATCATTAATGCAGTTTTGCTTACCTCAGAAGAGGAGGCGTGTCAGCCTTAGTGACAAGTTTGAAGTTGCTCAGCTATCTCCTCTGAAAGCAAAACTAGGTGGAACACTTGAAAGAGGGCAATGGGAGAAAACATGGCACTTTTTAAGAGTGGCGAGTAACTTCCAGGGAGAATCTGAAGCATGGACTAAGGTGATCAAGAAGCACCAACATGTTTGTTGAAAGGGGCTGGGAAAAGGTAAGGCAGAAGGATTAGGCCACTTGTGGATGAGCAACATGGCACAGGGTTGAAAGATTTGGCCACTCTCAGTCAATTCAGAAGTTTCACTCAAAACCTAAAAAACAACATCTACTATTTCTGCTCCAGGGAGGGACTGATGGAACTGGAAACAAGTACAAAAAGGGTCATCACCAAGGGCTAGGTGGCTTCACTGCGATCAAAGAAAGAAACCTACTCAAAGTAATTCTAACAGATAGAAAGTTCAGGCACAATTGCTTACAATTTTCAAGGTTTTGTACTCCTAAGATTTTATACTGCTGAATCCTACATTACCGTCTACTTGTCTACGATAAAGGATTACAGCTATGCTAGGAATTTCACTGTCTTATGCCTTTGTTTAAATATGCCACTTTGGGAGAGTAAACAACCTAGACATTAAGATTCACCACAGCAACTGCAAAGAGCAACCCTGGACAGGATTACTGAATATTATGCAAGACTCCCTCCTTCAATGCTCTGCCAGAAGCAGAAAATAGGCATATGAAAAGCAGGGCTGTGAAACAGGAACTCATCAATGAGCATTTCTGATAAAACTCATGGTAGTAAAGAGTATTCACAGTATAACATGTACAAAATTCCTCACACACTACAAAGATTCCCAAAACAAAAAGGTTTACAAAGACAAAAGTCCAGGATACTCTTCTTTGTATGCCAAATTGCAGTTAAATATTCAAGTTTTGGTCAACTGAAGTAAAATACTCAGTCGTGTCTTTTGCAGTTCCACAGCTCTACGAATCTCCATCCCACCATCTTCCCTTGGTTGAATGAAATGAGCTGCAATGTTGACCGTTAAGGCAACTTCTCTCTCCTTGAGGTATCAGTGACTGCAGAACGCATCCCGTTGGAGAAATATACCTGGAGGAAATATGGCAGTTGTCGTATCTTGCATTCCACAACTAAGGCAATGCAACCAGAAGAATGGGGAGGTGAGAGAGAAAGAGAATGCTTAAAACATTGTCACTACAGGACACTGTGTGACCATTAAGCAGAATAGTTCTTCAGAAGGTTACAGAGGAGCATTCTTCACCTTTCTCTTCAAATCTGGGCTAACACTGAAAAGGTAACACAAATCCATTCTACTTCTCACCAGCAATCACCTGCTTCCTAAAAAATTTCTGCACTTCTGCTCAGGCAAACCAACTAGTTCTTCATGGGTGTGGTTAAGTGAGGCTAAACATAAACGCCATCAGGTGTGTTTAAGTAAACACCATCATTAATTTTAAATACTGTATGATTCAGTTTGCAGAAGGGTAAAATTCTAACCAACCCAAACTGACGGTGTCTCTTTGTAGAACAATTATTCCTACACAGGCACTGCTTGCATCAAGAGCATAATTCATTCCCTAAATTTATTACATACTTCCCCCTTCTTCGTGTTTTTTCACTTATCGGTATAGAAAACCAACCTATGAGCTGGAACCAAATACAATATGGTTGGATTTGAGCACACTGGGACAGAAATCCACTGTAGCTTGGAAAGTCTTTATTTCTTGTTTCTTTTATTGGGCTGTTAATTGTTCCCCATGGTTTCAACCAGCGTAAACAGAACAGAACCTTGCTAATTTGTATTGAAGATCAGGGGATGCCAAACACCGTGATCAATTAATGATAAGTGAATCAAGTGAAATTGGCAGAAATAGGATACTACAAGATGCTCAGTGTCCACAGAACAAGATAAACTGCATTTTACTGGTAAATTTAAGAACCACCACTAGGACTGGTAGATATCTGGTTTTCAACATTCCAATCTATGTCCGAAACATGGAGGTTTGGGGAGAGTGAAGATCAGTCGAAGGAGCAGCCACGAGGGAGATCAGGTGAAGGAGCAGTGTGCTATGCGCACTGTAAATTCCTCCTATCGGAGGCAGGCAAGCCCTCACGTTTGGTGTGCAAATTCCTTCCACTCCTCCTTAGACAAAGGGAGAAGGAAGAAGCAGCCCACCCACGATTTCTGCAGTGTAGAGACACTGCAATTACAGTTATGGGGAGGTGCTGAGGCTGGGAGTGGAGTGTTCAGCCATTGGAGGGGAAAGGGAAGGCAGGCACCCAGCTGCCAGAGGGCTCTCAATTATACTGCCCTCTGGAGTTGTGAAGTCTGTGCTTTGCAATACATTGCCAGCTCAATTATTCTGAAATAATGTGGTCTGCAAACTATGTATCAATACATTGCCCAGCCCTAATCACCACCCTGTGTGATTATCTACTAAGAACTAGTGGATGCAGCAAGGACACCATATATCAATATTTGGGAGACCCTGGAACACTTCAATCCAAAGTAGCAATATTCTGTTTTCTAAAGGATAGAAACTGCTGGGAATGAATGTCACCCTCTCAGTGGATAAGGCCACAAGTTTTGCCATTGGCTATGGGCAGTGAAAAATCAGTAGTCAGTTGGGAATGGGAGGGAACACCTTATTTTGTAACAAAAGGAACCATTAATCCACGGTGCTTTTTCCTCTTCCCCTTTTTCTGCAGCACAACCACCAGTCCTTTTATGCTTCCTATAAAAAAAACACTTCCTTCCAGGAAGAAGCTTCAGTAGATTTTCTTAGCTGGGAGTCGAAGCAAATCCACACAGAACCTAAAGACAGGTACAGCACTGTAGTAGATGCCAATTATGAGTTTCCCATGAATCAAAGTCATGATCGTCTGGTGGCCGGAGGCCCAGAGTCTATACCAAGGGCCATAGAAAGGATCCGAGATGGCAGGGCACAGCATATTGTTCAAATTCACTTGTGTGGCCTAGGAGAAGGGGGAGAAAAGGATGGTTCAACAACCTTCACAGCAACCAATTTGTTTACCCAACTCCCTTAGCAACCCAGAAGCAGCAAGCCGGTCACTCCCTGAATCAGAACCTCCCATGGCGCTGTTAACAGGCTGGGCAACAGCAGTTGGCCAGATACAGCTTCTGCAAAGAGAGGTGTGACTCGGAAGCACCTGTGCACAAAGCAACATTGCCTAGGTAAGTCACAGTAGCATTAAGCACATACAGACAGTAATTGCGCTTTCAACTACTGGCAGGCATATATAGCAAACATTAATGTTCACTCACCAGTCCCAGAATCTGTAAAACGCTAAAGTGGTAGATAAACATCAGTCCAGTGGATAATAAAGCCCACCAGAAATTCCAAGATGGCTCAGGAGTGTAGACACCTATTAGAAACAGAGAGATGGAGAGAAAGGAAAAGTCAATGTTTCATTGATTGCTACAGTTCCCAAGTACCTAGTGCCTCTTTAATAAGGCACTAATTTTCACACCAAGATTATAAACTGTGGAGCACCATTTCTGGGTCTGCAACCATTAGGGTCTGCACCTTACCTCCAAAAGACGGGGGATACCTCAGTTGAAAACCTTAACTTATGAACAAAGTCACAATTTTATGTCGTGTATGTTTCCAAAGGCATCTGAACAACACACACATGATTACAGATCCTGGAGCCTTTCAAACCAGACATTCTGAGGATGTAACCAGCAAAAGAAGGCTTCTGCTTCCACTACTGCCTCAGACGTAGGATTCTGAGTTTGGAGAATACAGTAGCATCAAATGTGTAGTTGCTGCCAAAGTATTCTCCAAACCTGCTTCTCCTAACCTTCAGCTTCTAGTCCACTCTTGCTGTGTACAACAGATTTCTACTATCACCACCTGCAAAAACATGGAGAACTTTTTTTTGTTTACCACACAGTAAACAAGACAATCTGATTCTGCACACTGATGCTCCCACACATGGAAGGGAAGCCACTTGCAAAGGAGCAGAAGCTGCTAAATGGGAGGATCAGATCCTGTGCAGGTGGCAGGATCAGGAAGGAAAAGATGTCTTGCAGCGGCGGAAAGGAGGAGAGGCTTGGTGGGAAAGGCATCTCTCTCCCCCACATACACACTTCATCCTGTGAAGATGCAGCTGGCCAGTAGTTCTTTCCATTTCAGTTTCCTCAGGCTTATCGCTCACGTCTGCGTCTCTTTCTTGCCCGACATCCTGCCTCTGAGAGCCCCAGATGGCTCTGGGAATCTCAACCCAACCGGTCACTACCATGTATCTGTATCACTATCTGGGGGTGCTTCAACCCAACTCAAACAAGGCACAGATCCCTTCAAAAAGGCCTGATTAGGCTCAAGTGATTTGGGCTGTAGCTGAATCCAGTGCTCAGCACAGCCCTGCCAATTAGGCAAAGCTGCCTGAATATTGTAGGAGTCAATGCCATTTACACAACCTTGGCATTCGTCACTGAGCACCTTGACTTCCCAGGAGAGGCGGTTACGTGCGCTTCCAGGGAAGGAAACAGCTTTCAGGCACAAAGCAGCTTATAAGCTTTCTTAGCCAGTGGGTGGCTAAAGGTCAGCACAAGCTTCGGGGGGGGGGGGCGGATTTTGGAAAGCAGAGTGCCAGACTCCGTGGAGAATCCTTAGAAATCCCAGGAGTGAGCACATGCTTCTTCAGCAGAGACAGACAATGAGAGGAAAGCTTTACTGGGGAGGGGGGAGGCTGATCAATGTGGCCTTTGAATGCACTTCTTTCTTCCCACCCACCCCCCATGTAAATAAATGGTTGCCTATAAAACAAAGGGCAGTGCTTCTCTTGAAGACACTATTACAATAATGGCAAAGCCAATTAACGTAGGGAGAACTTTCAATATATAGGAAGAACTTTCTAACGGCTAAGAGCTGTTTGGCAGTGGAGAAGACCACCTTAGAAGGTGGTGGACTCTCCTTCACTGGAGATTTTTAAGCAGAGGTTGGGTGGTCATCTGTCAGGGGTTATTTAGCATTGATTCCTGCATTGGACTGGATGACCATTTGGGCCCCTGGATTGGACTAGATGACCATTTGGGCCCCTTCCAACCTTTCAATTCTATGCTTCTATGAATTCTGTACTGAAGGCAGCCTTCACTGATGGGAGGGGTGTTATTCAAGCAGCTAAAACAGACCCCTTACACAAGGGTTTCTGAAACACACAAGTTATCTTGAAACGCAAACCTCACCGGTCGCAGTGCTAGAAGAGAACAGGGAGACAGAAAATTTATTTCAGCTTTTCTGAAATGTGTCTGCTTTTAGTGCACAAGATGCTGGATGGATACCCATGCCTGAACTGCTTTTTATGTGGAAGCAGGATGATATGAACCTTCGGCCTTATCTACTAGGGCATTTTATTGGTATATACCGTATTTTTCACTCTATAAGATGCACTTTTTCCCCTCCAAAAATTAAGGGGAAATGTGTGTGCGTCTTATGGAGCGAATGCAGGCTCCATGGCTTCAGGGATAGCCGCATGAAGCCTCCAGAGGGCAGCGAGAACTCCCGCTGCACTCCGGAGGCTCCACATTGCTTTCGCTGAAGCCAGGACAGCAAGACTCTCCTGGCTTCAGGGATAGCCGCCTGAAGCCAGGAGAGTGAGAGGGATCAGTGCTCTCCTGGCTTCGCTTCGCTGGAGAGGCGCTGCACAGCTTTCCCTCTCTGCGCAGCGCCCCTTCAGCGGAGCGGGAGAAGAAATGGAAGGGGCTCCGTTTCTCCTGCTGCTTCGCTGAAGGGGCGCTGAGCAGAGAGGGAGAGATTTTTTTTTTCTTGTTCTCCCCCTCTAAATCTAGGTGCATCCTATGGTCAGGTGCGTCCCATAGAGCGAAAAATGCGGTAGTTCAGACCCACAAATACCCACTAACAAATAGCCTGCGCCTAGTAGAAACTGCCCCAGAGGCTCCTGACTTGCTCCTGGATTTCCAGCACAGGTATATCCCTACTTAAAATAAAAATAAAAATCCACAGCATGCTCAGAATAGTTCCGAACAAATGGTGCATGTTTCAGCCAGCTGGAGAAGGAAGCAAAACATTGGAAGGCTTTCAAATGCAACTCACTCCCTTCTAGCCTTTCATCTTCAGTTTATGGTTGCTTATCTCCTTAATGAAATTCTCTCTCTGGATAGGGCTGAAACTTATTGTTTGCGGCTCCATTAGCAAGGTCGTGTATGGAAATACTGGTGATAAAAGCAGAGGGTGGGAGAGGAAGACAACTAAAATTAGGTTAGTTTTGCTCTCTCTCTTTTCATTGATTGATTGCACATATAGACCATTTTTCATCAGTCTTCAAAAGCAATTTCCCTGCTTCCTGGCTGATCCTCCTGGCCTCTCATTAAGTTTAATTTCCTCCAACCTAGTCCTTCTCCCCCTTCCTCAAACTGCTTCACCACCACTGCTGTGTTCTTTGAACAACTGAAATACAGAAACAGAAGGAGCCATGTTATGCAAAACAAGCAAAACCGCACATTTGGATGCCTGGAATCTTCTAAGGGGCAAAATCCAAATTTATTTCAAGTTTTGTGCTAAATAAATAAAGCATATCACTGCCATGAATTCCCTGTATATTTCTCCCAACACGGATGCCTCAACACTGTTCAGCTGCTTCCAGAGCTTAGGAGACCATTAGGAAGCCAGTTTATTCCTTCACATTTCTAGGTGTGAGCAAAAGCAACATGCAACATTGGAAGCTTCATCCCAGACTGACTTTTTAAAATGTCACTTGCATCAGAAGAGAGATAACATGAGATGACCCAACCCAGGCCAACAGGTAAAGGTAAAGGTGCCCCCTGACCATTAGGTCCAGTCGTGACCGACTCTGGGGTTGCGGCGCTTATCTCGCTTTATTGGCCGAGGGAGCCAGCGTACAGCTTCCAGGTCATGTGGCCAGCATGACTAAGCCTCTTCTGGGCAGGAGCAGGGACTGAGCAGCGGGAGCTCACCCCGTCGTGGGGATTCAAACCACCGACCTTCTGATCGGCAAGTCCTAGGCTCTGTGGTTTAATCCACAGCGCCACCCGCGTCCCACCACACCAGTTTAGTAAACAGATTTTGTCCAAGAATACAGCACGCACCTTATCATTACTACGAAGCTGCAGTTGAGAGGTCTCCCTGCACACCTCTTTCGCTGAATCAAGACTCACAGAACTGTAGTGTAAAAAGGGGCCCCAATGGTCACTGATTCCCACCCCCTGCAGTGCAGGTATCTCAACTCAGACAGAAGGCCATACAACCTCTGCTTAAAAAACTCCTATGAAGGAGAGTCCACCACCTTCCAAAGTTGTCCATTTAACAGTCAAATAGCTTTTCTAATCTGAAAGGTATTCCTGATGTTTAGTCAGAATCTTCTTTCTTGTAATCTGAATCCATTGTTTCAAGTCCTACCTTCTGGAGCAGGAGAAAACAAGTTTGCTCGATCTTCCATGTGGCAGCCCTTCAGATATTTGAAGATAGCCATCATATCTCCTCTCACTCTCCTCTTATCCAGGCTAAACATACCCAGCTCCTTCAACCATTCCTCATAAGCCAGGCATAGGCAAACTCGGCCCTCCGGATGTTTTGGGACTACAATTCCCATCATCCCTGACCACTGGTCCTGTTAAGCTAGGGATGATGGGAGTTGTAGTCCCAAAACATCTGGAAGGCCGGGTTTGCCTATGCCTGTCATAGGCCTTGGTTTCCAGAACCCTGATCAATTTGGCTGCTCTTATCTGCACACATTCCGGCTTCTCAATATCCCATTTAAATTGTGGTGTCCAGAGCTAGACAGGCAGAATAGTGAGTTCTGTTTTGACTGTAATGATTTATTTGTTTTAACTGTACGTCATATTGTGGTAACCCACCCTGACAACAATTACTGGAAATATTAACCGTTTTTGTACATGTATTTCTTCTTTAAGGGAAAAAAAATTGTATTGTTTTATGAAACTGCTTTTAATTATTTTTAAACTATCCCTGTTTTAGTATTGTATATTTTATTGTTGCAGCCCATTGTGAGATTTTTATGGTAAAAGAGCACATAAGGAAACAAACAAACAAACAAACCTAAGTATTTTACAATGTAGGTTAAAAAGGTAAAGGGACCCCTGACAGTTAATTAAGTCCAGTCGCAAACGACTCTGGGGTTGCAGCGCTCATCTTGCTTTACAGGCCGAGGGAGCCGGCATCTGTCCGCTTCCGCAGACAGTTTTTCTGGATCATGTGGCCAGCATGACTAAGCCGCTTCTGGCAAAACCAGAGCAGCGCACGGAAACGCCATTTACCTTCCTGCCGGAGCGGTACCTATTTATCTGCTTGCACTGAGTACTTTCAAACTGCTAGGTAGGCAGGAGCTGGGACCAAAGAATAGGAGCTCACCCCGTCGTGGAGATTCGAACCGCCAACCTTTTGATAGGCAAGTTCAAGTGGCACAGTGGTTTAAACCACAGTGCCACCCGCGTCCTACAATGTACCAGTAGGTTAACACATCTTAAATAAAAGATGAATGCCAAAAATACCAACAACCCCCTATACACATTCTCCAAAACACAATTAACTAAACACAGCTTCTTCCTCAGTGTCAGAATAAACGTTATACATAAAAATCAGTCACAAAAATGCAAAGGGAGATTCTGCATCATAAAACATAGGAAATAGCTAAATAAAGTATTATCTAGACATTAGGAAATAAAAGAGTATGAATTCCATATTTATACACAGAATAATGAATAACAAGACAAAAGAAAAATCAACTTGCTCTACGCAGTCACCATAAGTTCATAGCCACAAACAAACACAACTTAGTCTAACTGTGCTGAAGGGTGGTTAAGAAATAATGCTACACACCACCACCAAATCTCCACAGCCCTGCAAGATTTCAGGCGCTTGTCAAGGGACTGCATTTCATTTTGGAAAAATGAGGCACTGCAGAGACTGTGGTGTCTTTATGGTATATGAATTATTTACACATACATACAACCTGAGCATACAACGGAGAGGTCCACAGCATACATACCCCAAGAAGCTTCTTCTATAGCCACAGTAGCCCTTTAGACTTAAGCAGCCCCCAACCACTGTTTTCAAACATTGCTTTCTCCCCAGCCCACTACTTCCCAACACTGTTGCTTAACTCCTAACTGCCTTTCTAAACAAAACCTTTCCTTAAAACACTGGCATTGTCTTTTTAAACTAAATCCTCAGTTGAGGGACCAATAAAATCCACTGATTTGCAAATGGTGTATGTCCTTTCATCCTTTGGCTTGCTAATGGATCATTAGCCTAAGCTAACACCTGAAAGGGAAATTAATTGACTTAATTAACTCTTAAAACATGTTGATTTCCTTAGAAATCACGTTAGAAGTCTCTAACGTAAATATATGTATGAAATATAAGAATGCATTTAGAAAATAAATAAATAAATAAGCAAGCAAGGGGGTGGAGAAGTGTCTAATACACGATTCAGGCAGTTTGCCTTAGTTTTTCACTCAGGCTAATTCCAAAGAGTTAAAACAGGGTTAGGTAACCTAAGGCCCGGGGGCCGGATGCGGCCCAATTGCCTTCTCAATCCAGCCCGTGGACAGTCCGGGAATTAGCGTGTTTTTACATGAACAGAATGTGTGCTTTTATTTAAAATGCATCTCTGGGTTATTTGTGGGGCATAGGAATTCATTCATATATTTTTTCAAAATATAGTCCAGCCCACCACATGGTCTAAGGGACAGTGGACTGGTCCACGGCTGAAAAAGGCTGCTGACCCCTGGGTTAAAAGCTTCTAACACACATCTTAATACACACTGCTATTGATGACTTTCTAACACTTGGGGGTCTGATAACACTCAATCCTTAATTAAATTCTAGCACCTACAACAAGCCTTTACAGTGGTACCTCGGGTTACATACGCTTCAGGTTACATACGCTTCAGGTTACAGACTCCGCTAACCCAGAAATATTACCTCGGGTTAAGAACTTTGCTTCAGGATAAGAACAGAAATTGTGCTCAGGCGGCGCGGCAGCAGCAGGAGGCCCCATTAGCTAAAGTGGTGCTTCAGGTTAAGAACGGTTTCAGGTTAAGAACGGACCTCCAGAACAAATTAAGTTCTTAACCCGAGGTACCACTGTATATGTTATGCACATGGCTCTCAACTCACACTGAGGTTATGTTCCAGGGATAGTGTGTAAAGCCAAAACTGTGTTTAGTCAAAACACACTGAATGCAATGGTGGGTGGAATTGCCGAAGTATTTTTTTCCCCGGACACCTGTCCGCATTCTGCCCTCTTTCTAATTTTTAAAAATTGTTTTGCTAAGTGCGTAAAGCTGAACGTGCACGAGTTTAATGTGCATAAGTTGTGAGTTACCTGTACATACACATAATGTGTGATGCTACTGTGGGGAGGGGGAGGTTGCACCAGCCCTCTTGCTACTCTTGCACTCATGGGCTTCAGTATCTGTAAATGGTACTCTAAACGAATGGTGGTATTATGCTGAAAAAAGGCACCAAAAGGAGCAACCACATCCTCTTCGACAGAAGAGAGAGCTCTGGCTCCTCCTGCTGGGTGATGCAGGCCACACACACAAGGTTTGAACTTAAAGGGAACTTTCCTAGACAGAGACTGGAATCAAGCTACACATGAAAAGCACATGACTTTCCTCCAACAATCCTGGGAACTGTAGTTTGTCTTGGATGCTGAGAATTGCAGACCTGTAGAGGGTAAACGATTGCTCCCAGAATTCTTTGGGAGGAGTGATGCGCTTTAAATGTTCAGTGCTCGCAACCAGAGGCATGCAGGAACTCTTGTGTGAGACAGGTTGTGATGCAATTGTAAGATAGCCTCAGTGCTCATTTGCACCGCTGCTTTCCTGCAACAGCACATATCAGAAGACGCAATTTAAATCTCACATGTGAAAATGTCCTAAGGCTGAGCAGCAAGCTATGTAATCAGCAGCAATGAGTGGTGAAATCATTGTTGGGCTGTAGCACTTTAGCCTGCAAGTGAAGGATTGGATGTTTTGGTGCACACACACACACACACACACACACACACACACACCCAAAAAAACCCCCCAACCACCACCTCCCTATGTATACAGAGCTAGCAGGAAGAAAGCCAAGACAGAACCCCAGGGATCATTCACACATGCAACACCTTGTGTTAAGAGAGACAGAGCCAAGCAATTGCAGCACCACATGACTCCCTTGTGCAGCTTGCTTTTAAAGTCAAAAAGGGATGCAAAATGTGCAGCAATTGTCATTTTGGTATCAGGATAGGGAGGGGTGGGAGGGAGGGAGGGAGGGAGGGAGGGAGGGAGGGAGGGAGAGAGAATGTGCGTGAGAGAGCGTAAGATTCTGGGATGCCTGAGGAATTTAAACTTTGCAAATTCCAATACAAACTTGCATCATCCACATGTTCTACTACACCAATATCAATGCAGTTATCCACTAGCATCTACACCTCCCAAATGTTCTGGCATGAATAGGACCATAGGAAGCTTCCTTATACAAAGGCAACCATTGGTCTATCTAGCTCAGCACCAGCTGCACTGACTGGCAGAGGCTCTCAAGGGTTTCAGGCAGAGGACACTCCCAGCTCTATCAGGAGATGCCAGGGATTGCACCACTGAGTAATGACACCTTTTGAACATTTCTCTGATCAAAAGTGTATCTAGAGCACATTTGAGAATGCATATTCCCTCCAGGCCAGCATTCCAAGGGCCACATGGCAGTGGTGGCCAAGGCCAGAGAGAAAAGCTACAGATGCAAAATTTACCTCCGGACAGCAGGCAATCTTACACACATATTCCTTAATCCAGGCAACCGATGTGAGCTGGTCTTTGACCAAAATAAATTATCTATCTATCTATCTATCTATCTATCATCTATCTATCATCTATCTAATCCAGGCAACCAAGGGGCATTATCAAAGTCCGAGAACATACTGCAGCCAAGCAAAAGGAGTCAATGAGAGTAAGAGGCAGGGTCAGGAGCCAGGTGCTGCTCAGGTGAGTCCAAAGGGCTAGGCAGAGTGGCTCAAAGGGCTAGAACAAAGATCTGCTGGGTTGTGGTAGGGCTGGGTGGGATGAGAAGGTTATGGAATCTTTTAGCCAATATATATATAAACGAAGTTGAGAAAGTGCATAGAAGAAATGGTGAAAAATAAACACTAAGTTGCTGTGAATTGTACTAGAGAATATTCTCCCTTTCTTGCCGTTCTGACTGCTTTCCAGTACGCTAATCAGGAATTCACACTTTCTAAGCAACCGTCCTACAAGGTCTGGCACTCGCCACACTCCTAGAACCCATGTAGGTGGAACAGATGCTGGCAACAGCTCCTGGATCTCATGTTGTCAAGGTACTGCTCACCAGCCTAGATCCTTCAATGGGCTTTTGTAATGCAAAGTTGGCCTCCCTCTACAACTTTGTGTATATCTCCAAGGCAACCAGGATTTTAGAAGGCAAGCTGGTTAAACTCTCTCGGGCCAGCACTAGAGGGCAGCAAATATCTGTAAACCAGGAAGAGGTACCTCTATCGTAATGCAAGGCAGCAGTCTTCAGATGGGAGTGTCACACACTTTGATCTTTGCTCAAAAAATCAGAGTGACCATGAAGAAATGTGAGGCTTTATATGGTTTGTCCCCTTCCTACGAACTCCCTAGGCTCCCAAATTAATTTTTTTTTTCTGTTCCAGCAGGCTTTTAGCCTCACTGATTTCATGTTCTGCTTCCCAAGTATAACATGGAATAAATGTATCTAGGGATGGAGGTGGGGAAAGCCCTCATTTGGAAGCCTCAACTTCTATACAGATTGATAGATGTGCTCCAATTGGATTGTGCACCTCTCCAAACTTAGGGGACGAAGGCATATAAAATATGTATACAAAATGTGAACAATTTAAATGCAAAGTAGGGGGCTTTAAAAAAATCTCCGAATAAGCCTTACACACTTACACACACACACACACACACACACACACACACACACTACATACCTCTTTTATTCAGTAGATAGATGGGAACAATGTACAGCATGACATGCTGAATGTAATAGACCTCCAATTCAAAAGGTAGCTGGGGAAAGAAGGAAAAGAAAGCAGTTAGTACTTTGCATAAATTAACATAAGACTATAGATGGAGTCCTGCTGGATCAGGCAAAAGGCCCATCTAGTCCAGTACTCTGGTCTCACATTGGCCAACCAGATGTCTTTGGGAAGCCCACAAGAAGGACCTAAGGGCCACAGTGCTCTTCCCACCAGTGACTCTCAGCAGCTAGTATTCAGAAGCATCCTGCCATCATTTATTTACAGAACTGCATCTGAGAATAGCCATTAAGGAGATATTTCAGCTCAACTTTCTATGCATTCGTAGAGCGTGTAAAAATTAACATGGCAGCCTCCTTCAGTTTTAAGAAATCACACAACAGGAAAACAGATCTGAAATGTTTTCCAGTTCCAAAGCTTCACCAGTGCTCTTGGGTGACTAGTTCAAGGGTCACTGTGGACTCAAATCCTGGCACAAGCTTTTGAGTCTTCAATCCCCAGCTGAGGATATAGATACTAATAGGTACTGGTTGTCAAGCCTTAGGGCAAAAATCACACAATTATGGTCATGGGCTTATTCACTCACTTAACAGGTTGTGTGAGCCATGTAATATGTGAGATAATAACCCATATAATTACTGTGGTGTAAAGTACTGCTATCCCTAGTGCATTTCAGGTTCATCATTAATGTTTCCTGGTTGTCACTGGTACTAGAAAATGTTCGGAAGTGAGCAATTGTGACTCACAGCCTCTGATTTGCAGCACATAGCCCATAATGCATTTGGTCTTTTCTTCTTCTTCTGAAAGTGCACTGAACAACTTCATCACAGCCTCCCACTAATTATGGAGCCAATTTTTCAAGCTTTGTTACCCTTAACTTTGGTTTGCAAGGAGTTCAGCTGTTTAGATTTCATGCTGAATTGACTGGTTAAATTGACATTTGCAAGAGCATCAGATGTTTACTTGCAAAGCTTTGCTTGTTTTTTCTTGGATCTTCAAGGTTTGTTCTTGACTTACCGTTCCTGGTTTGTCTGAAGCAAAAGAAATCATGGGCCCAGGTTCAGATGTAATGCTTGAGCCAAACTATGGCTTAGCTCCTGGTACGGCTGAGTGATAGATCAATATATCGGCAAAAACTGGTTTGAGGCCCATATCATTATATCAGTTTCATAATTTTTGACCTGGCAATGTATCACAAATCATGATGTATGTATGCGTATGTGCACGCTATGCAAAAATCACAACACAGGAAAAACCGTGAAGCCAACCGTCCTTATTTCAGACATCGTGATATATCGGTATGCTGTAATGTTTAGCTGGTGCAGGAGCAGGTTTAGGTGAAAGGACTGTGAGATCATTTCTAGTCCTAAAAATAAATGCCTTCTTTCTAAACGTACCGAGGCTCCCTATGCAAACATTTTGCATCTGGCTCTGGTTGGTGACTCTCAAAGCTATAGGAAAAATCAAAGTAGGTCCATACAGCCTGAAGTCTACCCACCCCTAAATTACACTACTTAGAAAGGGTCTTATATAAACAGTAAATCCTCTCAAAAACATAAAGAAATCTTCACAAACTGCTAAATATACACTTTGGCCAACTGTTTTAAAAAGTTTTACAAAAGGCCATGGGGGCCTTTTATGACACTTGTTGTTAAGCAAGGTGACAATTTAATGCCACCAGAATCCCAGATGTCTTTCTGGAAAGATTTAATACCAAAACATTTGCTAGTTTAATCCTCATTGCTATCTTAGTCACATGTCTATTTAGATATCGTAAGTATATCTCCCAGTGATATTCTTAATATGCAGCTGACAGGTATTATGCTCTGTTTGGATGTATTTTGTTACCTATTATTATTTATTAATGATAATGATGAAAAAACCTTGCACAGAAAACATTTTTAAACTGTGATTTTTTTGAACAGTTTTAGGTAAAAAACAAACACACAAAGTATTCATTTCTGACAGGGTTCCTCTACTGTTTTATATAATCACACCACAAAGGGAAGACTTCTGAAAAATGATTCTGCTGCAACAACATGCAGAACAAAAACAATCTTTCATAGAATGAGAATGGTTTGTTCTCCAGTTCGGCTAACAAAACAAGTATGTTTCCTGGTACACCGCCGGCATCTGTCTAAACAACATAATTAAAACAAGGAATAGCCAACACCCACTGTAATCTAAGATGAATAAGGAAGAACATCATGTCTATCAAATTAAACACAGTCATAGAGAGTAAACAGTAGTACATATATTTCATGTATTCATGACACCATGTGTGACAGGAAACAAGGGCACACATATCAGGGCACAAGGGCCTGAGTAGGCCCCTGATGAAGGAAGCCAAAGGCTCATCTACTCCAGAACTCTGTTCTGACAGTAGCCAATCACTAGGATTAGTGCAACATCACTCTCCCCACTTGTGAATCCCAGGAAATTGTATTCGGCAGCAGTATCCTAATTTAAGAACAAGTACCTGGGTTCACAAGAGCAAAAATTAATACACTCAGTTCCTTCTCTTACAGCCAGGGCTGGTGCACCCATGAGGCAAGGTGAGATGCAATGACAGATGGGGGTTAGTTGAAACCCAGACTTGGATGCTTTCAATCAGCTCCTCAGGGCCACAGGAGTTTACATGCCAACCTAGCCATTATATTACAGAGCCATACTATCATTAATGCTACTAATGGTTTTGAGAGCACAAAGCACTTTGCCTACATTAACATAGTGCTCCTTGCAACCTATTATGCTAAGCATTTCTGCCCCATATAATGCAGCTGGGGAGATACTTGGGCTGAGAGAGAGAAAGGCTTGCGTAAAGCTGCCTAATAAGTTTATTACAAGATTAAAGCAAGATTTCAACTGGGGCCATTCCCATTCTTCACTCTTAGCCATATTTGACAATACTGTAAGCAGCCTGTCAACCCTGAGGAGGGCCAAGAGGCAAATAAGGTAAGACAGGAGCAATCCCTGAGAATCTCTTAACTATATGCATTATGTAGCAAGGATTGAAGGAAATGGTGAGTGCAGGGGGGGGGAAACCTTGGTGTTCTGGATTTTCCAGTGTTGATATTGCATCATCCTAAGAAGCACGGCCAGCCATCTAAGAGGAAGCCATGAATGTGCAGATCAGGAGCAGCTTAGTCAAAACCACAGTTGCTGTTTATTAGTCCAGGCACATTATTGCACAAGTATGACTATTCTTACCAGTAAATTGTTACAAAACATTTTCCTGCATAGTGAGGTGAACGCCATAGAAATCCTGGACACAAGGGTCGCATTGACTGATGACCAAAAAATAAACAAAATATGCCAAATCTGATCCTGTGGCCAGCAACTTTGTCAGACAATTACATACATGGCATTTGCCATTAAAGGATACATGTAGAGAGAAAGGGTGATAATTCAACTGTTATACCCGGAGTAAATCCACTTAATTCAATGGACTTACCCCTAAAGGCTGTTAACCTCACTTACCTGTGAATAAACCCCACTGAATTCAACAGGACATACTTCTGTGTAAATGTGGTTAGGGCTGTGCTGTAAGAGCCAAGCACTGAATGCATACATGCCAACATGTGTGAGAGAGAAGCTCCCACACTGTGCATCTTATCTATCTATCTATCTCTTATTTATTTAGAATATTTGTAATATGCTCTTCAGCCAAAAAGGCTCCCAAGAGTGCCTTACATACAGTCAAAGCAAGGCAGCCCCTACCTGAAGGCTTGCAATCTAAATACAAAATGAAATCCCAACACACATATGAAAAGGGACAGGGAAGAAAGAAGAAAATCGAAACCAAAACTCAGAGACCAATTCCTAAACAGTTCTTCCCAGCTAGCACAGGTCAGGGACAGGAGGTGCCTGGAGGAGCTGGGCTACCAGCATCTTGTGATGCTTAAAAGTTAAACATGCTTTGATAGAGGAAGCACCCACAGTTTAATTACCATTTAAGTTTTACTACAGGCTCTAAAATGTGTTTCTTGGTTGAGACACAAAATCGGCATGCTGGCAACTCATCTACAACTAAAGACACTGAAAATTAATGACAAGAGGAGCTTTTATTAGTCATCAACAGCTATTATACTCTACTCATATTTCCAAATATGAGTTTGGCACAGAACAGCACGTTACTGTTGCACTATTGGTGGCATGCATCTGCCTCGAGAGACAATGGAGTGTGTGTGACTCCAGAGATGAAGCCAAACTGCTGTATTAGCAGCACAAAAGCCACACACACACACACCCTGACGCAAGCCTGGGCAGTGTATATGGAAGTCCTGGGCTGCCTAGCCAACAAGACTCCCCTCTTGGCCTGCACTGTAACACCTCCCCCTATTTCCAGAATCCCTGTACACCATATCATTATCATCATCACTCTTAGCCTGATTTTCTGGGAATGATCCATTCAGTTGATGGATGGGGAGCCTGATGCTCTCCAGATGTTGCAGGACTACTATCCCCAACAACACCCAGAGGTCACTATGTTGGCTACTCCTGCAACTGTACCTGGAGGGACGCAGGTTCTTCTTCACTGACCTAGTTGTTCCAACACAGTGCTTTTGCCATTCAGCCAGCAAATGTACTTGCAGATACAATGGCAGGTGGAGGTTGGGAGTGGAGCCAGAGTTCTGAGCGGCCCTACTGTTTGGGAGGAAGCATCAGCTGCCGCTGCAAGGCTACCTCCCTTACATAAGAATCAAGCATTGTACAATGGAAGAGGCAGCACACAAACTCACACACTCCTCTCTATTCTCCACCTAGGTGAGAAACAAGAGTTGAGTTAACATATTCCAGCAAAGAGGGTGCACGCAGTTGGCCTAGTCAGAGAGAATTCGCTGAGGAGAAGGTGTGACCTGGGAAGAGGGATTCTGGCTAAGTAGGAAGCCTAGTACGAGGAGAGTCCTGAGGCTCAAAGAGAGAGGACTGTGGAGGGTGCATTTGGCCCCTGGCAGGAGGTTCCCCACCTCTGCTCTATGCCAGTTTCACCATCGTTTTCTACACCAAATCCCTTTGAAAGTAAATTAGAAATCAATGCTTAGGTTCTACTTTATCTTTTGATTTCTAAAGTAAATGCCTCTTAAAATCACATGTGACACACAAATTAATGTGACAATTAACGGAGATCTAAAGGACTAACTAACTAACTAACTAACTAAATAAATAAATACTAAAAGACCACATGCAAAGCTCTTCAGAGTTACGTTTTCTTCCTAGACTTCAACTTGAGTTACTTATTTCCACGACAAGCCCCTAAATCTAAATTACTTCTTAGAATAACCCTAGTCTAGGAGATATTTTTTGTGAGCTCCACAGGAAACAGCTACAGGGTGGTCTATAAACTCTATGAATATACAGAGAAATTTTCCTCAGTTTACAAATGGAAAACTGATGCTGATGAATTCTAGCACTTTGCCTGAAGCCATATAAAGAAGTCAGAGCCAAGGTGGAACCTGATTCAATCCCCACAGGCTTTGGGACACTACAGTGGTACCTTGGTTTACGAACTCAATCCGTTCCGGAAGTCCGTTCTTAAACCAAAGCGTTCTTAAACCGATACACACTTTCCCTATTGAGGCCTCCCGCTGCTGGTGCCCTTCCGCCATTCGGCTTCAGTTCGGCTTCCGAGGCAAAGTTCACTAACTGGAACACCTACTTCCGGTTTTGCAGAGTTCGTATCCCGAATAGTTCGTTAACAGGACTGTTCATAGACTGAGGTACCACTGTACTTTTATCTGACAAACTGAATCGACGATGCAGAGCTTGTTTTTGATTTTTTAAAAAGTACATTGCCCCTGCCACCTAGGATTCAAGCTGTGCTTCTTGGAAGTCCAACTTCCGCTCTGCCTCTTCTTGCTTCCAGAATTCATAGGTCTATGTTTCTAGTTTCAAACAGGCCTTATGAGGTAGCAGAACACCATTTGGAGGTTTGCCTTGGAAAAGGCAGCTGAGCAAAGCAACGTCAAAGCTTGATGTTGCCATAATCCCAGTCCCAAGAGGAGCTAGTTCTTCAGTGGTCTAAGTTTAGCATTCGTCATCCAGTTACACAGGCAGGGTGCAAATGCAGTTAAGAAATTTACGAAAGCTGCCAATGTTTCCAGATTACACAGTTTATTTTACTAGGTTTGTTGTCTGGAACCCAAACAACTTAATGTTTTTCTCATGTGGTCTTTTATGAAGTTTAGATTTGATTCAATGCTAGTCTAATCCTCACTCGGCCAAGGAGCTCAAAGGGCAAGCTTGGGCTAGTCACTGCCTCTTAGCCTAGCCTACCTCACAGAGTTATTGCAAGGGGAAGACGAAGTATACTCCAAGTACTTCCCTGGAGAAAAGGTGGGATACAAATGAAATTTAAAATAAACAGGTCTGCATATACCTGGAGGGCACTGACCACATTAAAGACATTAATAATAATAATAATAATTATTATTATTATTATTATTATTATTTATACCCCACCCTCCCAGCCAAGGCCGGGCTCAGGGCAGCTAACAAGCAATAATAAAAACAAGTTGAATGAATACAACTTAAAAACAAAATTAAAATACATTAAAATATTGAAACATTAAAATATTAAAATGTAGCCTCATCGCAGGAGGAGAAGGGAAAAGAAAAAAGAAAGAGGGGGAGGGAATCAAATTAGCTCCAAGCTAAAGGCCAGGTGGAACAACTCTGTCTTACAGGCCCTGCGGAAAGAAATCAGATCCTGCAGGGCCCTGGTCTCATGAGACAGAGCATTCCACCAGGCCGGAGCCAGTGTTGAAAAGGCCCTGGCTCTGGCTGAAGCCAATCTAATTTCCTTAGGGCCTGGGACCACTAGGGTGTTGCTATTTATGGACCTTAAGGTCCTCTGTGGGGCATACCGGGAGAGGCGATCCCGTAGGTATGAGAGTCCTAGGCCGTGAAGGGCTTTAAAGGTCAAAATCAGCACCTTAAATCTGACCTGGGAGCCAGTGCAGCTGGAAAAGCACTAGGTGAATATGCTCCCATGGTAGAGACCCCGTGAGGAGCCTCGCTGCAGCATTCTGCACCCGCTGGAGTTTCTGGAACAGCTTCAAGGGCAGCCCCGTGTAGAGTGAATTACAGTAGTCAAGCCAGGAGGTGACCGTCGCATGGATCACTGTGGCCAGGTCGGGGCGGGAAAGCTAAGGGACCAACTGCTTGATGCGGCGAAGGTGGAAAAATGTCGCCTTGGCTGTTGCTGTAACCTGCGCCTCCATGGAAAATACATTAGGCAAAATGTATTGCAAGGCCTACTATATGATAGACCTAGCAGGAAATTTGTGCATCAACTTTTGTCCTTACATAGTCTGGTTTTAAAATATATATTATTTGCACCTTCCTACCAGGCAGACAGGGACGTGGGTGGCGCTGTGGGTTAAACCACAGAGCCTAGGGCTTGCCAATCAGAAGGTCGGTGGGTCGAATCCCCACGACGGGGTGAGCTCCCATTGCTCGGTCCCTGCTCCTGCCAACCTAGCAGTTCGAAAGCACATCAAAGTGCATGTAGATAAATAGGTACTGCTCTGGCGGGAAGGTAAACGGCGTTTCCATGTGCTGCTCTGGTTCGCCAGAAGCGGCTTAGTCATGCTGGCCACATGACCCGAAAGCTGTCTATGGACAAACACCGGTTTCCTCGGCCTATAGAGCAAGATGAGCACGCAACTCCAGATTTGTCTGCGACTGGACCTAATGGTAAGGGGTCCCTTTACCTTTACCAGACAGACAGGGATTTCCAGACTGTGGCCCACAGATTACAGGTGGCTTTTGAGCTTCATTCAAGTGGTCTGTGACATGTATGTGGATTTTTGGTTAAAGATGGGAGGCACCATATGCATTGCATTATATTATATCTACTATTTTTTAATGACGTTGCTGTTTATTTTATTTCTTATATTGTATTGCAATATCAATTCATGTGTGGTGTTGGACTAGGAATTGGGAGTCTCAGGTTCAAATCCATGCTCAGCCATGGGACTCACTGGAAAACCTTTGCCCAGTCACAGTCTCGGGCCTAATTTACCTCACAGGGTTATTGTGAGGATAAAAGAGGGAGGAATTGAACCATATATGTCACCTTGAGCTCCTTGGGAAGAAAAGCAGGATGTAAATGAAATAAATAAAAGTATAAAAATGGAAAACTGCAATAGAAAATGAAAGAAGCGATTTTTTTAAAAATGCAGTTAAAACCCGCACAGTATCTAGCACAGTGCATTGCAATTGCTTCAACAGGTAGAAAAAACATTAAGTGGTCCACAAGCAGGTGGCTTGCGGGGTTGGGAACCGCTGCTACAGTTAATGGTGAAAAAGCCTGGGAGGGAAATGTATGTGGGAAAAGAGAAATTAGCCCATAGCCCCATGGGGGACTCCAGGCTCTCTTTTCATTGGGGGTGGGGCGGCGGATCCAAACACTTAACCATGTTTGAGAAGTTGAGAGGGGGAAACTGCCACATTTGCATGTAATGCTAAACCAGACTAGGGTTTAGTGTGCATGTGTAAACTCTCAGGAAGGAAACTGCAGCTACTTTGTTCCTCCCCTCCCAGGTAATTTTAGCTCAGCGCGACATTGCAATTAAGACAGAACTCTGATCAGAATGTCATCCAGGTCCTCTCTCCCTAGAGAAGCTAGATTAGCTCCCTCCTTGTTGTCCTTCCGCCAGCAGGTGAAAACTGTTTTATTCTGACTGGATTTGGGAGACTGGTGGGGGGTTTTTGTTTTTTGTTTATAAGGAAAGGGCTTTTAAATAGTGCTGTGCTCTTTTTATGATCTGCATCTTAAAATATTTGTTTTTATATTGTTTTAATTCTATTAGAGTTTAATTACTTTTCAACTATTATTTTTAATATGTTTTTAGCGTTTTGTATTTTATCAGTGCTGTTTTAATTTGTGTAAGCCGCCTTGAATCCTGGTCTGAGAAAAAGGCAGGATATTATTATTAAATAAAAAACCTTGATCTGCAGCCAGGAAGAAACCTGGGCTGTAGCTCATGGTTAGGTGAGAAGTATTACTCATGACCCTGGGTTTGAATGATACATTAAGCCAAGCCCTGTCTTCAAGGCTGGCCTAATACATTTTGGCACCTGAGGCAAACAACAAAATGGGGTCTCCCTCCCTGCCAGGGAAGAAAAGGTTAGAGAAGAGCTACATCAGGAACACGGGGGGAAATAAAGACCTACATCAGGATTTGCTGCCCCTGGGGATCCTGCCACCCGAGGCAGTTGCCTCACCTTGCCTCATTGGTGGGCCAGCACTGGTTGTCTGAGCTGCTCTACCACACACTAGGATAAAAAAGATTGGAGAGGAACAAACTGGCTGTGATTTTCTCCCTAGGAGGCAGTGCATTCACACGGTCTCAGTACACCATAGTTTCCTGCGAACCAGGCCTTTATTATTTCTACATTTGGATCACCAAAGCCTGCTCAGGCAGAGAACCCTGGGCCTAAATTGCTGCTGTTCACTATGTGGCTAACATGGTCAGGCAGCAGGAACAAACACCCAAGTGCTAAAGTGGGGGCTTGGCAGATCTTTGAATTATAAATGTCAGCGAGCAGATTGTGAAACTGAGCACTGGAAGTACTTTGTTTGTACATCATGGGGGTTTCAATGACACCTTGTTTGTGTCAATCTGTTCAGCGGGTTCTAAGCTTTCCAACAAAAGCCGGGAAAACTACTCCTTATAAAGAAAGGTTTGGTGCTGTGCATATTAGAAATTACCGAACTGACTTTTGTAATTATGACAGCTGGCTTCTTATACACTCGCTTTCATGATATGTGACAATTTCCTCTCAGCCCTAATTAAAATGGTCCAACACGAAAGGGGGGATTAGTAAGGAAGACCTGTAACAGATAAAAGTTGTGCTTTATTTCATTAGCTTTCTGAAAATTAAAGCATTTAAATGACTTGGTTAAAAAAAAATCTTTTCAAGAAGGAAACTGTATATCTTTTGCATTTCTTTTTAAAATTTGTGTTTAACTTCCCTGTTTTTGTTTTTGTTTTGTGTGTGTGTTTCAGGAAAGTTCCTATATTATAGAATGCCATGGACTGGCTGGCTACAGAAGGGGGGGGCACCAGCTGGGTGACCTGCAAGGGAAGAAGGCTCAGAGCCAGGGGATTGGGTGGTGGGACAACAATGAATGGTCAGAGGGAGAAGAGGGAGCAGGCTGGGAGGGGGGGGGTGTCAGAAGCTGAAGAGGCAACAGGGTTTGGTAAGCAGGAAGAGTCTGGGGCAGAGAGCAGACCAGGCAAAAGAGGAGGCTGGAGAAGAGAAGGGGCCACAAAGCAGAGATCAGGCGGGGTGCTGAAGAAGCCAGGAAGTCTCCCCATCCTGCTGCAATCAGCTCCGCTGCCCTCCTGGACACAGCAGAGGGCAGAGCAAAGGGAGACAAGGCAATGAAGTCTCAGATTGCTTGGGAAGGACCAGGGCAAGGAGTCATCTTAGGGTGCTGTGGGAAGGCAGGGACTTTCAGTCCTCAGAACTGCCTAGTTGGGGCAAGATCTACTGGGCTCATTAGGCCTGAGCTGTCTTATTTCTTTGAATAAAGAGTTAATTTCACTGGCAGTTTGTGAGTTCACTGGCCCCCTGAATCCTCTGCATTAATTCAGAGCAGATACCTATTTGTGATTCACCATGCCAAAGGCCTACAGCAAGCTAAAGTCATTATATCTGGATTTAGCATTTTGTAGGCAAAAGTTAGTGGAGGCAGGTGAACAAATATTTCAGAGGACTAGTGTGTGCTACCACCATCACCGCAGCCAGTGACATCCTATACAAATGGAACAGTTTGAAACGGCCTCCCTCTAGGAACACCCACTTATGAGAGGCAAGCAAGTCTTGAATGGGCTTCTCCAAACAGAGGGTGTTGCTATGCTGCCTGCCTAGTTCTCACCAACAAGACAGGTGCCATCTACCTGAGGCATCCCTTTCTCTGCACACTCAAGTTGGGCACTAAGGGGGGAAAGAATCAACAGTTTTTTTGACATGAGCAAGAATGGATAGATTAACCATGTCAGTTTCACTGGCGTTCAATCATTCTGTTTTTAAGAATGTATAGGGGAGAGGAATCTGCATTTAAATTGTACATGTTTTGACCAGGTTGTATAGATTTTTCCTCCAAAAATACGTGTTTTGTATGCTTTTCAGTATATTACCCCCTAGAATGCACAGTTTTAAAATACATTTTAAAAGTGAAATTTGTATTTTGTGCACATTTGGGGAAATGGAAATGGCAGTGCAAAATCTGGAGAATGAAATCTGACTGAAAGTTGCATTCTGGCTTGCCAACAAGTTCACTTCTGCTCCTCTAAGCTAAAGCCATGATAATCTTGATAATGAAGGTAATCGTTAATCTGGTCTTAATCTTAAATAGGGACGCGGGTGGCGCTGTGGGTTAAATCACAGAGCCTAGGGCTTGCCAATCAGAAGGTCGGTGGGTCGAATCCCCACGACGGGGTGAGCTCCCGTTGCTCGGTCCCTGCTCCTGCCAACCTAGCAGTTCGAAAGCATGTCGAAGTGCAAGTAGATAAATAGGTACTGCTCCGGCGGGAAGGTAAATGGCATTTCCATGCGCTGCTCTGGTTCGCCAGAAGTGGCTTAGTCATGCTAGCCACATGACCCGGAAGCTGTAAGCCGGCTCCCTTGGCCAATAAAGCAAGATGAGCGCTGCAACCCCAGAGTCAGCCACTACTGGACCTAATGGTCAAGGGTCCCTTTACCTTTTAATCTAGCCAGCTGTTGATTCGTAAGACATCTCATTAAGATTCTCTGTAGATTGGGAAGAACTGCTAAAGTATCGAAACAAGATTTGAGTTTGCTAACCCAATTCTTTTCAGTCACTGTCATCAAGACAGGACACCTTTTGTTCTAAAATGATAGGCTGGAGAACAAAATTTGGATAAATAAAAATATGCACAGCTCCATAGCTCATTCCAAAATATGAATACCTGGTTATTTTATTTTTGGAAAAGGTGAAGGGAGGCAGCAGTTATGAGTTAACTATCTCTGCAGTCACAACAGGTGATGTGATTCTTCAGTGGTTTGACTTCACACCCAGAGGCCACTGGGGGGTGAAGTCAAGACAGATCGGTGCAAACAACCAACAGTACACAAAATTGCACTCTGTGCATTCAGATTCTAGTCAAATAGTGTGGGGTTCTCTTGCTTTAAGTGACCCACATAGTTATATAGCTATGTTTAATGATTGTTTAATTATTTGGGTTTAATTGCTGCATGATAAACATTCTTACCTGAAAAGGAGACATTAGCATAACCCGTACTTCCATTATTACAAATATGTGTGGTCGAAGATCACTGTACTCTGTTAAAAATGAGAGCATTGCCTAAGTGGTACTGTGTGCTGACTTCCACGTTGGCCTTGCCTGGAATCCACTGCAAAGGTCAAGTGTCTTTCCAGGGAAAGAGTGTTGTTATGGAATGTAAGAGTAATATCTAGGAGAGAACACAGAGTCAAGTAAGGAGAAAGGCAGGTTTTGCTTACTCACCAATCGAGTGTTAACCACAGGAAACAGCAACGCCAAGAGTGCCCCATTAAGCATATGCATCTGCAACCTAAAAAAGGGAAAGTACAGGGTCACCTTTACAATGTAAGAACATATATTTTTTAACAGATGTTCCATATGACTGCATAAAATGTAAGAAGATTTTTTTTTAATGCAAGAAATTTGCATTATCCATGCCTATCCATATTGGCATTCTGCTGGCTTCAGATGATGCACCTATATACAAACATTCTCTTCATCTCTCAATCCAAGCCAGTTTTAATTACAGTTTTAATTACTGTGTTTGTTTTATTGCATATTTTAATTATAGATGTTAGACAGACAGATGAGAGAGAGAGAGAGAGAGAGAGAGAGATAGATAGATAGATAGATAGATAGATGATAGATAGATAAGGATGTTTATATTTCAATGCTTATGTAATTGGTATATAATGACGCACATTTTCCCAGTTAGTGACATTTTCCGGTTAGTGACACAGCCAAAAGATGCATTTTTGTGTGTGCAAGCATTTAGAAATAACTGAATTTATCAGACCCATACCTACTGATATAAGTTTTAAATTATTTTAATGTTTTCCTGATCTAATGCTTTTTATTTTCTGATATTTTTTATGTAACTATTTTTCATATATTTGTTATGTAACTATTACATGCTGCTCTAGGGTCATTATTGTATTGCTGGGTGAGCATTTTAGGAATCATGTAATGTACATTGTTTTAAATTTTCTGATTTTAAATTGATTTTATCTGTTTGTATTTTATCTTTTCTTTTCAAGTCACCTTTTTCATGAAGTGACTAGCAATCACAGCAAGCTTTTTTTTCTCTGACATGTGGCCTAAAATATTTCACATAAAATTAAATGACATAGGAAAGTTGATAAAAGTGTTACCTGAAGACAACCATTGCAAGATGACAGGGTGGGCAGGCAAGCAGAAAAATCTGAAATATTAACAAACAAGTCACAATTATGTTTTTTATGCAGAACATGATACAAATAGTTTGCTTCTCTGTTTTAAACTGCTCTAACAGCTTTCGCCAGATGTTTCCACTTATCAGACATTCCATCAAGAGTGCAAATATTCAGTCTCAACTTCTCTCAGGATCTTTCTCCTTATTTCAACAGTGACTACTATGACTCACCTGATATCAAAGTTTACCGCCAGTTCACGTTAGTTCCATCAGCAGAACCTTAACTTATTGCTCAAGTGGAAGCACTGGTTACAATACCCTACCAAAAGCTACAGTTTCTAAGAACATAAGAAGAGCCTGCTGGGTCAGACCAATAGCCCACCTAGTCCGGGCATCTTGTTCTCACAGTGGCCTACCAGATGCCTGTAGGAACCCCTTAAGCAGGACTTGATCACAAGCATTTCCCCTTCTGCAGCTTCCAGCAACTGGTAAAAGCAAACATCTTATCCCTGCTATTCATATGGCTACTGTGTGAGCTTATCAATCAGAATTTGGGTGTGGCCACATAAATAGGGTTGCCATATTTCAAGAAGTGAAAACAATTCAACACTTTTCCGGTGTGGGCTGCCATATGCCCAGGTTTTCCTGGACATTTTAACCGGCTTTCAAAAATTCCGCCATTTTTGATGGATTAATCCTGGCTATGTTCGAGAAATTCTAGATATATGTCATCCCTACACATAAAGCACAACAATGACCAAATAAGCTCATGTGATCTGTTAACTTTCAGGAGGGAGCAGAAGAGTAGCAGATTCAAGAGAACACTTGGTATCCAAGTGTTCTGTGACATTTGTGGGGCTTGCTCATCCAAAACTTTTGACAACAGTCAAGTAACATGAAGTACATTAATATCACTGGACATCTTGTCCATCCCTCTGCTCAGTGCAGGTAATCCAGAGCCAAAGCATCTCCAGCCTCTGCCCGAACCTCCCCCCAAGCCCCTTAGGTTACTGGTTCCATTGTCCACTTGTTCCTGACATCAGTAAATTTCTGACGTTCAACCAAAATGAACCCTACTGTAACATAAGCACATTAGAACCAGTCTTGCCTCCAAGGCAGCAGAGAACCAAGCTACATTCACACCATAAAACATTGTGATACCATGTTGAACAGCAATGGCTCCCCCCTAATAATAATAATACTAATACTAATACTATTACTACTACTAATAATAATAGAAGCCATAGTTTGCTAAGGGCACTAAGAGTTGGTAGGAAACACCTAGAGTTACTGTACAACTCTCACGAGTTCTCTGTAAAGAAGGAATGATTGTTAAACCACTCTGGAGCTTGTAGCTCTGTAAGGGGAATGGGAGGTGGGCATTCATTTCAGTGGAGTGTGGCTAACATTGGATACAACCCTGAGATCCCATGAGGTTGCAGAGCTCATCCACAAGCATTCCCAGGAACCACTATTGAAGATACTGAAGATCACTGGTAACCAGATCACTGAAGGGCTGACCCCACATAGGAGGGCAAAGTGTTAGACCATATTAATACCATATATTTAAAGCAGTATTATACCAAAGTCTTATTTGTGTTCACTGGAACATCTGGAAGAATGTTCCATCTGCCTGCAAGCGTTGATCAAGTGTTAGTTAGATGCTGAGTTTATGTTTTATTACATATTGCACTCTCCCCCATGTCCTTACTCATTGTTTTTCTAAAATAAACTCTCTTAACCTTTTTTGAATACAGTAGGTAGGCTGGTTGTTATAGAACACTATGGTTCATCTCCCACGAGCCAGACTGCTTTAAAGTTTAGGGAATATTAAAGATATGGATCAACTCTTGCACCCGGTGGAAGCTGAAGGAAGTTGGCTGGCAGCTCCCCCAAATTCTAGGATAACAGCACGAGGACCTATGGGGATCCTTGCTTCCCCACTAGTTTGGGAGCTTATAAGCACAGTGGCGGTGGCAGCAATATGGAAAGGTTGGTACCATGGATGGCAGTTCTCTATGTTCTTTTGCACACTTCAAATTTATGAGTCCTTAGTAAAGGTAAAGGGACCCCTGACCATTAGGTCCAGTCGTGACCGACTCTGGGATTGCGGCGCTCATCTCGCTTTATTGGCCGAGGGAGCCAGCGTTTGTCCGCAGACAGCTTCCGGGTCATGTGGCCAGCATGACTAAGCCGCTTCTGGCGAACCAGAGCAGCGCATGGAAACGCCGTTTACCTTCCCGCTGGAGTGGTACCTATTGATCTACTTGTACTTTGTGCTTTCGAACGGCTAGGTTAGCAGGAGCTGGGACCGAGCAACGGGAGCTCACCCCGTCGCGGGGATTCGAACTGCCGACCTTCTGATCAGCAAGTCCTAGGCTCTGTGGTTTAACCCACAGCGCCACCTGCGTCCCATATTCATATAATAATTACGAATTAAACCTGGGAGAAAACAGCTGCTATGGGATCTACACAACTATGCCTTATTGGGAAAACAACAAAGGAAAAGTTGGAGGGGGGGTGAAATAGCAATGTGCAGGGCTGGCCCAAGACATTTTGGCACCTGAAGAAAACAACAAAATGGCACGACACCCTCCAGCCAGGGGAGAAGAGGTAAGTGAAGATCTGCGTGAAGAACAAGGGTGGAATGAAGATCTACATTGGGGCCAAGGGTCAGAGGAGACCAGTAGCACCACCTCTGTAGGTGGCAGAACTGGAAGGAGCTGCTGAGGTGACAGCAGATCTGGCCTCCAAGAACTGCACCCCAGCTGTTATCTCCACTACGGCAGCAACTGCAGCACTGGGTTACGTATTTCTTGGAGGCCAAATCTGCTACCCCTGTGGATCCTGCAGACCAAGGCAGTCACCTCACCTTGCCTCATGGGTGGGCCAGCCCTGTCAACATGACAGTGGACAAAGATGGGTACACATGGTTGGAGCTCAGTAAGCAGACAGCAACATCATCATTCAGAAACTCACATTTCTAGATGGGGGGAAAGGGGAGGTGAAACACCATCCCCATAAATTTATCTAGAGCAATGCCAGTGAAAAGGTAGATATATCAAGATCTTTGCCAGCAGCAATTCATGAAATTTGGACTGCATAACTATGATTTATTTTTTAAAAAATGTTGTCCTCTCGCACAGCTGTTAAACATCAAGTGATGAGTGGTTCTGTAATGTGACAGGCAAACAATTTATCTTTGGTGTATATCCCAATTGTGTTTATATTCTTTTTTATACATAATTCAAGAAAATGCTTTGGGGAAAAAGTTTTCTTTTTAAAAAAAATGTAAATATAAGAGGGCCGTTGTTTTAGTTGTTCCACACAAAACCCCTCTCTGCTTTCAAAGGTTCCCAACCGTTTTGGACCCAATGTGAAATCTAACAAACTGTTGTGGACAGCACAAAATATAATTTCATAAAACAGCTGGGACTTAGGCACCCCTCTCCCCCAAAATTAGGACTCCCAGAAGGCTTTGGTTGGCACCAAGGGCCCCACAGTCACCATGGGAGCCCAGCAGTTTATCAGGCTTTAGGAGTGCAATGAATCGATACATCGACCAATTTTCCCTGGGTCTTAATGTCTCTAATGACACCTAGTTTGTAACAAGACATCAACAAGCATGGAAATTGGAAAGGCCAATCCCTGCTTCATGTATGAAACAAAATACATTTGCCACTTCAGTGTTCAGACTCATAAATCACTAGTGACGCTTGTTTTAACAGCCGTCATATGCCAGAAGCCCTATCTGTCAGGGCTGCAAACATTATCCAAGCCACATCGGATCTGCTTAATTAACATCAGTGCTATTTCAACAGCAGGAACTCACGTAATTCCCTAGTAATTACTGTCACCTTAACACATGTGCACTGCTAATGACACCAGCCTTGCTATATCCTGTGTAACCTATTTGGTGAACTCATTTTTTATTTTTTATTTTGGTCCCTTACTCTGTGCTTAAAGCTGTATTTTCACATAGATAAAGAAGACAATCAATAATCCATTTCCAGCTTTCTCCAAATATCGAAGGCTGTGATATGGCAGCTTGCATTATAACTGAGTGAGAACTCGCTCATCTCAAAAATTATTTATCTTATTTAGAAAATGACTTAACTGCATTATAGTCAGATGCATTATAGTCAAAAGAATCTAAGAGTCAAAAACAAATCAGAACTCAAATACTCCAATACAATGTACTAATCATCAGATAAAAAGCTATTAAAATAGCATTATTCAATCAGTAACAGCCACCTGCGTCAGGCAGTACATAATCTCAGTGAGTCACTTTGTAGAGGGAAAGAGATCTTCCTTCGTTCTGTGGCTGCTACTGAAAGGGACTAAAAATCAAACTGCTGATATTGTAATAGTGTTATACAGGTCTATGGTGAGACCACACTTGAAACACTGTGTAGAGTTTCAGTAACCTCGCCTCAAAAAAGGATATTGCAAGAAAAGGTTCAGGAAAGGGCAACCAAAATCATCAAGAACAAGTTCCCCATGCGGAAAGGTGACAACATTTGGGGCATTTTTAGCTTTGAAAGAAAGGTGAATCAGAAGATACATGACAGAAGTGTATAAAATTACACATTTCGCTTTCTCATAATACTAGAATTCAGGGCCTCCAAATGAAACTAAGTGCTGGAAGTTTCCAGACAGACAAAATAAAGCACTTCACCACACAGCAGATAGTTAAAACTGTGGAGTTTGCTCCCACAGGATATTGTGATGCCACCAGTTTGAATGGTTCTTTAAAGAGGATGGGACAAATTCATGGTAGGGGAGGAAGACTACCAGTAGATACTAGCCACAGTGGCTTTGTTCTACCTCCACTGTGAAAGGCAGTATTTCTCTGAATACCTGTTGCTGGGAATCACTATTGGGGAGAGCACTGTTGAACCAGGGGTGTAGGAAGGGAGTGCGGGGGGTGCGGTCCACCCCAGGTGTCATCCCTGAGGGGGTGACAAAATGGCACACCACGGGGGGCGGCACTTACTACAGGGCCTGGCCTGCAGCACGCCCAAGCCACGCATCTCTCCTGGGAGTGACACGGTGGCTCAGGGCCCCGCGCTGCCCGAAACAGCAGCATGGGTCTTGCGTCCGCCAGGCGGACTCAATGCACAGCTTGCCGCGGAGCCCCCCTGAGCAGATTGACGTGGTGCCCCCCCCCGGGTGGATCATCACGGCAGCCCCCTGGGCGGCTCGCCCTGCCCTTGCCACTCCGGGTGCCGGAGCGGCTAGCTACGCCCCTGTGTTGAACTCAGGTCCTGATCACAGGCTTCCCATAGATACCTGGTTGGCCACTATAAGAACAGGATGCTGAACTAGATAGGCATTTGGCCTGATACACCCTCTCCCATCATGCAAATTCATTCCGAAAGATTTGGAAAGAACTTGGATCATTTCCTGAGCCAATCCAGAGTTTGGAAAGTCGCCAATACACATGCCTCAACTCCTAAGAACCCTCCTCTCTCCCTTTAGTCTCCTCAGTAGCAGCCCTAGGAGTGGCAGGTTGCACTGCAGAAGATCTGTCAATGTACTACTACATATTCAAAGGGCTACAATACCTTTCCTTTGGGTGCATTGCTATTGGCCAACTAAATGGAAGAATGTATAGAAAGGAAGCCAGGACCTGGAGGGCTTTTATAAAACGCTTTTCCCTTTGGAGGCATATTGCTACGGGCCTGGCTTGACAGAACTTGTGCTGACATAACTAGAAGTTATAATTGTTCTCTGAATTGAGTGGCTCCAGTGTGCTCCTTTGCAAGCAGCGCATATAATATACAGAGACGACTTTTGCACACTGTTTTGGCAAAAATAAAAGCTAGGTGAGGATGCTTTCCCTGCCCCAAAGCCATGCTTGCCTAGCCTCCAGCCCCCCCCCCCCCAGGAGCTGGGTCTCAGCATTTGCTATTTGGGGGGTGGCCTCCAATGGCTGGATAAATATAAAAATCATGAAAGGCAATATCCACTAACTGATATTGCAAACAAACAAACAAACAGACAAAAAACCAGCACTGCAGATACAAAATTCATAGCCTTCATTCCAGATTTTTCAAGGCTTTAGCACAAAACATTCATCAACTATTTAAAAATAAAATAACAAGAAGCAACCAATTTGTAGTCTTCTTCCTGGGTTTGATGGCTTAAATCACCAAAGGTGTGAACTAAAACCATACAATAAACTATGCGGAACTTGTTATATTTTAAACTACAGAAAGTTGTTTCAAACACCATTTAGAAGAGGGCAGCCCAACATACGGCCCTGAGGTCTTTTGGGGCACTCTAGGTCCTAGAGACCTCCCGCCTTCTTCCCAAAGCACAGTTAGCACTTTTCCAGCTTTGGAAAAAGGCAGGCTCTAGGACCCTGCAAGAGCCATATGACTCTTTCCCAAAACCTTAGCTGTTTTTATAGCTGGGGAGGTGTTAAATTTGGGCCTTGCTCTCCCCTCCCATACAACAAGGCAGTGTGAGGCCCACAGGTTCCATATTGTCAAAGCGCTCTCACGGCCCACTTGGATAAAAAGTTGGACCACCCTGACTTAGAAGCACATGTAACCTGTGCTTACCTTTATACAGTTAGTGTTTTCTTGAGTATTTGTTTTGATAGCAAGTTCATGTCCTTTTGACTTCAGTGGGCCTACACTCAGAATGAGTAACCTTGGATGTTATCCAATGTCCCTCCGTCATCAAACAACATCATGTCTACAACTGTGCTTGGCTCTGATTGCAAGCAAGATTGGCAAGGGTCCAACATATCACAGCACTTGAAATTTATGGTGTGAATGTAGCCTTATATTCTGCTTTTGTTCCATGATGGACGTCAAAGCAGCAAACATGGGGGTGCCACGCAGCCCTCCTCTCAGGCAATTATTGGACCTAGATCTGTTTAACCTTCGGATCATACTCCAAGAAGACGGCAGCCTTCACTGATGGCAATACTTGTCACCACCCTAGAAAGGCAGCCTCCTTGGAAACCAGTCTCCATCTGTCTATTTATGAGAGCCACCCACCTCTGTGATAAAGGCTAGGCACCAGCAGTTGACACCACCCACAAGTCGCATCATCATATCCCTATAAACGCCTTCAGACCTCCAGTGTGCTGGTCACAGCCTCACTATGCTTTTCGCCCATCTAGAAAGGTATGATAGTTTCCCTGATCCTCTCACTCCTGGTACACAGAGCACATGTGCATGGAGATTGCAGCTTTAGCAGTGTTTTCAACCATTTTTCAGACAGAAACTGCAGAAGAATAGAAATGACTCTCATGCTTTTCCCTGCCAAGGAAACAGAGGAGCACACAGAGTCATCTGCCAATAAGGGAGGCAAAAAGCTCAGCACAGTTTCCTTAACTGAGAAAATTCAGTGTTGCAATCAAAGCCAAATTTATTTTGCAACAAAATAATTGCTCTCACAAAACCAGAATTTCCTGTGCATTATTCAAGGTTCAGGCATTAACCAATGCTAAGAACTGAAGAATACCAGATCAAGGAAGATCATACCCTGTTCACTCACTGAACCTTTCAAAGACATCCATAAGCCTAATTGCAAGTATTATCTAGACAAGCTGGCTGCATTTGGGTTATGCTCTTTGTAAAACCTGCTTTTAATCTAAATAGTGCACTCAGTAGATACTCCATTCCACGGAACTCTTTCAGAGCAAACAAGTCTTGGAAACATGATCACTACAATGGAAACACCATTCAGCTTACAGTAAATTAAGAGCGAATGGATGAACACAAAATCAGTGCAAGGAAAGTCTTGGGGAGAAATGGTTGAAAGAAAGACCATTAGAAACAAAAAGATAAGTTAGGTTCATGGGCATAGCCAAGGAGGGAAGGGGGAAGGGGAAGGGTGGGGGAAGGTTCTCCCTAAATCAAGTAAATCAATGGGGGGGGGATTTCTTAACTGAGGTTCTGCCCCCACTAGCAAAAAGTCTGCCCCCTCCCCCAACATAAATCCTGGCTACACCCAAGGTTAGGTTTAGTGATGCACATCACTCCTTTTAAAAACGTATCTGTTCTAAGTGCAACGCTAGTTTATGAAGTCTGATAAAACAGCCATGAAAATGAAAAGGGCAGGTGTTATTAGGAAGGCACAACATGCTGGAAAATATTGTTTACCAACTCAATTGAGCCCTGAGTGATTTTTCAACGCTCCACTTGCAGCCTTGCTCCACAGCAGGCAATCGTCTAGAGCAGGATATTAAATCAGTCCAGACTAGTGTGGCGTCACTTAGAAACGGACCACTCAGGAGCATGCTCAAACAGCTTTGCAAATCATGTTGAGGGGGAAACTACTCCGCTCCATGCCAAAACTGGTTAAGGCATGTTGGAGGTCCCTGGTGCCCTGCCCAATGACAGCTTGCAAGATCAATTTCAGTTGCTGCAGCCCAAAAATGTCGACAGGACACTTGCAGTGGTGAGGCTGACTATGTGCCCTGTTGATCCCTTCATGTATGGCAACATCTCACAGAACAGGAATGACTGGATGAGTTCAGATTAATGCCATGCCACAGGAGGGAGGTGTGGCCACTTCCCTGAAAGAGGTGATGATGTGAAAACCAGAGATTCTAGACGGCACTACCAACCAGTCTCTAATATTCCCTCCCTAGGCAAGGTGATTGTGAGGGTGGTGCCTAGCCAGTTTATGGGATGCTTGGAGGAAGCAGATTCTTCAGATCATTCCAGTCTGGTTTCACGCCCAGTTTTAGAAGCACAACACCCTTAATTACCCCTGACTGATGACTGATATCAAGATAGGGGGAGTGTGACCCTGATGGTTCTCCTTGACCTTTCAGTGGCTTTTATTTATTTATTTCATAAAATTTATACACTGCTTCCTTGTAAAAACAAAAAACGCAACAACATCAAAGCAGTTTACAGTACAAAAGATAAAACAGTAAAATCAAGAAAAATGATTTAAAACATGTTAGAATACTAAAGCATGCTATCACTTTTGACACCATTGACCACGGTGGTGGGGGCATCCCGGTTGGCAATGACCTGGTCAGGGCCTTTTCAGTGGCAGTCCCTCATTTTTTGAATGCCTTCCCTAATAAGGTGTATCTGTCCCCCTCATCACTGACTTTCAGTAGGAATTTGAAAATATTTCTCTTTACCTAGGCATTTGATTGCTAAAAGACACTGTTCCTGGCACACCTCAGATCACTGATCAATATTTCTTTTAACTGTTTAGAGGAGGGGTATTAGAAACAGTCTTAGTTGTTATTGTTCTTTTTCATATTTTATCTTTGCTCTGTCTGCAACCCTGGGATCCTTCAAAAGGAAGGGCAGGATACAAATTGAATTAGTCAATCAATCAATCAATCTGCCATCACTTGTTCAACCGACGATGAGTAAACAAGCTAGAAGTTGTTCCTCCAAAATTTGGCGTGTTTTCCAGCTGCTCCCATTACTTTGTAGCTTAAGCAAGCATCAACGGTAGAGCAATCAAACAAACTATGATTAAGCAAGCTTGCGACATTCAAATAAAACACCATCATTTTAAAAACCCATAGTTCATAATCCAGCAAAAACCATGGGTTCTCACCAGGGCTGTCTTAAGCATATGCGGTGCCGGGGTGTAAAGATCTGCCTAGCGCCCCCCCCCCCAGGTTGCCTAGTCCCAGGTGTGCAGGAGGGCAGAGCCGGCCGGCCACCTCAGCATCTTGCTAGCTCAGTCACCCCCAAACTCAAGTCGCAGAGAGAGAGCCCGCTGTGGCGCTCCGACCGACGGGCAGGCTCTTCCCCGGACTCAACTCTTGGGCCCCAGAGTCTTAGCCTGGTGCCCCTGAGAGCCCCACACCCCTAGCACCTATGGATCTCACTTTGCCTAAACAAATCATGGTTTAATCATAACATGTAAACCAGGCCATTGAGTAGCTCAACAAAAATGTTAACAGTACAAATTGTTACAAATTTGATGCTCCAGTTTTTCAAGTTGATAGAACCACGATTAACAGAGTTATGACAGGCAGTTACAATGAACTGGAATCCACAAAACCTTACTCCTAATTCAAGGAGCTGTTATTCCACCAACCCAAACCTTGGTAAAGAAACATTATCAGACAAAGGAATTTTTGACCAATTTCTACAGGTAAGTACCTTCTGAGTTTTTTAAAAGTAGTTAATTAAATGTGAATCCAACTGTAAACAGTAACGTGTAGCACTAAACAGCCTTCAGGAGTGCAGTATTTCTGGCCAATCCACCGAGCAAATAATTTCTGTTTGCTAAGTGGAGCGTGGGAAATGTAACCTTTTCAAAAGGAAAAAAGGATCAAAAAAGAAAAGGTTAGGTTTGTATGCTAGAAGTGACAAACCTCCAGCCATTTGGGTGCTGAGTGTTACATCAAGGTGGGAGCATATTACTCCAATTCTATTTATTAATTATTATTAGTATTTATTATTATTATTATTATTATTATTATTATTATTTCTATACAGCCCTTCATCCAAGGATCACAGGGTGGTTTACAATATAAAAACACAAAAATATATACCACAGTAACTAATGAAAATAATAAACCCACCCACAGTTTAAAAGACCATCCATTGTTTAACTACCTAAAGCTAAGACATTTATCATTTGCACTGCCTACCTATATTCTTCCAGGCCCAATTCAAGATGGTGACTTACAACAGGCTGAATGACTTGGGCCCAGATATTTGAAGACGACTCACTCTATCTGTGACCATCGTTTTTCAGTTTTGGGCATGAAAACTGCATTAGCCCACAGGAAAGCTGCCAGAGACTATAGTCCAGGTGCGAGAGGGGCTATAATCACACACCTTTCACACACCATATCACACACACAGAAAGAGAGAAAGCCATTTTCCATGAAAACAGAACCAAATTTTTAATTCTAATTCCAATTCATCTTAATATCTGTATTAATATTATTGATTCAAACACTTAATTCTAATTTTAATGTTGTTCAAGTTTCCCTTTTATATTTTCTTCAAAGACCTTTCCCTTTGTGAATAAATTTGTGAATAAATAAGAACTCTCCTGCTGTAGGCCCTTTATCTGTCCAAAATGTGGAAAAGGCAAAATCCTCAGTAATCCCAGAAAATGTAACACTAATGCAAACCTGAACTTCGCAGCTATTTAAAACCTCTGATTTCAACTTGTGTTTGCAAGAGCAACAATAGCAGCAAACTGCATGGGCTGCTTCTTTTATATTTCCAGGGAACACAAGCCTGCTGAGACTATCTTCTTGCAGAGGAAGCAGCTACAACTGCACACTTTGAAGAAATCCAAAAGCCCTTTCCCTTCAGAGGGAATTAAATCTGGCTGTCAGAGATTCACCACACCTGGTCTGTGCCATATTGATTTAAACCTGATAGCTATCCATAGGCTTATGCTATATGCAAAGCCATGCCTTTTGTAGTTGTTCTGCTTCCATTTCTATTAAATAGTGGGTGGTCATAGCAGACGACACAGATATTTCTCCAATTAGTTCTTTATAAGTAAGCTGGAACTGACCTAACCAGCTCAGCCGGCCTGCTTTTATAGGCAGCCGTCTGTCAACATTGTCACAACCCAGGGTTTCTCGCCTAAATTAACTGACGTGGACCTGAGTGAAACTATATACAGTGGTACCTTGGGATAAGTACTTAATTCGTTCCGGAGGTCTGTTCTTAACCTGAAACTGTTCTTAACCTGAAGCACCACTTTAGCTAATGGGGCCTCCTGCTGCTGCCACGCCGCCAGAGCACGATTTGTTCTCATCCTGAAGCAAAGTTCTTAACCCAAGGTACTATTTCTGGGTTAGCGGAGTCTGTAACCTGAAGCGTATGTAACCTGAGGTACCACTGTACACTATACCCCTGGTGGCCAGGGTGAAAACTTCAATACATAACAGTTTCTCCCCATGTGGTTGACACAGCCACCTCAGAAATTAAATGTAAAATATTAATATCAGTATCTTCCTACCTCCCAAGGACAGTCACACAATTGCCTCTGTCCTTCCAACGGCATTCACTGGCTGGTCCTTGGAGATATTTAATACTGGTTTGGTTACCTAGACAACTCACTCCTGGATATTAATTCAAGAGTGAAGAAAATTCCTCGGCCTAAGAGCCACATTTCCTAGTGGGTAACCTTCCAGGGATCACATGCCTGTGATGGGTAGGTAAATGGATCATGGAATCACAGAGCTGAAAGGGACCATGAAGTTCATCTACTTTAACTCCCTGCAATGCAGGAATCTTGTGACTCTCTCTGTATGTACAGGAGGCTACCATCCAGCTATGGAAAAGTAAGAGGTTTCTACATGTTCATCCAGGCAACCAAGAGGCATTATTACAGTTCAATAACATGTTTGCCAGCCTGGCAAAACAACTAGAGGAATATGTGGAGCAGTGTCAGTAGAGGGGGTGGGGGGAAAGCATGTGGAGATTCCTGGGGGCTGTACAGAGAGGCCGAGGGGAGCACATTTGGCCCCAAGGCCCAAAGTCAAAAGGTGAAAAGGTCAAGCTGAAACGCCCACTGCATATGCCTATTCCATGTTCTCTTCGCTTGCAAGATCAGTTTGAAGATTGCAGCGTCATTTGAGGTTCTGCAGTATTTCTAGTTCCAAATCGGGGGCATCATTTGTACATTAAGTTATGGAGGAGAGGGACAAAAGCAAAAGAAGTGAACTTGCTATTCACTGCCATTCCTGGTACATTAAGCCAGTGCATTTTCGCTCACCTGCAAATGTCAGGGGCAAAGTGTCTGCAAGGTTTACCCTGAAGCTCTGCCTAGAACAGGTGCCATCTCCAGCCCAAGAGGCAGCAGCAGCAAAGAACAAAATGCTCAGTTCGCCCCACACGGCATTCCAAAATAGCACAAAGATCAGCGCTTCTCAGTCTGCCAAAATCTTCTCTGTGCATTAATTAAAAGGCAACTGCTCTTTCATTGAGGACAACCTGCTCTTCTCAAACTCCAAAACGTAGCCAAATTCAGCAGAACTAAGACCTTGTGCAAAAGCATCTAGGTCTGCTAAATTTGAAATACATTAGGCACTTTGAAGGCAAAAAACCTTTTTAACTGAGAGAGGGCCACATTTAAGCAGTGAGAAGCTGTTGTTGTTTTCCAATATTTGAGCAGATAGCTGATAATTGTGTTTATGCAAGCTATTCGTTTCTTGCTCATGTTTCCAAACTAGAACACATGTGGGAGATACCTCACTATAAAAATAGTAATCCTACTCATTAAGTTTTCACACACAAGCTGTTGCTTGAAGTTATGCTAGAGAAAACCAGAGTTTGACCTAATTTAGACCGATAGCTACAAGTTACAACTGCAAATAATATTTTTGCTAAATAACAAACCAAGACTGATCCTGTTTGAAACTGGTGGATTGGGAGTACTAATTTTCCCCCCCTTTTTAATAAATATTTTATTAAGTCTTATAATAAAATGACATTAACTCCAACAAAACCTACAGAGCGTTACATGCATAACTCAGTAATATACAAGCAGAAAAATGGAGCAGGGACACTATCAACTAAATCACTGAATGCATCGCCAAGGCTTGAACTATCCATGACACAGCCTCTCCATGACGAAGTATGTGTAGCTGGCAGTCTTGCATTAACATCGCTTCTGCTTTCAGAGCTGATACAGGGGAACCATACTTTGTCAAAATGCACTTGTTTGGTTTGGCCTCTCACGACTCTTCCTTCTCCTGTGCGACATTAAATGCTCAGAAAAAGACAGATCCCAAACTTGCTTTTGGAATCAGGGGTAATTATTATTTCTTTAGATGTTTGGGGGGAACAAAATTTGTAGGAACATTATTATTATTTCATTAGTATCTATGTAGACCAGCTGCTTTGTATTAATGTAGGTCCTGTCATGCATAAACCAGTAAGTAGCCTGGGTACAAATACTCTAGATAGACAGACAAGGAGAGAAGAGGGAAACTGGAAAAGTGGGAGATGAGTTAGAGATAAGAACAGCTAATGAGTGTTGGACTAGGGCCTGGGAGACCAGGATTCAAATCCCCACTCAGCTATGAAGCTTTGGTCAGAGACTCTCTCTTAGCCCAACCTACCTCAGAGGGTTGTTGTGAGAATAAAATGGGGAGGGAGAAAACCACGTATGCCAACCTGAGCACCCTAAAGAAAAGGTGGGCTATAAATGTGTTAATAAAGTAAGTGTGAACAAGAGAACAAATGCAACACAGTTGAATATGTAAACTGAGCTAGAAGTAAATGAGGTTGCATGATCAGGGAGCCAAGAAACAGAGTTTAGGTTGACAGCACCTTCTTTTCAGAATTTTATTTCATCCTTTTCTTTTCCTTGTTAAAGTTGCAAAAAAATTGTTTAAAAATCTTTTTTAAAAAAAATAAGGAGTATGTCCAGCCGAAAAGGGGTCTGAATGGAATTTAATGAAACTCCCTGGACTGAAAAGGCTTATTTGACTCCCATTTAAAATTATGTAAGAGGACAAAACAAAGTGTCATGTCCCAAATCCCACTGTGATGCATGCACCCAAATAATAATTCCAGTTTAACTGCCACTTTCTACAGTCTAGTGTAAATCAAGTGATTCTGTGTACATAGCAGTTCTCCAAATATTGGGAAGGGCTTATAATGAAGCATTAAAAGTGTTGTACCTCTCTCAAGCCATTCTTCTTTTAAAAGGTACTCAGTCACTGTACAAATAAATACACCTACTTTTCCTTCCATGATTTTCAGCCACTTTTTTTTTTTACAAATACCCAAACGTGCTTGAAAAATGGGACCTTAAGTTGAGCTCTTGTAGAGTTAGATTTGTGCAACCACCTCCCACACAGACTACAGCCTAAAAGACATCAAAAAAGTTAAGCTTCAGGTGACAGGTTAAGGAATGCTTTAGAAATGTCTCTTCCAAGCATTGTGACAAAACTGTTTATAAAGTGGTGGTTTGAATGTTTGCAGGTAAGGAGCTATGAAGCAACTTGCTTCTCTAAGTGCATTTTATAGAATAATGTTTGTGCAGAAAAAGAAATTCACTGCAGGTGCCTGCAAACAGAGATTTTAAGCTCTTTCTTCTCTTTCCTTTGTTGTTTCCATGTGTCAAATTCTAGACTGTAAGCCCCTCAGGGCAGGGATCTGTCCCCTTGTACTCTGCAAAGTGCCACGTTCTGGTGACTAAGTTCTGGCCCTCCAGATGCCGTTGGGACTCAAACCCCATCATCCCTCAACAATGGGGTGTGCTGACCATGGCTGAAAGGAGCAACATTTGGAGAACCAAGGACTTGGCCATCTTTGCTTCAACGGCCTTCAAGGCTTGAAAGATGTATGTGCCGCCCCAGACAGTCCACGCAGAATCAGAGGAACATTTAGGGGAAGGGTTGGAACTCAATGGTAAAGCATCTGTTCTGAATGCAGAAGGTCCCTGGTTCACTCCTGGCATCCTAGGCAGGGCTCCTGAATAAAACCCCAGAGAGCAGTCAGTGTTAGAAACTTAGCTATGAAAGCTAGGAGCCAAACAGCACCTTAAACCTTAAACCTTAAACCTAAGGTTATGGGCGCAACAACGAAATGTCTGGGCTTTTTTTTATATAATGAGAATACAAAGCTGAAAAAGAATGAACTGCAGGTAAAATATCATGTCCATTTTTCACATGGTCTAGTCCTTCCCCTGACCATCACTCCCAATATTCTTAAGAGCAGGGGTAGGCAACCTAAGGCCCGTGGGCCGGATGCAACCCAATCGCCTTCTCAATCCAGCCAGCGGATGGTCCGGGAATCAGTGTGTTTTTACATGAGTAGAATGTGTCCTTTTATTTAAAATGCATCTCTGGGTTATTTGTGGGGCATAGGAATTAGTTCATTTTTTTTTTTTTTCAAAATATAGTCCGGCCCACCACATGGTCTGAGGGATGGTGGACCAGCCCACGGCTGAAAAAGGTTGCTGACCCCTGCTTAAGAGGGTCTCTTCTCCAGTCTTCAGAGAACAGCTGGAAGTGGGGAGGCAGTTTTAATCTGAAATCTTAGGCGCAGTACTACGCCTAGAGCTCAGAAACTGCTTGCACTAATTAAATTCCCTGTCGCAAAACACGCCTAGAACAATGGGAGCGTCAAACACTGAGAGCAATGTAGGTTGAGCTGGAGGGATCAGTGGTCTAACACAGTAAAAGGCAGCTTTCTATGTCTGAGGAAGGACTACAGCTCAGTGGTAAACCCTCTGCTTTGCATGCAGAAGGCCCTGCGTTCAACCCTCGGCCTCTCCAGACAGAGTTGGGAGAAAGCCTAATTTGAAATCCTGGAGAGCAGCTTCTTATGTTCTAGATGCCTTGTTCCAGGCATCTCTGCCAAATAAAGTTTGGCACATGTCTATTAGAAGTAAGTAGGTGCCAAACTAAATCTTGGGTTTTTCAGACAGGTTTTGGACTAAACTGAATTTGTATCTGATTTTGGTTTGGGCCTTTTGTTTTTGTCCTGCTTTTTTGTTTGTTCATTTTTGCTTCTGCCAACTCCTATGGACTTTTTCTTCCCATTAGCTGCCCTTCTTTGCTTTTTGTGCTGTATTTTTTCTGCTGGTTTTAGTGTGGTTGTTTTATTTATTAATGTAATCAAACTTTCTGATGACTTGTTTTATTTGATGATGGAAGCTGCCTTACGTCACTATTGTTTTAAATAAGATGGGAGGATTCAAGCTTTTAGGCAAAAAAGACAGGTAAAAATTTCACAGCTTCTTTCTGGCAATGAATGAGCCACATGTAACTAGAATGTAACTAGGGACGCGGGTGGCGCTGTGGGTTAAACCACAGAGCCTAGGACTTGCCAATCAGAAGGTTGGCGGTTTGAAACCCCATGACGGGGTGAGCTCCCATTGCTCAGTCCCTGCTCCTGCCAACCTAGCAGTTCAAAAGCACGTCAAAGTGCAAGTAGATAAATAGGTACCACTCCGGCGGGAAGGTAAACGGCATTTCCATGTGCTGCTCTGGTTCGACAGAAGCAGCTTAGTCATGCTTGCCACATGACCCGGAAGCTGTACGTCAGCTCCCTCGGCCAATAAAGTTTGATTACATTAATAAATCTACTTGCATTCTGATGTGCTTTCCAACTGCTAGGTTGGCAGGAGCTGGGACCGAGCAACGGGAGCTCACCCCGTCGCAGGGATTTGAACTGCCGACCTTTCGATTGACAAGCCCAAGCGGCACAGTGGTTTAACCCACAGTACCACCTGCATCCCTATTGCAAATGATGCACCCACTTTAGCTTCCATGCATATGCCATTTTTGCCACAGTAGCTGCATGGGCAAGAGTGGGAATAGCCCACAAGCTGCCTTCAGATGCTGTGAGTTCCCATCATCCTTGACCATTGCCCATGATGACTTGGGGATGACAGTAGTACACAGTATCTGGAGGGCACTACATTTGCTATCCCTGGACAAGAGTCTGGGAAGGGATCTGCAGAAACCTTTTCCACTGAAATTTGTTTCAGTCCAAAGTATGCAACCAAACCATTTGGCTTAATTATCCAGGTCAATGACTAGCCTAGGATTGGATTTCCAGACCATGTGAGACCCCATGAAAATTATGGATTGAAGTGACAATGTCTATTCAACATACTGTCAGGTAGAGACAGCAACTGACCTAAGCACACTTAGCTAGGAGTAAGCCCCACTGAACCTAGTGTGGCTTACTTCTAAGCAGACATGCAAAGGATTGCACTGTTGCTATTTTTACTCAGCATTACAAATAGGTCCACAGTTATTAGGCCACTAGCACATATAAACACATATGTAATACACGAAGGGACAGAGAACAAGACAGCCAAGTATTTAAATCTGTAACTCCCTTGTTACCTTACCTCGTCACCTGAAGGCAATTCTTACCCAGTGAAGGCAAATGGATATTGACAAGCCTACATTAAATCTATGGTATTTATACTTATCACTTCAACCCGACTGAAGCTGTAGTCACAAGACAACATATATAGTTGCTTATAGACCCATAACTGGTCGTTTTCGTATTTCCAAATGCAAAACTAAATGGTTTTTATCCAGTGTAAATCATACTCAAAGTAGACCTATTGAAATTAATGGTCATGACTAACTTAGGTCCATTAAGTTCAATGGTTCTACTCAGAGCAGAACTCAGATACAACCTAAGTGTTTCCTTCCCTGTCCTTGCATCATCTTTGTAACCAAATGTCTTTTGCATTAAGGCACAATTCCAAACTCATTAATCAGTTCCTTTAATCACCAACTTAAGACTGAAACAAACTGTAGAGAATGTTTTACATCATGCCCTCTTTTTACCCATATTTCTCTCTCCCCCGCATCCTGTTCCATTTGCTTTTAAACATCCAGCATGAGGAAGAGCGTCTACGTATCTCGAAAGCTCAATTACCACAATGTGAACTTTGGCTGGCCCTAATTGAAAGTATTTTGCTACCGCTCTTGTTTCAAAGATTCCTTCCTGGAAATCAGAAGCAGAGAGCTGAATGAAACAGCTACTAATAAAATATAAAGGAAAAGAAATTGCATAGCCCCCCCAAGACATACACAGCTGAAAAGTCCACTACTTCCTGAAAGCTGCTCCCACACACACTCTTCCTCTGTAAGAACTAATTTGTCTGATTTCAGTGTTGTCAACATAGATCATTTAGTCCAAGATACAGTATCACAACAGGCCCTCTTTAAGATATGGGGGCAGTTCCCTTTGTAGTAAAGGCAGAAGCTATGTTTTTCTTGGCTACTTTAGGCTCAGTAAGCAGCTGTGGTTGGCAGCAACTCAAGCTTTATTTGCTTATCAGGAGTTTGGCGATAGTCCCATTGATGCAATTAGAATTGTAATTAGTGAGACCCATAAATTAGTAACATAAACACTTCACCACACAGCCTAGCCTAGAAATGCCCACCTCACATTCATAGGGTATTATTTTAGCTAGAAGTCAACCATTCCCAATTCTTTTCCCCCCTATGGAAAAATCTAAGCTTCTGCATGTTCAAAACTAAATATTTCCCTGTCCAGGAAAGCCCCCATGGTGCCAGTCTTATCTTTGGGGTAACAAATATGGCTCTGCCAGGGTTTTGAATATAATCTTATTGCATACCACCATTTATTACACATTAGCTATTTATTTTATCTTGGTGCTCTCTTTTTTTGTAAAGTACCCTAGAAGCTTTGCTGAAGGGAGGTAATATATAACATAAAATAATGTTTGCAGTAAGAAGAGCCCTGATAGATCAGCATTCCATTTCCTAGAGTGCTTAACTAGCTAGTTACAAGAAGCCAAATAGCAAAACTTGACTGCAATGATGCTTTCCTCCTGGTCACACTCAGCATCTGTTATTCAGAGCTGGCATACTGACTCTGATCCTAGAAAACACAACACCGCTAAGCAGGATAATTTCAAAGGAGTTCATTGCCAAAAATGAAACCTTATCCAATCAGGGGTGCCAACTTGAATAAAATATTGGGAGGGGCAGGTAAGCCCTACACCACACAATCATTCATAACACACACACACACCACTTGAATGGCAATACCCATTAACTTGGGGGTGGGGGCCTCAAATATTTTAGGAGAGGGCTGAAGGCACCTTGGCCCCTAGGAGTTGGCTCCTATGATCTCCATATCTGGAATGAATGCCTATTATGCTAATGACCTGTTATACCATCTACTCTTATCCCTGAAAAAAGGCATATATTTCTAGGAAAATTCTGTTTCCAGTGTGGCTAAACAAAAGGGGTCCAAAGGCTTTTTTTTTTTAACAGTATTCCTCACCTGCATCATCGTAACTACGTGGCAGGGATTCAGCAAGTAGATGACTGTCTTAGAAGCAAACTTGAATCCCACTTCCAATCCGAAAGTGAGGCAGAAGAACACCAGCAACAGGTTCTTCCCTATGCTCTCCTCTTTCTTCCGAGACTGAGCAAGCAGGTCCACCACCTCCTTGGAATGGGTTCGCCTGATCTTCTTCAGGGACACCACCACCTCCAGAACTCCCACGCATAAGAAGATCAGGGTCTCTACCAGGCGCTGTTGCCAGGGGAGGAAGGCAGCACACTCAGGACCCCCGTTGCCTTCAAAGCTTGGGTCCACCCCACCGTACATCCAGTCCAGAAGATTGGAGAAGCTGTAACGACTCATGGCAAACCCCTTCTGTTCCTCTTCTGCTTGGCCGTCCTGGAGTAGGTGGGCACTTGATGAGATCAAAGCTAATATGCTGTTTGGGTGACGAAACATGAAACAGAGAAGAGTCCTTATCAGCAAGTCCTCTCCCTTCCACTTGTGAGACACAGAAAGGAACTAGACAGGTGATCCTCAGCTCTCACTCTAGGGTGCTCAGGTAAGAAGCTAAACAAACCTGCAGGGAGGATAGGAAGTGAAACACAACTTAATTATCAAACCAGAAAACAGGATAAAGAAAGGACGCATAACAGAACCAAGCTCCCTGCTCTCTCTTCCAGCAGAAGGCCCAGTTAGCAAACTGTTGCTTTATGACCCTAAAAGAGCTTTGGCAACCTGTCACAATCCAGATGTTTTGATCTACAATTCTCAGGCCCAGCCAGCAAGGCCTCTGGAGGCCACCCGGTTGGCAAAACCTGCCTGAAAACCCCAGGCACTATGTAACCGGCACACTGTGTACAAACACACACCAGGTATAAACAAACACACAGTGTGCCGGTTACATTGTGTCTGGTTGCCCAGGTTTCTAAAGAAGCATGGCTGGTAGTACCTGGGTATATAAAATAACCACACAAAAACAGCGGTGAGGGATATATATATATATATATATATAAAATATACCCATACTCCCTCTCTCTCTCCTGCATAAATGATTTCCCACTCTTATTTCTCTATTTGAAATATTTCACAGCCACTCTTCATCCAATGGAATCTGGCGCATCTGCTACAACAGGCACTACAATACACAAAGCAATGCAATAAAACAACATCCTTCACAGTAAATTTGTGGACGGAGAGGCAACAAAAGGCCACAGGAACCAGAAGTAAACACAGGCAACATTACCTTCTTTTTTTAAAAGAGCCACGGCAGGTTTTGGGGGGGTTTTAACCTCTTTAACTCGGCACGGCTCCTTTCTCCCTCAACCCGGCTAAGCTCCCCACGCAAAAAAAAAGAAAAAGGCGCTTCGCCAACGCGATGTGGTTGTCGAACGAGATCGTCAGAAACCACAACCCTTGAAGGTAGGCCTGCTCGCTTAATCACCACACTTTCACCAAATTCCCGCGAAAGAGGGAAGCGGAAAGGGGGCGAAGAGAGGGAGGAGGGAGCAAGAGGTGAGCAATTTATTTATTGAATTGAAGAGTTGGAAGGGACCCCTAGGCTCATCTAGTCCATTTATTTCCCTCCCCCTCACTGGCGCCACGCTCCGCCTTCCCCCACTTCCTCACAACACCATTCGCGCGCGCGCGCCCCCCTACCTTCCATGGAAGTCCCCCCGCAACTCTTTCTGTCTCTGGAAGGGGCTAGCTATAATCTCCCCTCCCCGGAAAAAAAAAGCTGTGCTTTCTGGTCCTCTGTCTCCTCCAGCTAGACTTCCCAGCGACGTGGTGCACCCCTTCCCTCCCAGTACCTCAAGGGAAGGCGGGAGCGAGGGAGGGGGCGGGTCGTGGCGGTACTGCAGGCCCTCCCTCAGCTCTTGCCGGGGCAGGCGCTACATGAGGAAGCCCAACAGCCCAGCTCTGGGTTGCAGACCAGAGGAGGAGGAGGAGGAGGAGGCGCAGCGGCAGCAGAAGTGGCGGCCAGCGCTTATCGGCTCCCCTTCCTCAGGTGTAGCCCGGAACGCATCTGGGGCGCAATCTGCGCTCTGGACGCAGCTGCTGCTGCTACTCTCTGCTCGCCTCTTCCAGGAGAAGACCACCACCACGCCGCCCCCACCACAGCAGCCAGCGAAGCAGCATCACCCCACCGACGTGCTCAACTAAGGCTAAAAAATGGAAGGTGCACCCCGGATTGGTTGCGCGGGTCTTCCCGCTCCGCCTCTTAGAAGGCGGCTCCTGTGTTTCCGCGCTGCTGTTGCTGCCCCCTTTTCTTCTTCCTCCGCCTCGCTTCCACTTGTCGCCTCAGTCAGCCCGTCACTACAGCGTAAGGAAAAAAGGCGGAGAGGCGCGCTTTGCCGCGCTTGCTCCGCGGGCTCGCTTTCTGCCCAATCTTTGCCTCTCCGCTGAGCCACTTGCGAGCGCAAACGCAAACAGTTCCTCTGGAGTGTGTTGTGTTCCACTGCCTTCAGTGGGGCTTAGCTTCTGGTAAATGTGTGTAGGTGACAGCAGCCTCAGTGTTCCTCTATGCTTTCCGCAAAGTGTTTTTTAAAAGAAAAACTAAAAACCTCCCCAGAAACAGCTAGCACCAAACCGGTGGCCCTCTAGATATTGCTAGGCTCCAACTCCGATCGCTTCTGACTGGTCATGCTGGTTGGGGATGGTGGGAGTTGAAGCCCCAAGGACATCTGGTGAGCCACAGGATCCCTTCCCCTGAAACTGCATTTCATGGGAAAGGGTTCTAGCCCAGCCTTCCACCTAACATGCTGGATTTCTAACTGCAGGGCTGGTGAGGGTTTTTGTTTTGTTTTTTTGAAAAGCAGGCGCATACCTAGGGGTTGGCCAGGTTGCCCCCTACCAAAAGTGCAGGCCAAGGATGTGTGTGCCAATGGTACGAGGGATGCGGGGGGAGGGGGCGCTGATACAGCTCCTTGCGAAGGGCACAAGGGAGCCTAGAATTTCATCACATCAGCCCTCCCTCTGCACATAGGAACCTAGCATGTACAGTGCTTAGAAATGCAGGTGACTAAGTGGTATATAAATGTCTTGAATAAATAATTAAATTACCAGCATAACAGGGGGAGGGATACCCTTCTTTCTTTCAGCAAGGCAGAGAGGGGAATCTTCATAATCTGTGCAGCCCAGGAACTCCATACACACTGCCAAGGTATGTGCCCCAGGGAGGTCACTTATGTACTGCTAATGCAGTGTTTTGGTTTCACTCCAGGAGGCACACCCTCCATTGTCTCTGTGACAGACAAGTGCCAACAACTCTCCACTCCTGACTTGGGTGGGGCATATGAGTAAGAACCTCTAAGGAAGAAGAGCACAGGATCTGGACTACTTATGCAGGCAGGTAGCTAGCCCACTGGGCCACAAACAGCTTTTTTCTTTTATTGCTGTAGGAGGCGGCAATCTCAGCCCCAAAGTTTTGAGATTTAGCCACAACTCAAGCTTGCCTGCTAAGCCTCCTTCTAAAAGTTCTTAGCTCCATAGTAGAAAGGAAAAGCAACAGACTTGCCAGTAGATTAAAAAAAAAGGTGTAGAGGCTGGATGGTTTAAATCTCCCTACCCTACATTTACACAACCAGCAGCTACAGAAACTCCCAGTGATACCAGTGAGGCCTGCAGCCTAGGAAGAGTTCCAAGGACTAGTTGATGGGCCATCTTCAAGCGGAGGTTTTCCACCCCGACACACAGGACCTAACCTAGCACAGTTGCATGGTCAACAGTGTACTTTAAATCCTGCGGAGAAGAGCTTAGACTTAGCATCAAGATAACTGGAAACCTAATATAATGGTCATTAGGAGGCTCAGAAAGAAGGTATCCACAGAGAAAACATCCGTAGTGATAAACAATATTGTTTTATCACAACAGAGCGACTTTGCAGCATCAGATATCACTAATGATATGAATAACACTTGAGGCAGGCTCTGTGTATCCAGTCTTGTACTACAGTGAAAGGCTGGCTGCTATTTCAGCTAAATACAAAAGATGGCACATGTTCCAGCTATCACTTTTTGCCAGGAATGGCCCCTATTTTCATGTATCTTTCTCTATTGAATTGCCGCCCCAGTGCCACGGTCACTGAGCTACGTTCACATCTGAGCCTTCAGCTGAGTACACCCTTGCAGCCTTCTTAGAACCAAATGGGCACCCCTACACCCAAATCTGGATTTTTCCACCATATCATTCTTGAGGTCAAGGTGGCAAAGAGGAGAAATGCGAATCAAGGCACAGCTGGGGTTGCAGTGGAATGGATTATCAAGGGAGCTGTGGTGGGAAGATATGCATGAGACACTTCAGGCTGCCTTTGGAAGTCCTGCAATTTCTAAATTGTATGGGGTTCCTTGCAAGGCCCCCTGCTTCTTCCTCAGAGGTGATCTCCAGAACATCCGGGTTGGGTGGGATCCTAGCAGAAATTAAGGAAGAGCCACAGTGCATAACTGTTATTAGAGTAATTGCAACAAAGGACAACTGGCTGGGGGCAAAACCAGAGATGGATGGCTCTGCCTACTGTTGCTTCTTGCTCCACCTACCATTGGCCACCCGGCCATCCAGTGGCACCAACTGCTGTTACTCTTTCGCAGGCTAGGTTTTCTTTCAGACTACCGGTATTAATCTTTGTGAGCTTATTTTTCAAGGATGGTGTTCTTGCCACAGTACTCTGCTAAGGAATTATTACTCTTAAAGACTTGTGGAGCTGCTTGCAGTTTAACAAAACCACTCCCGACTCTTGCTGCTACATTCAGAGCCAAGTTGCTGTTCCCTATTTGCAAAGCTTTTCTCCTCATTGGTTAATCTGCAACCTTCCTATGAACCTGAGTAAACATCCATATCTTGTGTTAACAGCAAAACAGATCTCCGAAGGCAATAGATTCCCTGGATATGAGATACTTTAACTCTTCACTTTTCCTTTTATTTGACCTCAAATGGCCTCTCTTCATCCTGTTGGCTTTCTGAAATGGTGGCAGTGCAATTGGTGATTAAGAGCAAGTAGGCACATTCATTTTAATATCATCCATTGAACCCAGAAGGCTTTAGAGGAAGTCCAGTGGCATTTCCTAAAGGTGACACACTGTTGTTGTTGTTGTTGCTGCTGCTGTTGCTGTTGCTGCTGCTGTTGGCATCTGTATGTCTCAAGAAAAAATGGAGTGCACCTCCAGGGGTGAAGTCAAACTGCTGTGTTAGCAGCACCTAAGTGGCCTTTCTGGGGCACAAGCCAAGGAAGGGTGTATGGAGGTTCTGGGCTATCTAGATGACAAGACACACACCCTTCAGCCTTGCTAATGTGGTCCGAAGGAAAACAGGGCAATACATTTGGCACCTGCTTGGCTGCAGGGGTTGCTTGAAAGAGGCCTACAAGCCTGCAAGGCACCATCCAACCACCCTAACCCTTTTCTTCTCCCAAAGATATCCTGCAGAGCAGTCGAGGCTTAGGGGCAGAGATGGGCTATCTTCCCAGGTTGATGAGCCCCATCTGCAACTCACTTCACTCTACAGCAGGCATGTCCAAAGTCCATTTTGGGTGCCTAATCCAGCCCATGGGTCGGTTTAATCCAGCCCCTGTGGCAGTTTATTTCCTGGGGTAAAATCCTAAAAGCTCAACAACTTCAATCTTTGGGGTAAAATCATAAAAAAAAGCTGAACAACTTCAATCCTAAAAAAGTCAACAACTTTGGTCGGCCCTTTGGTTGGCCCCCACGGCCCTTCACATCATCAAATCTAGCCCTCTTTGAAAAAAGTTTGGACACCACTGCTCTACGGCATGTGCAGAAACTTCCTCCTTGACCGTTGGACCCACTATTGGTCTCACTTTCTCATGGTGCCGGAGCCTGTCTTTGCATGCAGAGGAAGTCCCTAACTCGCCAAGAGTTTGAGACCCATTAGCCACCCTCACCTGGTTTGGCTGGCCCGTTAAAGTTGTTTCCTGGGGTGTGGCTGCTATTGCATGCTGACAGCTTCTAGGAGACACAGGTGAGAACTGAGTGCAGGGTGGGGACCAAAGATGGACCAACTACCCCAAAAGAAGCAAGACATGTCCCCTATCAGAGGTACCACCCCTCCCCTAACACCTCATACAGCTAAAACGCTTTAGAGGAAGTCCATATGCATTTCTTAAAGGTGACACAGTACTTGCCATGGAATCATCCTGCCAAAATCAGGATGGCTCCCCAAGTAAAGCCCTTTTCAACAGTGTGCTTAGGAATGTCACTGCACTGCAGAGACCAAGCATGGTCTGAGGGCCAACAAATCAGAGGTTAAGCAGGCCTGAATATGGTCTGTGCCGTTGAGTTCCATCATGGAAAGATGTGGAATATAAATGTAGTAAGAATGTTGTTGTTTGTTTAGTCGTGTCTGACTCTTCGTGACTCTATGGACTAGAGCATGCCAGGCACTCCTGTCTTCCACTGCCTCCCGCAGTTTGGTCAAACTCATGCTGGTAGCTTCAAGAACACTATCCAACCATCTCTTCCTCTGCCGTCCCCTTCTCCTTGTGCCCTCCATCTTTCCCAACATCAGGGTCTTTTCCAGGGAGTCTTCTCTTCTCATGAGGTGGCCAAAGTATTGGAGCCTCAGCTTCATGATCTATCCTTCCAGTGAGCACTCAGGGCTGATTTCCTTAAGAATGGATAGGTTTGATCTTCTTGCATTCCCTGGGACTCTCAAGAGTCTCCTCCAGCACCATAATTCAAAAGCATCAATTCTTCAGTGATCAGCCTTCTTTATGGTCCAGCTCTCACTTCTATACATCACTACTGGGAAAACCATAGCTTTAACTTTATGGACCTTTGTTGGCAAGGTGATGTCTCTGAAAGATGTGGAATATAAATGTAGTAAGAATACAAATTTTCAAAATATCTAAATTATATACTGAAGGTGGTATAACAGAAAAAGTATAGCTTGAATGGAAGCTAAGGGCTACAACCAACATGCCCTCAATCAAGGTTTCAGCAAACTGTCACTGTTAAAGTCTGTTTTCAAACATGAAACTTTTCAGGTAATGCTGTGTCACAGGAACACACCCACACATTAGCTAATTGTAGTTTGTGCACACAGAGGCCTCCTGCTAGGATGGTTCCATCTTCTCTTTCCTCTGTTATCTCCCCTGCACCAGAATGCATGCTTGTCTGGGCCAGGAGACCTATCTTAGGCCACATCTGCACCTTA